CACACACAAACACCATTGAAACAGTCAAAAATATATGTACATACAAATATATATCTGATAGTACTGTGAATCTAGACACTGTGTTACTAAAGTGTACTATTTGAATACCAATTTGATGTTTACTTTAAGTGTTAATAAGTTTTTCTCCACTGCATTTCTGAGGGAATTTATCAAATGGCTGTATTACAAGTTACTTTTTTAGATTAAGATTAAAATGTAGACAATTAGTTGATAAATATGATGTATCCTACCCAACACACAGACACACTATAACAACATTTAAACTCTATTTACATGTAAAACACCAATTACTTAATTTATTCATTCTTAGTTGCATTTTATTGCTTTATTCCCAAGCCTCTATGTGTAGAATTTATATATAATTGCTCCATCTTTCCTCTAATGGTGTGTGTCTTCATCCAATCTATGTGTTGCTATCAGCCAAGTAATGCTTAATGCACCGATGTGTCTGTTTCGATATTATCACTGGGAGGCGCCAAAGTTGTACATTTTCTAATTTGACACAAAAAGTTAAACTTTGAACTTTTCCTCGCAATGAAGTATTTTTCCGTTGTGGTATTACTCCATTAGTAATGAGTAAAGGCTTTAAACTCTTACAGTCTGGGCATCAAAGCTAATATGCTACTTTCTTCGCTAAAATGGGGCAACGTATAAATTAATTCTATTCAGAGAACGTATCTCTTTTTACTTTTAGTTGGTGATGGGATGCCTCCTGATAAACACCTACTGGATGACACAGTTTAGCTGCTTTCAATGGGTACAACCACAGCCAAACAGTTTTTATAGGTCACCTGATACGTATCAATCCAAAATATCACACAGGTGAGAGCTTTATGTTACATGGCAGCAGAACTATGAGCCTAATTATTTGTTTTTATATCTCTTCATGTATATTATCTCTCGTTATTATAACAGGATTATCGACTAATAATAGGTGTTAGTGGCTGTTGCTAATTACTATGTGGCACTTTGAAAACACACGCTGTGACAACAAGTGCGTCCTTACGTGTTGTCTGGTTGACGTGCAAACTGCCCTCTCCCTGTCGGCCCTCAGGGTCCCAGGCCAATCCCTTGATCATGTAGAGTGAGCCAGCATCCAGGCCAGAGATGGTCAGATTGGTGTTGGAGGTGTTGTGCTTCATGTTGGTGTTTGAACCAAACTTGTATATGGACAGGGTGTACTGGACAGCGTGAGCAATGGGGGGCCATGATACAACGATGCTGTCGTTGGTGGGAGAGGAGGTGGAGAGCTGAGGAGGAGGCAACACTGTGGAAGAGAGGAAAGTTTGACATGTTTTACATGTGAGATGCTCTGATGGATAAAGACTGCGCTAGTCCTGTTGCAATGGTGTGTAGATGACAAATAACTCCACTGGGCTGTAGTTTATATCCCTACAAGTTCCATCCAAGATTATTTGTCTTTCTTGGACACAAACAAACAGACACAATGTCACTTTAGTAGATAGTGGTAGAGCATTCAGAGCTAAAAGTGTTTGTGCCACAAAAAGTACTGGAGAAAAACTCAGTAAAATCACAGATACTACAACAGACTTTGCAATTTTTTTGCACTTTTGACACCAACTTTAAGAGACTATACAGTTTAATATAGTAAAATTGAATCTAACATATTAAGTATACAATTATTCACTTAGCAAACACATTACATACTGTATGTGTATAGCAAATGTCAAACCATAGAGATAATTGTTCTTTATCTGTTTCCTACTTCTTTGTACTTCTCTTCTGTTTCTTGCTCTGCTGTAACATGAATTTCACATTATTTAAGTCTTATCTCGACTTATCTTTTTTTCATTTATTTTTTAGACAGAGTGAAAGAGAGAGATTAAGTACTCATTCCACCACTGAGGGACAAAGGAGACGAGTTTGAGATATTAAGTGGTGTTTGTCCTATAAGATGAAATCCAAAGATCCATACTGCTCGTTGCATGTTTTTTTTAGCTCATGAGGATCAGATTTTCCCCCCGAGGTAGAAGGGGAGGTGAGAGGTGACAACTATGTACTCGCGATGAGGTCAGCTCTTTGTGTGTTTGACATAGAAGGGTCAGGTATAGGCCCAGGGGGATGCTGATGCATTCCTTGGGTAAGACAAACCTGGGTTTACACACTGAGTGCATTTTACTGAAGATGATGCATGTATACATTCTCTCACAGTGTTGTATATAATGGCTCTGCTGTGGGACAATGAGGCAGATCAAGTGACTTCTGCAGGGCATGAGGAGTGATGACAAAAGTGCTCTGTGTCTCTTAGTGAATATGTGACTCATTTCTACGCACAATCCAACCCTCCGGTGTTATTGTTCCCGTTTACTCTGTGATAACCTCACACACAAATAAAGATAATATGAGAAACACCAGTACCTGTCATTGCAGTCACAGGAAGAGACGGCTGGCTGCGGCCTCCGCTGTTCACAGCCATGATGCTGAGCGTGTACTCAGTGTACGGTGTGAGGGACTGAATCTCAGTGGGGGAGGAAGAAACTGTGTCTTCTCTGTAGAAGCCATTGGAGTTCTGGATGCGTATGATGTAGTGAGTCGCCTCGGACATCAAGGTGAACTCCGCCATCAAGGTCCTGCTGTCCTTCGGTTTCACTGTCTGGATGGGCTCCATGGTCTCAGGGGCTAAAAATAGTCAGTTCAGATTAGTAATGGTATCCAACAAGGGGACACTTATTGTAAGATTTTTGGTAGTGGGACGCAAGGGATGGCCTCCACATGATCTCCCATGTTGACTGATTTTAGGAGTTAAATAATGGGGAACATTTTATTTCATAGCTTTATTTCCTCTCATGTAGTTACACCAAATGTAACTACAAAATGTATCATATTAAAATAGTTTTTATCATAACTGAAGACCACTATTATCTTTCTTACCCAACTGTAGCTACTGTATACATTTATAAAGTATTTTAAAACAAAGTGAAACACACAAAAACGCCAAAATATATACTAAAAATAGTTTGTTTTGAAATGGAAAATTAATGATCAATGAAGCACTAAGAAGAATATTCTGTCACTGGGTGCAGGTTTAGACCTCACCTGTAGATGACTCAACATCGGCAGTGCTCAGTGTTCCTTGGGAGTTGTCCAGAGCTTCGACTGTGAAGACATAATTGATGTTTGGGGACAGAGAGTTGACAGAGCCCATCACTGTGTTCGGACCAAACTGGGCAAAAGCGATGGGGTTGCTTGGTGAGCTTTTGGGGGCAACGGAGATCTTGTATGAGCTGGCTCCAGAGTACCTGGTCCATCTGAGAATCATTGTCTTGGATGATGCTGAGAACACGGATACTTGGATAGCTGATGACAGAGATGAAAGAAAAGGAGATCATTATAGCACTTATCACCCTAAGACATGACATAATCAAGGGTTTGTGCCTGTTCATTCTCATAGATGACAGTGATAAAACATCTACCGTGGAATATATATTAAAAGATAATATACAGTACCTGATTCAGTTGCAGCCTGTAAATATAGATGAGAAAATATTATTAACAATAGTTTATGTAATTATATAAAATCCAAGTTACTACTGCCTAGTTAAACACTTTGAATGTTATTTTTCCATTGCATTGTGCTCTTCCCTTTTCACAACCAGAATTTGAAATAAACTGTCTATTATAATAAATTTAATTTCGTTACTGTACCTGTGAGCATATGCCCAGCAAGACAAAAATCACCAGCCACTTCATTGTGCCCATTCTTCACGTCTGTACCTGGAAACACTCCTCTCACTGTTTCTCACAGTGTGCAGCCTCTGTTAGATTTTTTTTTTTAAATGCTTCACTCTTAACTGTTTTACCTTTTCTAAAACATATGTGGTATCTGTGTTACTTGAAATACCTGCATCTGGCCCCTCCCACTGGGAGCAAATGTCCAATCCTGCTGAAGCAGAGAGATATAACTTGGGGCAGGTGCAGGTTGAATAGCACGAGAAGGAAACACCTTTGTAGCTATAGGCATGATATTCTATATTCAAGGATGTAGTCAAGGTGCCAAAAAAATACAGGGGTTTGGCAAAGGGACTGGATTTCCCCTACCTAGAGGCCTCAGAACACTCACATTGAACATAATGAACACATTTTCTAAATTCGTAATTAGTTTTCTTAATTTTAGAAGCCCTTTTATTCCAGATGTTACCAACCACTAAAGACAAACAGGCTGTAGGGAGCACACATCAAAAAAACTTAAAAATAAAAAAAATAAATAAAAGAACAAAAAGAAAAACTGAAGGCAAAAGTCATTCATCAAGTAGGTGGTTGTTATCTGCAGTTAATCTACTCACTGGACCAATCAGAACAGAGCTGGATAACATTGTGTGATACTCCACTAGGGGCCTGGAAAAATACATAAAACAACATTTTACAAGAATATATCATATAATAGCCTACATAAAAGAATCAGTCAAATGTAAAGTATAAATCACATAAATCATCCAGAAGAAAATTATAAATACTAAAAGTTCTAAGATTGGATATGAGATAGAAAGTCAAAACCTATAAGTGACTTAATATCTCAAGACTATGAATAAGTATTACATTATTTTTTATGTAAGTCAAAATCTTATTTCACACTTTTGATTTACTTAATTATCTCAGAAATTTGTAGTTTTTTTCTCCTCATATTAGTATACATGCCATAATTTCTTACTTGTTTGACTTAAAAAGTAAAATCTTTGACTTGTCTCATAAGTTTAACTTACCACGGGCCATCACTGGCGAAAATGGCCGTATTAATTTATAGATAGATAGATAGATAGATAGATAGATAGATAGATAGATAGATAGATAGATAGATAGATAGATAGATTGATCAATTGATTGATTGATTGATTGATTGATGTTGTTGTTAATAAATCTTTTGCAAAAAAAAAAAAAAAAAAAAAAAAAAAAAAAAAAAAAAAAAATACAACAGCGCTCTGACGCACACTTGTTGACGCGTTGACGTCAGAGTCCGAGGACGCGGGACAGGAAGAAGCACGGAAGAAAAGAAAAAAGATGGCAGACATTCAGCACGGCCTGAAAAGGATAGTTTGGAAAAGTAAGTTCAACTCAGTGAGAGAGTGTTTTTTTGTACATGTGAAACACCGTACGACTTCTTTTTCATAAGTTGAAGGCTTAACAAGTAACTACGTGCTGTTTTTATCAACTGTTTCTTCCACAGTGACTTTGCATCTTGGAACGTTACATTTCATTCTGTAGTTGTTATTTTTTTGACAACGGAAGTTTACAAGTGTGGTTTGACGGGAAGAATCGACGGGGTGTAAACAACAGAATACACTTGGGTTGACGCTCGGAGCTGTTGTTGTATCATAACTTTACCGGCCTTGACACTTGTAGTCCATTTTTAGTCGGAGTGAGGTCTCTTTCTATCGCCAGGAGCCCCGCCTCGCATCTGCAGGCTGCAGTTAACACAACACCTATTAATGTCTGTTTCCTCCCGAATAATGTTTGTGTTTCCCGTGCCGTTGTCCTTATTGCCTGGCTGGGGCAAGGCAAGGATAGATTATCAACCGGGCGAGGAAAGAAAGTCGAATATAAACTATCACTATGCACTTGTCATGTAGAATGAGTGTTTGTCAAAATCTACTTTAAGACCTCATTTACGTGCGTTTATATTGAATTGAATTAATTTGTTGTGAAGGTATGTTTGATCAAATTGCATCAATTTTTTTGTCTGTCAAGTCGTTTATTCAATTATAGAAGAAATTTAAGGCTGCAACCTGTCTGACAGTTACTTTCTTTAATAATTGATAATTGATTGTTTAGTGTATATAATAATAATAATGATGATGATATTAAGTTTATTTATGTGGTGCTTTACAGAGAAAAGCAAGATTAAAACAGAACCACACCACTCTTTAAATAGGGTCCAGCAAATTAGAAGAAAACAAAAAAAGTGGATAAAATGCCACAAAATAAAAATAAATAAGAACAACAATGAAAGTAACAAATAGGACACATATAAGAACACACAAACGATGACATAAAAGAAAGCGAAGTCTAATAAAATAATTTTTTTGTAAAAGATGTTGCTGATTCCGCAAGCCTCAGATCCTTAGGCAGGGCCCTGACAGCAAAAGTCAGGTTACGTCTAGTTTTGCATCAGGACTTCAGAACAGCCAGAAGAACCCTATCTGAGGGTCTGAGGCTGGGCTGCTACTCGTAGAGCTGCTTCAATTCAGCAATTTAACCAGGAGCCATGCCATAGTGCTCTAGAAGTGATCAGTAAAATCTTAAAATCACCTCTAAAATGTCACAAATAAGAAGCAACAGTTACAAATACAAACAAATTGAATTTAATATAATAGAAAACTTTGAAACGATTAATGAATTATCAGACTCAATGACAATGAATTTTCTGTCAATCAACTAGCTAACTTCTGGGTGTCAGGGGAAATAATAAAAATACCATGTATAATAGGGTAATGGAGGTTAATCCAGCGATTAGTAAAGTTATGGTTAAGGTGCCACAGAGATGACTAGTTGGGGTTAAGAACTGGGCTTGAGGTTTACCTAAGGGAAAACAGAACATTACACTCAGCTGTTGGGCTATTAGGCAAGATTACATCTAGCTACTACAATCTTTGAAGCAAAATATGCCACACGAGGGGTTACCTGAAACTGACTAGTAAGTATAAATAGCTTTGTTTTTCATGAGTCATGTTTTTTGTCTCTTACAGGAATACAAGACACAATTATTACAGACTGCAGAAAATCTGAAATATGGAAGGTAAGACAACCGTCAATACAGAGTGAATGGACAACCACCACATTACTGTGACTCAAAACAGAACTGTAATCTATCAATTCGGCAGTGTTGCTTTTTTTAATGTGCGGCTCCATAGCCCAGCAGCATATTACAGTGTGATACATGATTTGACTGACTGCTACTGCTTCCTCTTCACAGGTATTGATTCTGGATCCTTTTACCACCAAGCTCCTCTCATCATGCTGCAAAATGTCCGATCTGATGTCAGAGAAAATAACAAGTAGGTCATGTTGCCATAACAGTGAAACACCTATTTTTACGTTGTACTGGTGATAGACTGAATAACTGAAGACCTTTTGGTAATGTCTGTAGCTGCTCTGTTAAAACAAATATCTTGTTTTAAATCTTTAGTTGTGGAGGACCTCTTCAAAAGCAGGGAGCCTGTCCTGGAAATGAAGGCCATCTACTTCATGACGCCAACCGCTAAGGTTTGCCATTATAACCCTGTGATGGTCATATTGCACTTTTCATTCTGATGGAGGTTTTTTTTTCAGTTTCATTTCAAAGTTTTTCTGTCAAACCGTTTTCTTTTGTAATTTCTAAAAATTACATTTCATTTTATAGTGTGTGGAAGCCTTCATTGCGGATTTCAAGCACAAACCCAAGTATAAAGCAGCATATGTTTATTTCACTGACTGTAAGTAACAAAAAACTAACCACTCATATAAACCATAGTTAACTGACAAAAAAACCTTTCAACTAACATGATCAAAATGTTTTTTTTTATTTGTTTGGCAGTTTATATGCAAACTAAACACATTTCGGTCCCACAGACTGTCCCGACGACCTGTTCAACAATATGAAGCTGCACTGTGCAAAGTACATACGAGTCTGTAAGGAAATCAACATGTCCTTCATGCCGCAAGAGGCACAAGTGAGTGGCTGCAGTGTGTGTGCTCTTTTAGGTTCTTTTGTAATGCTCCATTTCCTCTTTTAATGCAGATTCTGTGGTCACTTGGTAACTGAGGGAAAGTTCCATTGTGTTAGTTTGCTTTAGGGCGTGTTGCTGCTGGGAGAAACAGATTTGCAATATTCTCAGTGAATCTTTAATGGGTGTTGCAGTGATGTAATGATGTTACAAATTTAGAATTACCTTAGTACCTAGCTGTTCTCTGTATTTTGAAGATTCTCTTATAAAGGAAATTAGAGCTCTTTATTTATTTATGTTAGTATTTAGTTCTGGAGTCAGAACATTATTAGAGACTAAAAATATCCATTTGGTTCTTTGTTATTTGATTTACATGTTCACTTAAACACTCGTTTTTTTATACATTGGTGTGTTGAATCCTTTTCAGGTGTTCACGTGTGATAATCCGAAGGCTTTCAAGAGTATCTACAGTCCAAAGAGTCAGGACAAAAAGAAGACACTGGAGACACTCGCAGACCAGCTCGTCACGCTCTGTGCCACGTTGGATGAGTACCCAGGGGTCAGATACAAGAAGTAAGCCAGAGAAGATTTAGTTTCTCATCTTACAACACACCTCAACCCTCGAGCACAGAGAGACCTTTTACGAGAAAAGCTTGAGCTGAGACCATATAATGTGTTACTCAACTGTTTAGAGCTGGGTTATACTAGAAAAGAACTAGTTAGTGTGATGAATTGTCTGACCACATAAGGAATCAAATGTGTTCATACCTGTCCTGCTCAGCCAGAGGTGGAAAAGAGTCAGCTATCACAGACAAGGGGGAGAAATTATATTGTTTAAAGTGCACTGTGGCTGGTTTAGTTACCCTAGAGATGACATGTAGTTTTAGTGTTTTTTTTCCCCTGTTACCATTCAACTGGTTGAAGAGTAGGTACGATTTCAGTCAATAAATCAGCGCAACCTACATATGTAATTAATAAACATAATTTGACTGTGATGACTCATGGAAAGCAATTTATATCATAACTAGGGACAACAACATGGAGAACGCCAAGACCCTGGCAGAGCTGGTGGACAGCAAGCTGGCTGAACACTATGAGCTGGATGACAGTGGCAAGAAAAAGGTGAGACACCTGTTGAACAAGGAATGTTGATGGAATAAACAAGGTCTTAGACCAGGGAGTAAATGGAAACCTCGAAATACAGTGTCTTCTGCCAATGACAGCTTATCAGAGGGTATCAGGTAAAAAAATACTCCCTTCTTCACCTTAAGCAGATTAAAGTGTTGTTGCCCTTCACTAGAAATTTGAAAAGGAAAAGTTTGAAGTTGTTGGTTGTAGAACCCGACCGATGTTGGATTTTTGGGGCCGATACCGATATTAGGGATTAAAAAAATTCCGATTTCAATATATCGGCATATATATATATATATATATATATATATATATATACACACTTGTCAAAAAGATATGTAATTATAGCAGGATATTTTACAGTTTAACAATAAACTTTATTATCAGTGCACTGAAATAGTAAACTTCACTTCATAAAATAACTGTGAAAACTATAAATACAATTTTTCTTTTAAATAAAAATGGATTGTTATATTTAATGTTTTCATTTGTATATTTCCTCCTATCACCAGGGTAAGACCCAGGCCCAGCTGCTGATAGTGGAAAGAGGATTTGACCCCGTCAGCCCGATCCTGCACGAGCTGACCTACCAGGCCATGGCCTATGACCTCATTGATATCCAGGAGGACACCTACAAGTAATATAAGCTTTTCTAACTCTATTTCTCCATATTCACACTTAGATGTAATATACTCATTTGGCAGATAAGCTATTTTTCAAATTTATACATCTCTAGTTAAAACCAATTATCTGGTTATTTTTGTGGCCAGGTACAAGTCTAAAGATGGCTCAGAGAAGCAGGCCCTGCTGAATGAGGACGACATGCTTTGGGTGAAGCTGAGGCACAAGCACATTGCTGAGGTCTCGGAGTAAGTGTGCAAAATCTGAAGGATCGATGTGTCCTATTCCTGTCTTCCTCACCCAAACCATGACCCCCTGTCCCTTTTTTTTTTTTTTTTTTAATAATAGACAAATTCCCAAGATGGTAAAGGAAATATCTGCTAGCAAGAAACAGCCAGATGGGAAGGTACGGTGCTGTGCTGCCTTGATCTCTTTAACTTTGTATGTATGTATATACTTAAAATGAATTCCTTGAGTTAAGATTTTATTTCATTTTCTTTCTAGATCACAATGAGTAATTTGGCTCAAATGATGAAGAAGATGCCTTCATTCCGTAAACAGCTGACAGAGGTATGAAGTATCAATAGTGTTACATTGTTTTTGGAGTGGTATCTCTACGACTTTTGCAACCATTAGCTCTTACCTTAAAGTTATCTGTTCAACTTGAGTCAACTTCCAGGGTTGAATGGGGAGTTTCTGGGTGCAACATTTGGAATCTGACATGCCATAGGTTTAAATGCAAATGTTACTCTGGTATTATTTGCTTCCTACTAGTAATTATAGAACTAAGTGATCATTACATTGTGGTGTGGTGCTTCAAAAGCCTGTTATCACGTGTGCTCACCTTAAGCATATTTCTAGCAGCAAAACTGAATGGATAGTCATAATTTCTGGCTTCTATGATAAGTATCTTTGTCTATCATTGAAGAAAAATATTTTGATTTCCAGTAACGATACATAGAGATTACTTGTTTTTTTTTAATACATTTTACTTTTTTAACATGCTTCAGTATACTTCGCTTTTCTCTGCGTTTCATTTCTAGAAAACCGTTCATCTGCAGTTGGCCGAGGACTGCATGCAACAATTCTCAAACAACGTGGAGAAACTCTGCAAAGCTGAACAGGTCCGTCTACTGTTTTTGGTGGAACAGGTGCCAAACATTTATATCACTCATTCTTGCTTGAGCAAGTCAGTGGATGGGTGGTTGTTTAGTGAGTGATGGCGACATTTAACAGGTAGAAAACCTCATGACTGCAAGCATTTGTCCTCATGAAGTGTCCTTGAGATAGACATTGTTTTCCAATCTGACCTCTGACCATCCTCAAATGAGAGACTCAGAAGTTTGATGGTTTTACTGGTCAGTTTCAAAAGATAAACAATGTTTTTTCTACTCTTTAGGACCTTGCAGTGGGGGCAGACGTGGATGGGGTGAAGGTGAAAGATCCCATGAGGACCCTGCTGCCTGTGCTGCTCCACCCATACAGCACCTACGACAAGATCAGAGCTGTGCTGCTCTACATCTTCAGCCTCAGCGGTACGCCTTTCTCTACCTATCACTGTCTGTGCATTAGCAGTCTGTCATGTAGCCTCTTGCTCTGTAGAAAATACATTCCCAGGGACCACTCAGAGGGCAGACTATCAGAGAGACCCAGAACACCAAGGCAATGAAACTCAGTCAGTCGGCCAGGTTATACATTATAGGGGTTTCTTTTCCTAAAGACATCTCGTCTGGTGACTCCTGTTATTTTCCAGTTTAGAGTAATAGAGAATTTCTGTCAAAAACAGCTGTAAAATGGACCTAAAACCTAGAATTTCCCATGTTGACCAAGATCCTCACAGCCAGTAAGTTATCTAAGAGGATACAGCACTAATAAACTATTATATATTTTCACACTGGTTCGTTTGTTTGTTGTGTGTAAACAGGAACAACAGACGAGAACTTGAACAAACTCATCCAACATGTAAAGATCGAGGATGAACGAGAGTTTATCCTGAACTGGAAAGAACTGGGCGTGCCTATCATCACATCGGTATGTGGAGAAGAGGATTGATTGATTTTTAATGCTTTTGATTGTGGACGAATTCTTTATCCTGTGTGTCATCATGTTCTCATCTTGTTCTGTCATCAGTCCCAACTGAGTCCTGCTTGTTGTTCCATGTACTTTTTCTCTAGCCGAGTTTCTTCTCTCGCAAACCTACCAGACGGGATCGTTCCCAGGACCAGACGTACAGCCTTTCCAGATGGACTCCTGTCATAAAAGATGTGATGGAGGTCAGTGAGGGAAGATTAATGTACTGTATAATGTATTTGTTGTTATTTTTATTTATATTTTTCATTTTGTATATATTCCTATTACTGATTCAATCCGCAGTTATCATTCATGCTTGATCACACACATTTATGCCTTTATTTTATCCAATTTAGATACAGTTCTGTGAAAACTCTTTACATCTTCACTTTTGTTTTTTTGCTTTGGTTAACAGGAAGTTTGGTGACTGTGAATACCTTAATGAATTAAGTGACATAACTCAGTGATTTAAAATGTGTCTAGATAGGATGTATGATAGGAAAGGAAAAGAAAAGTCAGACACAATGTAAGTTATGTCTAAAATTATACATGCAGCTCGATCTAGGTCACTGTGCTACCCTTTGAATGGAATTCGTGAGAAAAATAATGAACAGAACTATGAAAGCACCACAAAAGGAGGTTATCAGATTCAGGTCATCTGATTGGCAGTGTTGCATATGCTGTGTGTTTGTGTTGTTTTGTTGTTCTGCTTTATCCATATATAAAAGACAACATCTTAGCATCTACAAGGCACAGTACACAAGGCAGTTGTGTGGTGATCCCTTGGGATGACCCTTCTCTTTCAGCAGCTTCCCTTTGTACTGATCCTCAAATGCTTTTATTGTATGTTAAATGGGTCCCATATAGGAGGCTTTTATAATAAGGTGAGATTATGTTATAGTTTAAAACAGAGGTAGGATGTCACAGTCACCTGCTTTCTTGTTTAAGTTTGTACTGTGAAAAAAGTCATATTGAACATGCAATTATCTCATTTACCTTTTCATTCTATCTTGTGATTAAGTTTGCTTGTGGCCATTTGTTTTGAATCCGGTAAGTTATATTAGGTGTAAGCCATTAGATATGGAAGGAATAATATGTCTATATTATTTTGAGCTCTGCTGTTGAGTCGAGTTCTCAGAAATGAATGGGGAACTGAGAGGCAGAGATACTCACTAATTTACTGAATCTCAGTTCTGTAATTCTACAGAACTGTACAGACTGTTGTTAACAAATGAAGCCTAATGAACACACAAGAGGAGAGACAAGCAAAATCTTAAGTCTGTGGCTCAACTGTTGCTAGGGCTCTTTGGTATGATTTTTTTTTTTTTTTTTTTTTTTTTTTTTTGCTAATGCCATTTGTATGCACTGATTTTTATGTTTAAAACACGTTAGGTTAGATTAAAAATCATCCAGATGGTGGGAACAGTGGGAACTCTGGTTGATCTGTAACGTACATTGTTTTGTGTCTTCTCATTTTCACTTTCTAGTTAATATCTGAAAAGCCATTTCATAGACGTCTTCACCACCTGAGCACCTGGTTTTCTGTAAACTGTGGTGAGCAGTTTCCTCTTGCAACAGGAAGCAAGAGGAAAGGAAGCAAGGGAGCATAAAATCTGCTTGAAATCAGTTGAAACCAACCTGCTCCTTTTAAAGAAAATCTGTATTTAGCGAACAATTCTAAATACCAAGAACATTGAGCCTTATCACTTGAGAACTAAAAGTCTTGGAGACTGGGAAGTGCTTGACAGCAGATTGTTTCTCTATCTTAAGCTGTGTTGTGACACCCCCTGACGCATCCTGTAGTTAACAGCAGAAATTGTGGTGTAGTTATGTGCTTTCGCTATAGTTCAAGTATAACTCACTTCACCTTGTACCTACAGTGAAGAATGGCACCAAAATCATGTTTTTTTTCTTTGCCAATCGGCTCTGTTCAGTGTAAATGATGTGGGTCTGCTTGAAGTAGTTTCATAGATGATGTTTTATGTCATTAAAATGAAAGGTCAACTCTCACTGTCAGTGTAGCCTTTATAAATACTTTAATATAATACTTTAATACTAAATATTTTTAATATTATTATATAAATTAGAAGTTCTAGCTTTATGTGCATATGAATGTAAGTAGGATATGTCATAAAATGTACCAACAAAATCAATGCTCAAATCTATGAGGGACTTAACTATTACAAACAACAGATAAATTAAATATGTGTTTTTATTTTTTTATTCAGGATGCCGTGGAGAACAAACTGGACACCAAAGAGTGGCCCCACCAGTCTGAGTGTCCCGCTGCCTGGAATGGCTCCGGGGCTGTCAGGTGGGTTTCTGTGAATGGCCACAGTAAACTGGGTCAGTAAGCTTCTGGATGTAATTCTACCAGAGTTGTGATCTGATCAGCCTTTTTTCTAAGGTTGATCCCAATTACAAACTTAAAATCAAACCTTTCAGATTATGTGAAAGCCAACACTTTTTCCTGGTTTCAAAGTTTTGCATAGTACACGATATTTTCCAATTTAAACACTGCTTTAACCTTTCTTTATAGCACAGGTTGCTCAAAAGTAATAGGTAGCTCTTTTCATTTTCATCTGAAGAAACTGGTTGACAAAACAATCCTAGGGACATGTTTTACACTGAATTTGAATTTAGAGACAAACGCAGACAGTGAAAGGGTGATGAATCAGCGCCCTCCAGTGATCATTAGTGCTACTGCATCCAGCACCAGCTTTGTATTGTGGTGTTATGTGGGATTGTTGAAAGCGTCTGGGTCAGTCTTTGGGGATCTAGAGATAGTTCTGAATATTTATCCATCACTCATTCCCTGTCTTTCTTGCCGAGATGTTGATTTTTCTGATTCTTTCTGTAATTTGAACATGTAGCCACCAGATTTTCTTTTAAATTTGTCTCAGTAAATCCTCTATCCGTCAATCTGCTCTGCTCCACAGCGCCCGCCAGAAGCACAAAGCCAGCACACAGGATGAACGCCGGGGTGGCTCACGCCTCATCATCTTTGTTATAGGAGGAATCAGCTTCTCTGAGATGCGCTCAGCCTACGAGGTCACCCAGGCAGTCAAATCCTGCGAGGTCATCATAGGTGAGCATTAATACAAGGTTATAGGTTATATCACCTTTTTCTCTAGGCATCTTTCAGCATTTTGACTTCATTTTATATCTCATGGTAAGTTTGTACTCAGTCAAAATGGAAAGAATATTTCTGTAATTCTTATTAAACCTGGTTGGCAATAGAAATGAGATGATGACTCACTGAGTTGTGGTCATTTAAATAAACTGAAGATGGCTTTGATCTTTTGCCCTGAAACACCCACTGAAATGTAAACTAACAGCCACTCCCTGTTTTTATGTCCAGCTTTTTAACACCCACTGCTGGAGCCAGTCAGAAACGTGTCAGGGTTTTATGCTCTAATTTGGGATCTAACTGTTTATACTTTGATTCTAGGGTCTTCCCACATTTTGACCCCCACGAGTCTCCTGGATGACATCAAGGCCCTAAGCAACGGCCCCATGGAGACTTTCACAATAGAGGAGAGGAGCAATGCCTGAGAGGAGGAGCAATGCCTGACTCCACCCCCCACCCCCCCCCACCCCCACCCCCTTCCCGTCTCCCTACATTTCATATCACACAGCACAGTGCACTCAACTCAACTTCCTGAATGGAAGACTGAAGGGAATTTACCTTATACTCATCTTTACGTTTTAATACTCTTTTCAAATCTAATGCACATTTACGGTAGGTATGAGGAAAAATTCTCTTCTAAGCAGATTTCCATGTTGAAAAGCTTTTGCCACAAGACTGTGGTCTGCTTATGGTGTTTATACACAGCTTTATGTTGACATTAAATAATATAGATCATATTAAAAGTGAATTGACCTCATCCTACTAAGAGCTTTTTAAGTAAAAATCTGCTCATCTTTGTTTGCCTTTGTCCTTAAGAAAATACTTGTGATGTTTCATGTTAAAAGACCTGAGAAACTCAGAGACAAACTGGATGGAGGGAATTAGCACAAAGCTAATGTATATACTGTATGTAAGCACTGAGTCCCTGCTCTACCATTTTGACTTTTTCAGTCACTGCTGTTTAAAAACACTTAATGTAATTTTGAAGAGTGTTTTTAACATAGAATATTTACGTTTTTCCTGTATTGAACAACTGACTAATAAATGGATGAAGTGGTTCAAAATTTGTAAGAGTTACAGTTAATGTTGATGTCTTTGTAGACTGGGAGGGAGTTAAATATATCAACTCTGTGTTAGATGGTTACAGAATAATTTCTGTAGCCTGACTTGTTTCTATACTGTTGTGAGAACAAAGTAAACAAAACAATGTAAGGGAATTAGTTTAGCACTTGAATGGGCTGAAAAGTGGCTGAGGTAAAACCTGATTCCTGTTATTGCTTTGACCTGATTCAACTATACACCAAGGGGCTCAGATATGTTGTTGGATGAAACAAATGTGTGTGTATCTGGATAGGTGGAGTGGTTAAAAGAATCATATAAAAGCACTACAGTTGTAACTTAATATTCATCACCAGAAAAACCTCAACCAAGCCCTTTTATTAACATGTCCAATAGACAATCAGCAGGAGCACCAGCATCCAGCTGCTCTTGTATCTGCTCAAGAGACAATAGGTGAAACCAGGATATTATGAGATTTTGTAATATAATAGATTAAATCTACCCTACTTCTGCAGGTATGATACTTTAGTTACATGGCATTGAGAATGTTAATCACATAGTTAAGACTGTACACAATACAGGAAAGTGTACATATTTCCTGAGTGTTTTCAAAAGGGTAAACATGAGACGGGTGTTGAATCTTTAAGTGTTGAGGCTTTGTACTGTAAGTGAATGCAACAAATGTTACACAGTAGGCTGGATTTATAGAAAATAAATGGAGGGATGTTTTAGTCCAGTTTATGATGTAACTCTAGCAACAAAAGAAAGATGAGGAATAAATTAAGGGCTTTATTTAACTTAAAGTTAAATAAAATAGTTGAGTATGGCATCAAACTCTGTCCCACATAGACAGCATCTCCACTTCATCTCAGGTGTCTCATCTCCCAGCCTCGATGTGCTAAGGAAGGCGTTTCACAGTGTTAGAAGAACAAGTCAGGTAAACTTAAAGTGTAATTTAATCATAAACTATCACCTGTTAATGGTAGTGGTGCCCCAGGCTTGAAGCAGAGACTTGTCAAAAACAATTATAGAAGGCGTTAATGTGTTTATAGTTTGACAAAGTCAGAATTTAATGGCAGTTAAATTAGCAAAATAAAACTTAATTTATGTTTTGTTTGCATTTATGGCAGAGCCAGAGGGCAGGACATAGATCATGACCTGATTTCCTGTGATTCTTCAGACACACAAACACGATACATGTGAGAGTATCGTGTTTGTGGGAAGGAGAGCATATCAGCTCATCAGATGTGATTAAACGAGAGAACAGGGCGGCTCTTTTACAGCGAGCTTTAAATCAGAATCACATTAAATTCATTTTTGTTTCCACTTTTAGTAATAAAACAATAATTTTATTAACAAAGCAATTTGAATACACATTTTATTTTATTTCTCCTCCATGATTGTTTTTTATTCTGTCTTCAACACCATTAAACATGTTTGCCACTATGCTGTGAGAGCACAGTAGAATTTCCTTCACATGATTGATCAAAACTACAGTATAGGAGCTGTGATCATAAGGATCATTGCAGACCTTCCATCAACTCTACATTAATGATTATTTCTACTATTAAAAGATACAGTTATCCTACAGAACAACATTTAATTGAATTCACTGTTTACAGCCAAACTAATGCATATTGACAGTTTCAGATTATTCTTGGGCTTTTTTTTTGGACGCCGGAACAAATATTATCTGAGGGAGGAAATATTAATGGTGAAATGTCTAACTGAACTAACTGTCATCTACCACTACCTAACTCCCACAGCATTGGCTGAAACCAGACGCAGCAATGTCAGTTACAGGGTAAGTGTCAGGTAACATACTGTATGAATACACACACAGACAGGGTGGTCCTGCTTCACTGATCCTATAGAGGGACACTTACCTTCAACAAGGTGACCCTGCTGTCTAACAGTGACCTACTTTCACTCTCCTCTCCTGTTTATATTTAATCATCTCACTCTACCTTTACTCTGTAGAGTAAACATACTTTTACAAATGTGGATCTGTTTGTTAAAGGCTACTGAAAAATTCCTAATTTCTTACCAGTTTTCTAACAAGTCAGCAAGACAGCAACTTGCCATTAAAGGTGCACTAATCTGTAAATCCCGTTTCTCAACATCAACTTGGCAAAGAGGGCAATTGTCCAGGGGCCCCAAAAACCCTAGGTTTACTCTACTCTAGTTCTGTCTACATATTTGAATTATTCACAGATTTGTCAGAAAATTACACTGAAGTATAAAATCATGTCAGGTCCATGAAGAAGAGTGTGCATGTTTATTCTTGTACACATCTCTGTTGAAAAAGATATCACAACCTAAATGAGACTTCCTGGTTTACATTAAGGATTAAATAAATAAATAAATAATAAACACTCTATTTGTTTATTATTTATCTTAGATAATAACTCACTCAAATTGATAAAAAAAAAAAAACATACTACAGTAAATCATTCATGTATCAAAAAACTATAACTTGAAGTAGCTTATTGCACTAATACTGACATTTACAATAAACTGTTGTAAACTGCTGCAAATGAGTGCCTGAAATGATTAAAACTAAGTATGATTGGGACTAAAGTCACGTGTTTTTTAAAAAAACTTTTCATATACTTTGCTTTTCGCCTGCGCATGCGTGAGAACTCTCCACCCGCACAGGTTTCTACTGTTGTCATGACAATCGTCGCTTAACGTTACAGCAGAGTCAAAACTCAAATCTGATTCTGATAGTTAAAGTTTTCTCCCGCCTCTAACTAGAAACCTCCGTTAAAGCTTACTGTAAACTAACTGCTGTTGTACTCTAATGGATTCAGGTGAGTTACTTTAAGAGAGGATACGTACCGGTTAAAATGCTGTCGACGACCGGTAAAGGTGTAGCGGCAGCCCCGCAGGGGAGAGGAGGAGGAGGGCGTGCGGATCCAGGGGCAGGGAGGAAAAGCACCGGCCACAGAGGAGCTCAAAGCGGTGAAGACAGACGAGAGGGGCTCGGTGTTCAGGAGTGGTCCGACGGATCCAGATATGAGGGAGACTTTGTGAACGGTTTCAAACACGGCAAAGGAAGGTACACCTGGAGAAACGGAGAGGTAACTAATGTGAAAATAACATGATCAGTGCTGGACGAAGGAGCAACACCACACTGAAGAAATAGTGTTACGTGTAAAAGTCAAGCTTTCATAATTGTACATTAGTAAAAGTAGTATAAACATCAACATATACTTTGCTGAAAGTAAAAGCACTCATCGTACAGAATTGCCCAGTTCAGGTTAATATATATTTGCCTGTTGGCAGTGATGGAAGATCATAATACAATACAACAGTGTAGAAATACTGGTAAAGGTCATGCATTCAACATTTTTTGCTGTTTATATTTTCTATAAATAATCTGAATCTGCAAAGTAACTAGTTACTAAAACTGTCAAATAAATGTAAACAAATAAATAAATCTGAAATCTAGTGGAGTATAAGTATAAAATAGCATTAAATGGAAATATGCAAGTAAAGTACCTCAACATTGTACTGTACAGTAGTTGAGGTGATGTACTCACATACTTTCCTCCACTGAACATGATAAAGATTCAGGCTAAAAATATGTCAGACCATTTTTGCCAGTTTTCTTCAGCAAGCTAGCTGTGTTCAGTTTTAGGAATTTACTGTATATTTTTGCAAAAATAGGCAATAATAGAAAGGTCATCATGGTATTGTATGTCCTGTGTGAATGGCAGAAAGCATTTATATAAAACATAATGACATTTTTTCACTGTCTCCTGGAGTTACCCGTAAATAAAGCAAACTACTGTTTGATTTCCCTGTCTGCTCCTTTGTGTAGTTCTATGAGGGCTCTTTCTACAAAGACTACAGGCATGGGGACGGACTGTACTGCTGGCCCACAGGCCACAAGTTCATTGGCAAGTTCTACCTCAACAGAAAGGAAGGATATGGACAGCAACTGTTCCCTGATGGAACCACCTTTCAGGCAAACTGGATGGATGGATGGATGATGACAGATATTTGGGTAGGTTTTGTTTTTAGTTTATAAATAACAATGAACCTCTCCCCTCCTCTCAGGGCTTGTACTATGCTGACCAGAGGTTTGGTCCAGGTGTGGTTAGTTATCCAGATGGCCGTCAGGATGTGGGTCTATGGCTCAGGGAATGCCTGCTAAAGCTCTGCACCACTGTAGAAGAGGGCTTTAGCCTGAAGAACTTTCCAGAATATGCTGCCTACATGGACCCAGATGCCACCACAGATTCGACTCAGGTATATGCTGACCACTGTGTCATTCACAGGCCATTTGGCTAAAGCATCTGTATTCATATTTGCTTACACATTAAAGTTAAAACAATGACCCAGCCAAAAAGATGTAAAACATCTCTCCTGACCGTAGGTCCAGAACCAAAACGACTTTGAGACACTATGTCGTTGTATTTGGAAGTATTTTTTCACACTTACATTTTGTCATCAAACCATTATAATAGTCAGCCCCCCGCTACTGGACAATGTAAGCAAAATAATGTCTTACAAAGAAGAAGTGGATATATAATTTCTTTTACATCTATACATATGTAGTGCTTAAGCAATCAAAATTGATAAATTATGTAATTTAATATGTACACATTTGCTTCAACTGACCTCTTTGCTCTTCTTTATTCTCCTCACCAGCCTCCCATTCTCTCTAGTAGTTTACACACAGAAGCCAGGACACACTCTGAGGTAAAATACTGCTATAATGATTAATTATATGAGCTTTGTGACTTCACTCAAAGCAGATAAATTAGTCCCCCATCCTCTTCAGGTGCATACAGACAGAGAGCTGCTGCAGTCAGATGAGAATTTTATCCTTCCCCCCGGCATGGAGAGTTACTCAACAGATGGCGACCACTTGCCACTTCCCCCTGGCCGAAGAAGAGAGTTGGATCAACTGTTTTATGGCGAGCTGTGGGAGCCGGACATTAATCCGTACCAAGGCTATGAACGAGACCCACTCTCCACTCTGCCCTTACAGGCCCGCATGCAGGCTCACATACACAAACACAGGTCAGACATACAGTACATCAAAAAAATGTTGTTTGAGCATTGGTAGCAAAACATATTGTACTGTGAAAAATTAAAAAAAAAAAGATGTGTGCATCCTGCACAGGTATGACTGCAAACAGTACTGCAAGTGACTGATCTGTTGTGTGTGTCTCTCAGACGACATGCTGAAAATGTGGGCTGGGACGTGGCTGCCGTTCTCGCTCTGAACAGGGAACGTTTTGGTCCCAAAGGGCCTTTGGAAGTCAGCTCAGAGCGGATGATACAGCACGCCTCCCTAGGGGAACTGCAGGCTGTTTCTCAGATCCTCCGGACTGGTTTGGTCCACCCTGATGTAGCAGATTCACAGGGACACACTGCACTGATTGCTGCCACAGTAACACATTATTAGTTGTTGGGTTTTTTTTTTGGCTCTTTGTTTGTTGATTCAGTTTTTTCACTCATTTGCTCTTTGATTGTTATCCATTAACAATTAGAGTCAACAATTAAAGTAAAATGAATAAAACATTCAAAGGCTTTTTTATTGTTCTTTGGTTTTAGTGTCATGTTTGTCTCTCTGACTGCTTTATGTTTGTTGTCTTTTTCTTGTACCTGTCAGGTAAACTGCCACAATGACGTGATCCAGCTGCTGTTGAATCTGGGTGCTGACATTGACAAGTTGAACTGTGAAGGCATGTCTGCCCTGGCTGTGTGCCATGTTGTCTACTACCCTTTTCATTCTCTGCACACCACTTTGGCTGAACCGTCTCCCAAATCTCAAGTAAGACTGAACTTAATGTAGTTTTTAGTCATGCTCGATGGATGGCGGTGTTGGTCTGTTGGTTAGTCCTCTGATCCACACTGAAATATCTCAATAATTACTAGAAGGATTGTCCAGAAATTTAGTGCAGACATTTATGATAAGTAAGTAAAAACTTTTTTTTTTAAAAAAGCAACAAAGTGCTTCACATGAAATGAATCAAACAACCATGATAGCAACAAGGTTACAAGGAAAATAGTTACTAAAGAGAACTAAAATCAACAGCACAATCAGAGCGAATATGAAATTTTTGTTTTTTAAAGACATGTTGAAAACTGCCATGGACATTTGTATAGACATCCATGATGACCAGAATATGAATCCATTAGACTTTGGTGATCATCTGACTTTTTCTCCATATCTTTTTCTCACCAAATATCTCAACATCTACTACATAGAGTGGGACCAAACATTGCACAGACACTTGTGGTTACGTCAGTGAATTTCTAGCGCCATCATCTGGTCAAGATTTGAACTTGCGTCATAAATTGGTTTGGCCAAATACCTGCAAAACTAATGACATTCCCATCAGCCTCAACTTTGCTTTGTGTTGAGTGCTAATCAACAGCTGCTAACATGCTAACACTCTAAACTAAGATGGTGAACACAGTAAACATTATGCCTGCTTAAGAATGGCATGTTAGCATTGTCAATGTGAGCATGTTAGCTTGATGTTAACACTGATGTTAGCTTTTAACCTAAAGCACCACTGGGCCTAAGAATGGCTGTAGACTCTTAGTCTTGTTTCTTAGTGTTTTCTCATGACCCAGAGTTCATATGTATGAAACTATGTTTTGCACAGACGATTGAAATGAAACAGCCTCTACCGCAATGTGTCATCAGGTTTTGAGGTCTCCATCTGCATGTGGGAGCAGTCCCCAGATCAGCCAACTGGGCTTCACTAGAGACACACTTGGGCTTCATGACAGACCCCAGACCACTATGCAGACCAGCCAGAGCCAACTCTGTGACCAGTAAGGATACAGCTAATACCACTGCTTTCACATATCATTCAGCAGAAACTGTATATAATGTATATCCTGTTATGCACAGCTGATATCTCCCACTGTTAATAATTAAGATAAAGCAAAGTGATAATGGTCATGAAAATGTTATATTCAGAGCTGTGTGACTCCTTACAACAGTTATGAGGTGTGTCTCTAAAACAAACTGATGTATTAATTTATGTTCCCTATCTGTTGTATTTTTTCAGGACAGCAGAAGAATTAACACAGCACATCTCACATATCAGCAGTAAAGCGTCCAATGATAGTGAGCTCATTACTGAGCCTGGCCTAAATGAACCTGAGACCCCTACGGACACCGAACACCAACTTGTGGAGGAGAGAGAAGAGGACAGGAAGGAGAAACAAAGAGAGGGAGAGGTTCGAGAGAAAGCAGAAAGCAGCCATAGGGATTATGAGGGGGAGAGCAACGGTGAGGAGAGAAAGACTGTGGAAGAACATGATCAAACAAGGGAAAGTGAAGTAAAAGGCAAGGAAACAGTCATTGAGTTGAGAAAGAAGGATGTGGAATTGAGTGAGGAGGTCGAGGAAGGTGTAGAGGAGAAAGTGAGGCATGTTCATGAAGAGGATAAAGAGGAGAGAGGAAGTGTGGAGCGCTCCATTCAGGTGTTGGATGGACACATTGCACTGGGCAGCGTGCAGTGGAAGGAATGCCGAGCTAAGGCAGCAACAATAGTTCAGGTATAAAGAGTTCCCTTCCTATAATTGGTTTGATAGGTTGGTACTTGTTTGAACACACTGATGTCCACTCATCTGTCTGTCTGCAGCAGGGCAAAGACAAAGACCTGACCCAGAATCAGACCTTTGATTCTGCCCGCTCTGTCAGCAGCTATAACATCCAGGTCACAGAGGAAGTGATGCAGCTCTCGGCAGAAGCTCTGAGTCGCACAGGGATTCCTCAGCGCTCTGACACACAGGAGACTGTACGCAAAATGGCTGCTATGAAAATTGAGTCAGTTCTCTTTCTCTCTCTTTTCACCCCACTGTTTGTTTTGTTCTGATGATACTTGCCTCGTTTCCATATGTGTCTCTCTGAATAACTTTTATTTGTTGTGTGCCTGTCTGACCAGACACCGTCTTCGTTTGAAAACCATGAAGCTGTTATTAGAACGGGGAGCTGACCCCAACGTATCCAAGGTTCCCATGCCTGTCATCTTTTTAGCAGTTATGGCAGCTGACACTGAGGCTGTCAGGAGACTGCTGCTGTGTGGAGCTCGTACTGACATTCCCCTTCCACCTGAGGTAGGAATTAGTGTTTTACTTCCTCTAAAGGAGAAATTTATTAATGGGGGTGGGGGGTTACAAGTTTGTTGAACCACGGAGAAACCAAATGAGTGATATCTTAAAATTAATATATCTCATATCTTGAAACAAACACACACAAAACAAAATGAGAACATGTATATTGCACTCCTCCCTCCCGCACACCTTCTGTCCATCTTTTCCAAAAACCATGAAATTCATCATTGTAGAGGAGAGGCCTTTATCCCCTGCATGTAGCTGCAGCACTGCCAGGTTCACCAGGCCCCAGAATCACAGAACTGCTGCTGTACACTATCAACGACCCAGATGCACAGGCACAAGACCAGGACAAGATCTATGAACCGGATAGGGTGCGTATGTTCTTGCACATGAAGCTTAATTTGTGTCCTTGGTAGTAATGGTTTTGGCAATAGTTAAACTGAAAAGAGAAAAGAGTTTCTCTCTTGGTCTTTTACAGATTTTCATGAAGGCTCAGAAGCCACTGAGCACAGATGAGTGGTCACATCTCAAAGAAGGAGGCAGGACGGCCCTGCATGTGGCCTGCCAGAGAGACAGTGACTACCGGGTCAGTACATACTGTGCATGCACATGCTCATGTTGAAATCTGTAGCATGTTGCACACATGATACATGATTATTTTGAATTCACCCAATCCCATAGAATGACAAGGGACACATGTTACAAGGAAAAAATACATGCAGAGTGTATTATGTGATTTTACTTTGAATAACATGACTTTTAATGTGTCTGGAAAAAATGAAAGGCAATAATTTGGCTACGTAGATATTTAATATTTAAAATCTTTTTGGAGAAACAGTTTCCTCTTCAAAAAGCTAACAGCTGTGGGATGTTTAGTGCGAGGCAGAAAATCACAAAAATCATGAGCTTTTCTCACAGTAATATTTTGTTCTATTTAATGGACGTATGTGTTTGTTTTCTGACAGAATGCCAGTAAGGTGGTGGCCCTTCTGCTCTCCCACAGAGCCAGCACAGACCTCCTCTGGAGTGGACACTCACCTCTCTCCCTGGCTATAGCAAGTGGCAATGACCTGGTAGACCACACACACACACACACACACACACACACACACACACACACACAGAGTCACACACAGAGTCACACATACACATACTGCACACGTGCACAAAACTTCTTTTTTGCCTGGTCCCTGTTTCTTTTTCCTGCTTAGGCAGTGGAGGAGCTGTTGAAAGGTGGTGCAGATCCCAACATCCCCCTTGGCCGTGGGGTGGGCAGCGCTCTCTGCGCTCTCGCAAACATCAACTACCACTTAGGTGGCAACAGAGCTAAGCTGGTACCCAAACAAACACACACACAAACAAATAGCCATATATGAGTGTTAAACATCCTAAAGACAAGAGAGAAATTGCAGTGACATTATAAGGCATTTCTAAATTTCCAACATACAGTATATCCTCCTAATAAATTAACAGTGAAAAAATCAGTCGCTACTTTGAGTCGTTCAGTCATGCATATTTGTATCTGTGATGTAGTTGGATGTGTTAGCCAAAGCTGGTGCTGACATCTTGATGCCAATTATGGTGGGTGATGTTGTGGGAACTGCAGTCGACTATGCACACCACTCCTTTAATCAGGTAAGGCACCTTTTGTGAGAACTCTCTATACATCTAGTTGAATTCAATAAACTTTATTTAGTCTTTGCAGGGAATGAAAAAGTTTGCATGGCTGAGCACAGATACACACATAATGTACCATACACTGGATTACCACTATATTATTATAATGTACACCTGTACAGTCTTAGTACATTACACTACAAAAGCCCTGCAATAAATCCTAGTTGTAACTTTAACTTTGTGGTACTTTTGAGGCTATAGTTAGAAAAAGCTTTAAGTAGTTTTTTGTTTATTTCTTTGCCACATCATTTCATCTGAATAGCCGTCTGTATGTTACCATCTAGGACTTGCGTATTGCCAACACTCCCTTCCACGCTCTGAGCATGCGGGAGAGGGAAACGTTCAAAGCACGGCGCCAGTTGCTGAGCATGATGAGAGATCTGCTGAGACGGACTGCTGGCCAGTGGGAGACCGAGAATTTAGACGGAGAACAACATCTCACACTAAATGGTCAGTACATTGCATTTGTGCCAAAAAAAAAAAAAAAAAGACAGTTGTTTTGTGTTTGTGAGTATGGTTGTAAATCATAGTGGGTGCATGTGTGTGTGCATGTGTACTAACAGGTACCAGTAGTGCAGAGAGGTTTGTGCACAAGGGGGCAGGTGCCATCTCCTCAAACAGGCCCCTCCTCAGCTGTGAAAGTCTACCACACATAACAGAAAAACACAGGTACAAACACACATTCATATGAGGCACCCTGTCCCTTTTCTTTATCAATCCCCTGTCATGCTTACTACTGACTCAAATCAAATTTTAGCGTGAGAGTTGAGAGGGAAAATAAAGCAACACAAACCTTTCAGGAGCCTGTTTCCAACTCTATGTTTTCTCCTAGGAAACCATTGTTTAAATTCTGCTATCAGTGTGGTCGCTCTGTGTCCGTGAAGCTGACAGCTTGTAGCCGCTGCCACAAGGTCTTCTACTGCTCCAGGTCCTGTAAACTGAAAGCATGGGATGAACGACACAAGGAAGAGTGTATCCGGATGTCAGGTGGGAATCAGGACCTCTCCTTCCCACAGTTACAACCCAGCAAACCCAACCCCCAAATCCTACCTCAGCAGCGCCGAAGCTGAGACCAGAAATATCACAAAATAAGCTTTTAATAAAATAACTTTGTGTAACTTTGTCATAGTGTTTTGAATCTGTAATATCTACAGGATAGACTCATGATTTTGAGAAATATTAATCATGTACAATATCTTGGAAATTTGGTTTTAGATTTTGGATGATTAGAGTATGTAAATACTTTGTCTATCTGTCTCTCTCAATCCAGCATCTGCTGATGGCATCCAGAAGAGAGTTGCGTTTAATTCCCAAAGAGGCCCCAGGCCCATGACTGTCATGTTGAAATCCAAAACAGTCCCCAGGCCCTTGAGTGTCAACTTGAAATCCCAAAGCCTCTCCAGGCCCCTGAAAATGGCAGAGAAGGTCTTGGAGAGCCAAGTCAACCTGAAGGAAAACTACAGCTACAACTGATGAACACTAAAATTTAACTTTATCCTCCTAATATTGCAATGCACTTCTGTTACATCATGTCTTTCCCTGATTCTGAGTCTTAACTTTATATATTTGGCTGATTGGTGATATTTTGTGCCATAATCATTTCCCTTTGTAGGCTTTCAATCTGTAATAGTATTGTAATAATGTCTGCCTGTGTTATTGTCACAGAAACACTGACAACATTGAATGGTTGCATTAATTTACATATTTACAAAATGAATCCAGTAGGAATCAGTACCAGAGTTTGGCTGTTATATCACCATTTGTAATGCTATAACTGTTGTTGATCTTCTTTTCTATAATATAGAAAATGAGCCAGCTTCACCTGCTGCTTCATATTGTATAGTAGTTCACAGCTTCCTGTTATTCAGTCAATGGAGAGTGAAAATACATTAATAACCACCACAATATTACACTGCTGCACTAGATTCCACACTATCCATGTTCTTGCAGTCATACTTTGAATTGTGGCCTACATGGTTGGGACAGGCATCACAAACCTCTTCCATAAACTCCAGTAGGCCGATGCTAATGGGTCCAGGCTGGTGCAAGCCATTGGTTCAGGCTGGAACTCAAGGCCTTTCAAAACCAGAACCTGCAGGTAATGAGGCACCTCTAGCCTGAGGTATACAAGTCTCCACATAAGCCCTGCAGCTTTGGCTCCTTATCTTGCGGTGCCACCATCAGGAGGAACTCATTGATCTGGAGAAGAGCCCAGATAAGTTTAGACTCTCCTAGAGCTGCATTGTCATCCTGGTTGACAGTAATGACCCTGTCTGCAAAGGTGCTCAAAGATGGCTGCTCTCTATAGTAGGAGAATGACAGTGTTTGGTTAAATATGTAGTAAGTGTGGTATAGGCTGAATAAAAATAATTAATGTAAAAACTATTTGAACAGTCTGCATCCATGTCATTGAAGTCTACAGACATGTATCTTTTCTATATCCAAGATGGATAAAAGCAGAGAGTCTTATTGGGAGAGTAAATGAAGCATTTTCAGAGGAATCTGCTTGTGCTTTTGTGCTTTTTACTTACTATTTTTATGCTTTTATTTCTGTTAAGCACATTGAATGACCTCTGTATGACAATGTGCTACACAAATAAATTTGCCTTGCCTTAATCCAGTACTGATTGACCCTCTAACTGATTGTCCTTAACACACCTTTCAGTCCAGGAAAGGGATCTGTTGTTGTTTGGGCCTTCACAAGGTTTTTTTTCCCCCAGTATCACCTGTGTAAAAGTTTAATTATTTTAGAAATTGCATCCTCTAGTTTTTGTTTGCATGTATCATCCAGCTCTGCACGACAACATAATAATATATTGGTTCTTTGTGTAAAGAAAAGCTGACTAATGTTTGGCCTGACATCAACAACAGAGATTGATGTGACTGCTGTATATTGTGTCTTGCATCATACACACATTAGTCATCAGTGGGACGGGCAACCATAGACCGGCGCCTGGGAGGATTTAACGAGCACTTTTAACTTTGCACTACTTCATCTTTTAAAGAGGCAAAGCCGCCGGTTGAAACAACTGCAATCTCAGTACGACGACTTTAAAAGACGAACTTCGACTCCAGCAGGACACAGTCAAACACGTAGCCTCACAAACAGTGCGAGAAGAAAGTGGAAGTTACTGTGACTGGGACGGCAGGTATGAAAACCGACTTGGAAGACCAGGAAGACGAGCTACTCGCCCTCCATAGTATCTTTGGTTTGGAGGAGTTCGTCCGGAATGAGTCGAACCCTGCCGGAGAAATCCGAGTGTCAGTTGAGCTTCCTGCGGACTTCACTGTGGCTCTGACAGAGGGTTAGTAAGCCAATTACAGAAAAGAGCATATTGAAATTAATATTAACTGAAGGGTGTGGAAGATAACAGCTTGTCGATGAGCCATAACATTGCCGGGATTGGTAAGATATTTTGGTGCTGTTCAAATCATGGCTGTCTAAATTGCTTTGCATGGGAAACTACTGCTTCCCAAGCCCATAGACTGAAGTAATCTTATCTCATTATAATGGAAGGTAAAAAGTAGTTTGATCACTAAAAGAAATGTTTAACATCAATAACCAACAATTTCCCTCATTTGAAAATGAATAGCTAAATATGAAACAGAAATAAAAGAAAAAAAATGTAATATAATATAACTGTTATTGAAGAAAAAGAATCTCTTAGTTGTCAGTTTTTCCAACAAATAGACATGCTTTCATCATGTTTTAGTATCATATGTGCTTGTTTTTATGGCATTTTTGTATCATTGTAAATTGTTTGTGTTTAATGTTATTTTGTATGTATTATTGAGTGTGATGCATTTTAAAGGGACAGGTATTGCAAACTAGCTTATGCTATAAATGCTTCTGTCTCTATACAAATAAACATTAAATAAATATAGACAGCAGAAGGTCAGCAAAAAATCATGCATATAACATGATTAAGAAAAAGAAAGAAAGAAAGAAAGAAAGAAAGAGAAAAATGGTCAGTCCACAACTGACAGTCTTGATGAACATAGTTTAGTGTTTATGTGTGTAGTAATGTACTTTGTTCATATTGTCTTGTTGTTTTTCTTTCTAAGGTGAAACGGTGAGGCAATATGAAATATCATTCCTGCCACCTCTGCTCCTGACCTTTGAACTTCCTGAGGACTACCCATCCTCCTCCCCTCCCTCCTTCACCCTCACCTGCAGCTGGCTGACACACACACAGGTAATCAGTAGAAGCAATGTGGGTCACTTACAACATTATTGGTCACATTTACAACTCTCCCAGTGTGTGTGAGTGATTGCAGAGAATCTATAAAGCTTACCAGCTGTCCCCCTACAGCTCTCTGCACTGGGCGCTCAGCTCACTGATCTCTACCAGGCAACCGGAGGCGCAGTGGTGCTCTTCTCCTGGGTGCAGTTTCTCAGAGAAGATACCCTCCAGTTCCTGGACATCCACACTCTGCTGGAGCTCTACTCTGATGAACACAGCACTCTGCGCTGTAGCCAAGACTCACAAAATGCTGCACTCTCACAAACAAATAATAATCAAGACACTCCAAAGTCAGATGACCAAAGTTGTAATGTTTCAGATCTACCTGCACAATCCATGGAAGTTCAGCACCCGAATGTGATTCTTGCTGATGGCCAAAATCCCTCAATATCAGACCAGAGCAGCACAGACTCTCAGGGAGTCAGCAATGTCAGCCAGAGTCGTCAAAACTCAGGGCCTCCGAGTGAATCTAACCAAATCGCACAAGGCTCACATGCAAAGGAGGCTGAACAGACCTTCCAGCCCTCAGAGTTAAAGGCTGACGGCCAGAGGGATCTGTCTTCAGAGGCAGGCAAATCCAAGCCTCCTCCATTTTCTGAGTCTGATCAAATTGTCCAGGAAGATTTCTCAAATGAAGGCGGTGTTTCAGCCTCATTATTGCCTCCAGATGAAGTAGATCAGAGTGGACAAGAAGGAGCTGCTCCTCTGCAAGCCCACCCCAGAGAGTCCTTTGAAAATAAAGCGCAAACCCCCTCCCTAACTCCATCACAAACTCTGCTGTCCCAGCTCTTGATCTATGATGCAGCCCAGAAACAGAAAGTGTTTGCCGCTACGGTGTTTGACTGTAGTGTGTGCTTTGTGGGCTGGCTCGGTTCGGAGTGTGTGCAGTTGCTTGAGTGTGGCCACATCTTCTGCCAGACATGTCTCACTGAGTTCTGTAAGCTCCAGATAACAGAGGGGAACGTCCGGGGTGTCACCTGTCCTCAGGCAGACTGCACGGCCAGCCCCACGCCTGCACAGGTACAGTCTTCACCTCTCTGTCTCTGTCTGTCTGTCTGTCTGTCTGTCTGTCTGTCTGTCTGTCTGTCTGTCTGTCTGTCCTGCCAACTACAGCTTCATTCTGATTGTCCTCTTGTGTTTCGAGGATTTGGGATGTTGAGCAAGAATTACTAAATTTGTTGCAGCTATACTGTATACGCCTTTGTTAACATATCTGCAATAAGCTCATAGCGATTGACATATTTGGTCTAACTCAACAAAACAACCTACTAATTATTGGCAAAAGAAATCTCCCGGATTTTAATGTAGATTATCTGACTTCTTTGCCTCACTCTGCCGTGTCTGATTTTCTGTTTTTCTGTTTTGAAGGTGAAAAGTCTGGTGGGGGAGGAACTGTTCAGCCGCTATGATCGTCTCCTGCTGCAGTCGACTCTGGACCTCATGCCCGGTGTGTTTCCCTTATATTTCTTGTAAAACTCAGGATGCCTTCAACGCCTTTATACACCCGAATGACTCAAGATAAATAAAAACCTAATTTAATTTTCCATCGGGTTCTTGTCTCTTCTCTTCTCCCCTCCTCTTACGAGCAGATGTGGCGTACTGTCCTCGGCTTTCATGTGGTTCACCTGTCATTCTGGAGAAGTCCAGCACTGCAGCGCTGTGCTCTGTGTGCGGCTTTGCTTTCTGTGTCACCTGCAGAAAGACCTACCATGGAACAGATGACTGTCAGGCAAAGAAGGCCATGAAACAAAAACAGATGGAAAAAGACCTACAGCAAGGCCATTTAGAGTTGCCACAGTCACAAGGTATGTGTGTGTGTGTGTGTGTGTGCGTGTGTGTGTGCGCTTGGCAAAGTCTTGGCAAATGCATAAAAGGTATTGTATAAAGTGAGATTTCCATGTCTTCTTTGATTATAAAGCAGCTGTCTAGGTTTCTATTTTAATACTGTGAAAATATCAAAGCGCTCAGTCCACAGAGAAATGCAAACAGCCTGTATTCAGAAACTCGACCCGCCCACCTGGACCCACCATCCAACCTTACAGGATTTGGTTTCTCTCAGTGTTTAGCTGAAACCTGCAAATCTTTTATTCCATCACTCAGAAAACAGTCAGCCAATCAGAAGAGAAGCTCAGAGCCTCCTCTCTCTCACTGACCTGTTGTTACTAGAGCTCCAGAGAGAAGCCTGAGAGAGGTAATGTAAAACTGCACTGAGATGGTTTTTGGTTCTTAAAACCACAAACATATCTTCTTATGGGTATCAAGATAACATTTATTTGACATGAGATGATATTTAAAATGAGCTGCACTGATTCCATATCTGAACCTTTTCTTGGTACTTGTGTGCTACAGCAATGTGTTAAACCTAACAAAAGCTGTAATGATGAGGGGTAAGTCTGTAAAATTAGATGTCTGTCTTATTAGGCTTCGTCAAGCCCAGGTGACCTACAACTATTTAATTAAGAATTACAAAGTTTTAGAGCAATTATACATCAAATAAATCTATAAAAAAACAGACCAAGATTCTTGAGTTTCTTAGGTAGCAGAGAGGAACTTCTGTCTTAGTGGAAGCAGATGACGTGGCAGGTTGATAATACTGTAGATAACAGGCAAATAATAGAAAACTGATGTTTTTGGTTAACTTTTAATTACAGTCCCATCACTGGATTGAATATTCAGTTTGCGTGGATGCAGATGTGTGTGCGGTGCAGTGTGTCGGTGTGTATCTGAAGCAGTTCTCTGTGTTGCTGTGTGTGCCTCAGAGGGGATGAAGGCTCTGTGGGACGACTATACCAGCGGCAGCAATCAGAGGCGGCTCGTCCTGCAGAGCAGGTACGGCCAGAGGGTGCTGAAGGTCAACCTGGAGGACAGTCTGAGCGAGCACTGGATGGAAGTCAACAGTAAGAACTGTCCTCACTGCTTCTGCAGAATAGAGGTATTTATCAATTCATCTATCAGCATTTATTTCCACACATACACATGAACTCATGAGCACCGACAAATATGTGTTTACAAACAGTTTTTAAGAGACAGAGTTGGGCCTTGGCGCGCCATTTGATTTTCTGACTGTTTTAGATCAATGTTGTTTCTAATACATATGTTGTTGCGTTTTATGTTGCAGAAAAACAGAGGATGTAACATGATGACATGCTCTCAGTGTAGACAGCGTTTCTGCTGGGCCTGCCTCACCAGACTGCCCAAGGCTGGTGCAGGCAGACACTTTGAGGACAGTCCCTGTTCTGTCTACCAGTGGTAGCTGACATAGTCCTTCAGCCACTTTGACCTCCAGCCATGGAGGGAACTGAGTCAACACATTTTGCATATGTTATGCTATGTTAAGTGCACAAGCATCGGAGGGCAGTTTGCAATACAAATAAGTGCTAATTTAATGAAACATGTAAAAAACATGATAATGTGGAGCATGTTTTCAAAAAATTATGATCTCAACACAGTTGGGAATAAACACTCTTAACATTAGATCCTCTATGGTGTTTTGCTGCGGATGGGCCAACATGTTATTTAGTCACAGTTTATACCAAAAAAGCCAAAATCATACAAATGTCATGTTAGTTTCACTTTTAGAAGTTTACATTTTAAAACTAAATATTTAACATCCTACTATCACTGATGTCAAGTCATTCACAAAATGACACTATGTGTCTGTTATGACCAGTAGATGGTGCTAAATACCATTGCTCTGAAGTAACTAGCGGTTCCCATTTGTTTATATCCTTTTTATATACAGTCTATGGTTATATCAAGAATTAGGGTCGGCAACTGATGATTGTTTTCATTATTATTCTGTCTGCAAATAATTTCTTTGATTAATAGATCAATTAAATGCCAATCATACTGTAAGTTGCTTTGTTTTGTCTAAGGTGTCCACAACCTGAAGATGTTCCATTTAATGCCATAAAAGACAAAGAAAAAAAGCTAAAAGACTGAAACTGGTAAAATCTTCCCAGTATTACTTAAAAAAAATGACACTGAAAATCTGAGTATCAAAACTGCTGCACTTTGCTTTTCTGTTGATCGTCTAATCAATTCAATGACTGATCATTATAGCTCCGGTATGTAGGGAGTCACTTTTTAAATTCTTTCCACTCCCTGTTACGCAGTTTTATTTTCACAAAGGATTATATCCTACAGCATCCAAACAACTGCTCTACAGGATGGTTTTCGATGTACAACACCTTTACTGCTTAACATTTTAAAGATACATAATCACTTTATTCTTCTGAACCGCACAAATGTTTCAACTGTGTTCAAAGGACACCCCGCAGGTAGTTTATGGGGCATTTTGCCTCTACTCACTGATTGACTTCCTGTTTTTGAAACACCCCCCCTCCCTTCCTCCACTGTTCTGTCACAACAGTGGAACAAAGACCACTGCTGCACGTCCCCAGGCTGTCTGAGACATGATCGGAAAGCTACAGCTGTCTCTCATATGAAGCCAAGAAATGCTGGCCCTCTCTCTTGTTGTCTCTCTTCATGTGTGTGTGTGTGTGTGTGTGTGTGTGTTCCTGTATCTTTTCCAGGAAAAATCCAGTTTCCAAACAGGGGTCATCACTTCCCCATAAATGTCTAAACAACTGTTTGCCTTACTGACCCACAGTCCTCTCTAGCAGGGCCTGGAGGACTGGAACTGGAGAACTGGACATGTGTTTATGGTAGTCGAAGCTTTTTTGGTAAAACGTGACACAGAAAGTACGAATGCAAAGGCATGAATCCCAGAGAGAAATGTAATATATGACATTTATCTCCATATATCAACAGTGATGTTGCCATATATGTCACCCTTTTTATACAGAACGCATATGTTGTGTTAACATTATATATTTAATTTTATTTATGCAAGTTTATTAAAACAACATATATGTTTATATATGTTTTTATTCATTTCTCATTAATTTTAAACATGTCTATCTACACATTCTGGGAAAGTGGTCTCAGACTTTTGGAACCTAACGTATATAATATAAACATATACTGACAGGCTATATGTTTATGTAACATACAGTATGTAATATAAGCATACACACAGAAATGTATATATTTGTATAGCTAGATATATATGTCAATATATGAAATTGTTTCAATTTCTAACAGCCTTCATGTATGATTTTTACATACATATATGTACATATGAAATAAAAATGTATATTGAATATATGGAAATTCAATATATGTACATATGTCACATTTGCATATAGGATGCACCTAAGCACTGCTATCATAAAACCACTGAAGTAAGGCTGACCATACATCTCAGAAGGGGTTGTCAAAAATATTAATATTATATGGCTCAAATGTACCAGGGTGTGAAATCACTGTCAACACAGAACAATCTGTCAACTTCGTCCTAACCTTTAAGACATCACTCCTGTCGCTTTTAAAGAGCTTCTTAAATCCACACTGAACTACACAGGACAGAAAGCTGCTGCTGGGCTTTGACATTCTCAGATATGATGTACTTGTGGCCACATGTAAAATGATTATTTGTCAAAAGCAAAACTCCTGCGGTGAAATCCACAGAGAACAGAGCAGCAGCAGTGATTGTGTTTTCTGATAAAACCTCTCTAAAAACTCTAATTGATCTCTTGTGCGAGCACACATAGATAGAGTGGCTTCAGAAAGTATTCAGACCTCTTCACTTTTTTTTTTTTCTCCACATTTTTTGCCCAACAATCTACACTCAGTGAGCCATTGTGAAAAAGTGAAAGAAAATCTGTGGGGAGACCTGACGATGGCAGTTCAGACAGGAACTGATCAAATCCATTCAATTCAATTTCACTTAAGCTGTAACTGGGGTTTCTAGAAAGTACTGAATCAAAGGTCTGGAATCTGGATACTTTTGAAAATGAGAGATTTCACTTTTTGATTTATATTAATTATCTTCACAGCTAGAAGGTTCTGGGTTTGAACCTGCCGGGCGGCCGGGGCCTTTCTGTGTGGAGTTTGCATGTTCTCCCTGCGCCTCTGTGGGTTTCCTCTGGGTATTCTGGCTTCTTCCCCCAATCCAAAGACATGCAGGTTTTGGTTAATTGGTGACTCTAAATTGTTCTTAGGTGTGAATGTGAGCGTGAATGTGTTGTTTGTCTCAATACATCAGCCCTGTGACGGATTGGCAACCTGTCAGCTGGGATTGGCTCCAGCACCCCCGGGACCCTGAAAGGATAAGTGGTATGGCTAATTAATGAATGAGATGAAATCATTGAGTTTAGATTAATGGACAAAAATGACATATTTTATCCATTTATAGTTAAATTTACAACTAAATAAAGGGTGCAAAAAAAAAGGAAGGGGTCTGAATACTCTCTGAATGTACTGTGTATCAGTGAATCAGTTAAACCCAGTCAGGCAGGTGTCGGATCAACTGACCTTTTTCCACAGCAGACATTTTGAGTTTCACAGTAGAAGGTGTTTCTGATAAAATCATTCCTTTGAATCTTTTTGGCAATGAATACATTGCTGATATGAAGAGTGATGTTAATACAAATCTGAGATGATTTGTGTGATATGATATGATATTAACACCCACTGTGACGTCCTCATCCCCAGTTGTTTGTTTTATCTTTTCCACCATGTTTTTTCTTCTTGAGACTGTTTTTTAAAATCTATATCTGAGATGATTTTGAAACCTTGTTTCCCCCTTTACAGCTCAGGTATATTCCAACCCCAAATGTCAAAATGTAAAATGACTACGTTTAGGATGCTTCACTTTGAGGGTCCTGGTGTTGTGAATGCTGCCCATCAATAATGTTTTTAGTGACACTGGTGCTTTTCTTACTGTGACTAATCATAAGGCCGACCAGCACGTGTCTCAATGATGAAGTTGCTTCTCATGAACAGCTACATAAACTGTCTGTGAAGGTCACCTTTCTTCCTCGACAAATAGATGTACTGTAAATTCAGAATGGTTAAGCAACTGCGTGGCCTAATTCTGGCCATAGATTTGTTCCAATACTGATTGGAGTGGATAACAAATCAGAACCGAAGAGAGGTGACGGCCCAGTGATGTGTTTGTTCAATCTGCTCCACGGGAAGTGTTCATGCTGGTGTCTGAGTGAGTGATTGAGCTGTCAGTCATCTACTTCAACTGTCTGTTTGAAGCAAATGCTTACTGAGCCTTTGTGAACCGCAGTGACAGATGCACAATTGTGAACCTGGTACTGCACGGCTAAACATTTAGTACAGAAAACCAGTAGGTAATTGAGTCTGTTTGGTTGCTTTTTTTCATTCTGTGCTTGAATTTTGAATTTCAAAAAAGGTGAAGTATTTTAAATAAGCAGTAATGCACCTGCAGCATTTAGGGACATGAATTTTATACAAAAATCGTATTTTGGAGGGGAGAGGAGAAATCTATGATTTTATTTTTGCCTCCTCACATTGTTGGTTTGAGTAGGAAACAAATTTAATTCACTCGATACTTACAATAAATACAATATATACCCATAATAGCCACACGCATTCATTAAAATGTGGCAGCAATGAGTAATAACAGACATCTAATATGCCACTACTCCATATCGCAGCATATTGGTATCAATTCAAGCACTGATTCCACAGATACAAATACTTTTTTTTTTTTTAAATCCAGTGGCAGAAATCCAAGTTTGTGGACCATTACTAAAAACTAATACTAACTTAAACCTAAGGCCAGTGCACCACATTTCAGGCAATCTGTTCAGAAGATTTGTGAGATATCCTGCTGACAGACAAAGAAAGTACCAGGGGAACAAGAACAGCTTTCTTGGCAGAAGTAATAACAGGACTAATGAATAAATCCTGGTTATCAGTGCAGAGGAAACTAGGCTACGGAGAGCGCCTTCTCCCTGTGAGCCAATAACAGCATCAGCTAACAGAACGGTTATATCCCCCGGAGCGGTGCGAGCCGAGCCGCGGAACAGAGCACACACGAGACACACATTTACTGTAATAATCATGGGCTCAGGTCGGTTATTTATATCATCTGCATGTTTATTCATCTGTCAGAAAACACACACACACATACACACACACTCACACAGCCTCAGAAATCAGTATATATCAGTCATCCATTCAGTCAGTCAGTGGTATATTGGCAACGTTGTTCAGAGGCACTGAAAGTGTGCTGAGGTTTTCACAGAGAGTACAGGAGTATATATACTGTCCCGCAGGGGCCCTGCTAGGAGGTTTGGGGCCCCTGACAGTAGATGGCGGTGGAGGTGGAGGTGGAGGTGGAGGTGGCGGTGGCGGTTGGGGTTGGGGGGGTAGGGGTCCTGAATTCTGTCAGTGTACAAGACTGACTCAGTCTGCAGACCAGGATACACGGGCCTTCATGTAAGGCAAGCCTAACCCATCCTTTATGTTGTGAACGAGTGACATTAGAAACCAATGTAGCTGCCGTTGATATAACTCTCATACCTGTGCGCTAAGTATGAAGCTAGAGCCATATGTCGACATTGAAATTCTGCCCATTAATAACTTTACAGGCCCACTGCAATGATTTTACAACCTCCATCATCTCTTTGTTTTGTCAAAACCAGATCAGCGGTGTCTAATTTCATTGCAGTGTCAATTTTTTTTCTGCTTGACTTCACAGTGTCGCCCATCTACCCTGGTCTGATTAGTCCAACAATGCAACACATGGATAAAACCACACAGAACAGCTTCAACGTCTCACCCTGTAAACATGGCAAATAATGACAACAGTAGCAAAGTGTTCACTTGAACTACACGACATATGGTAGCATCATTTTTTCTATAAACACCAGTTTCTTTCTTTTTATGTTCAGTGCAAAATCAGCGATTCTTCCCAATACCCTTTTGGAGACTCAGCAGAGCGTAGACAGACGATTCCAACCAACCAGTCATTCCAACCTCATAAAAACAGTCTTGAGCAGAATCCTCACTGTTATATTTTCTCTCAATAGTAGGAACATCTCAGCAGTTATTAAGCAGCACATGCACAAAATGAACCAGATACAATTTATACGGTGCAATATGTAACACTTGTTTTGTCACGTACAACGAAGCACTGAAGTTCAACTTATAACTCATGGTGCCGGAACACGTCAGCGTTCAGATACCAGCATTGATTAATGACAGTGAAACCAATAATTATTATATTATAGTTACCAACCATTACAAGTAAACACAGTTAGAACAAAACAAACAGAAGCAGTACCCCGGGTCTACTTCAACATATTACCAAACAATAACTAAACAGTTCTTTTGTGAGGATTAATGCAGTCCACAGTTTTCAATTTGAGAGCAAATAAAAGTGCTGATTGCCAAAATATTAAACCTGTTAACAGTTACTGGCCGTATGTTCATGTAGATGCCTTTATTTACCACAGTGGTTTCTTGATTCTTGATTCTTGATCAACTGGTTTTAAACATCTGTGCAACCAGTGAAGATCCTTACATGAAGGAATGGTGTTTCACTGCAACAACATCCATCCAAAAATAGTCTCGTGTAACAGGAGTCTCGTGTAACGTTCGACATGTTTCACTCCATTAACTACAAATTGCGTTTACTATGTTATGTCAGGCTTTTTCATTTCTTTTCAATTAAAGCCTGCTGGGTTTGAGATTTTCTTTAATCAAGTGAAATAATCTTGTTTAAAATACCATCAGATTGACACTTCCCTCTTCCCCTTTTAATTACTGGATAATTTCAAATCTTCCCATACAGAAATGTAATATGTAATATCTATATCAAGAGTGATGTTGCCATATATGTTACCTATAAGAGGATATATTATTATCACATATATACATCCTCTGCATATATGAGGATATAAGTTTATTTCATATATGAAATACCCATAGTAAAATATCTATATGTACATATTTTTTAAAATACCAATGAATAATTTTAATATGGTATAACATGTTGCGAGTATATATGTTAACAATATGTATTTAATTTACATATGCAGGTTTATCTAAAAAAACATACATATAAAAATTCTATATGCTTATATATGTTTTTCTTATTCATTTCAATGTCTATCCTCCAGTTCTGGGAAAGTTATCTCAGACTTTTGTAACCCACTATATATAATATCAACATATGTTTACAATAGTGGCATACATACATAAAGATACATATTTGTATTGGCTAGACATATATGTCAATATATATGAAGTTATTTGAATTTATACATTTTATATATAATTTTTTACATATCTTTATTTTATTTTATATGTAGCATATACATTATATTACATTTGTGTATGGGATTCGGGGCCTCTGCAATCTTCGAATACAGGACCAAATTAACCTGTCAGAGGGCCCCAGGGCAAAAATGTTTTGTTGGGTCCCTATTGATCCCCCATCTCCCTTTCTTTGTAAATTGTGTATGTAGCCTGTCACCTCCAAGTGCCCATTAGGCACAGTCCAATCAGCAGACGTGTCAGCCTTATTATTTGTCCAGAGACCCACAAACCAACCAGCACTGCACTTTTTGACGCGCACCTTGTGAACACAACATCAACTAAAACATAAATGTCTTATGTAGGTATATAGCGTCAGGGGCCCAGTAGCAGTTTCGCAGCTTGCCCAGATGGTAATCTAGCCTTTTTCAAATGAACCTGACAAAAAAATATCACTCTTTGGTTCAACTGCTCATAACTCATGTCCACACTAAGGCCTTATCCTGTGATGAGGGGTTAATATTGTCGCATTTTAAGGGGTCATAAGCCAAAAACGCTTAAGGAACCACTGCGGTCCAAACACCTGACTGCTGTCTGTTTCCTGACTGATGTCTACAGTATCTGAAATGCTCTTCAGGCCAAGTCTGTGGGAGCCAATTCATTTCCTACAATCTCCTCATTTCCTCCATTTCCTTTGCAGTTTATTATTTCATGCACTTGCTGAAGGTGTTCAGTAGCAGCACTGGAGTGTGACTCTTGTTATAAATCCAGGAGCCTGTCAACATAATAAAAGGTTACGCTACCAGCGCTTTCATGTAAGACAAAGCCTGTTATTTCTAGGAGGTGGAGGAGTGCTTTTAACAAACTGCAGCTCAGTCTTAACGGGGAGATCTGCTCGACTAGCTGTGTCTCACCCACAGCTTCAGTTACAGCTCTGCTTTCATCAGCTCCTCTTTGTTCTGTTTTGAGTAAACCATACAGCACAGTGGGCTAATAAAACAGCCAAGCATTTTATTTTCTATGTTTTGTTTATCTCTCCTCCTCTCTGCCCCTCTCCCTTGTATTCAAATCCCTGAACACCACAGTACTTTGTCCTCACAGTGCTATTCTCCTGAGTGTCCGCGTGTGTGTGATCAGGTGTGTGTGTTTGTGCTTAGAGACAAATGTACGATGTAAACAGCTGCATCTCCCCAAAGCTAAACAAACCGACCACTGAGAAAGCCTGGACGCTGCTTTCTTTTCACTTTATAGCACAACTAATTATGTGACCTGATCAGACCTTTGACTGATTGAATCGTGTGGGAGTGTGTGTGTGTGTGTGTGTGTGTGTGTGTGTATGTGCGTGTGTGTGTGTGTGTGTGTGTGTGTGTGTGTGTGTGTGTGTGTGAGTGCGTGCATGTGTGGGTGCACTGCTGCTCTGCAAATTTAAAGTGAAACAGGACTGACAGATCTACTCTATTCTTGCAGATATATAGGTGAACCATGTTGGCATCTGAAAATTGAGATGTAAAATACTTTTAACCGCTACATAAGATGATTTTTTTTGAGGCATAAATAATTTTTCTGTATATTTAAAACATTAAAGAATCTTCAATCTATAAATAACTACTGAAAAGACAAAGATAAATATGTGGGTTTTCCGACCCTATCATTGTTAATCTTCGAATGCAATTGAGTTAAATGCACAGCACACACTTTTTCTCATTTAAAGTTTGTACTGTGTAACTGCAGATGCCTCGTGACTACACTGTGTTCAGCTCAGCACCACTGACCTGGAACAGAAACTCAAATAAACAGAGACAGAAAATCAAATTTGATTCAAATTATTACATAACTGATCTTTTCAGGACGGGCTAAACACTGAAAAACAGCTGGACCTGGGTCATCCAGGGTAAAAAAAAAAAAGACAAGAAAAACAGATCTGTCTGCAAAGCCAGACAAAATCCATGTCACTCCTTTGCGGCCGTTTCACACTGCAGTAAAACCTGGTTACGGCCCCTCTGAGGATCGAGCTCGATCGGGACAATTAAATGATATGTCTTACAACCAGAAACATCCATAAGCTCTGCGCACTTTCATTTGCAATTTGCAAACTAATTAGGAGTTTGGAGTTAAATGCTTTCGGCTGCACGCATCACTGTGAGTTTCCAACATGTTTGAGCATTTCTTCCTCGCAGTGCCAGTTTGGCTGTTTGTCAAGACATAGATTCAGCTTCGTGAAGAGGGTTCAGCTACAGAAGCAGCCTCCCCTGGCATGGCTCCTCCTGCACAGTCAGAAAATGATGAGACTAGCAGCTTTTAAATACAGACGGATGGTACCAGAGTTACTTTACCAATGAACAAAGGCACCACCCAGAGTGGTATGGAGGGCCTACGGTTAAATCCACACAGAGACATACAGGGCTGATAGGTCGACATTCAGTCAGTGCACACTTTGTACAAGATTCCTGATAATCATTAAATAGATTATGAGTATTTACAGTATATGCTAGGCTAACATTAACCAAAGAATCAACAGTATTCATGTGTATTATACCTTATTTACATCTATAATGTATAATAATTTGAAGATATTTACATAAGATTTGTGTGGATTTATTACAAGAGGAAAGATGACACAGGATATAGAAAAAACCCAATCAGTACTGTAGATTGGTTTCTACTATATTGCCAAATGGCTAGCCAAAGCTTACTCTTTAGCCTTATTCCCACTAAAGGCACAAACAAGGCTAGCCGGGGCTTAGCCTTTAGCCTGATACACACCAAAAGGACCGGTAAGAGATTGGCTAAGGCTAACAGATTCGTGTAACACTGTTTCTGCCAGATGATGTTTGTTGTGCTTTGTTTGTTTGTTTTTTTTGTTGTTTTTTTTTCAATTAGCAAATAGTACTTTGGATTTTATTACCTGTATGTGGTTATAAAGATGTTGAATTTGCTCTTTTGTGCCCTGTGGTCACCAAGTGGTCCCTGCTGCAGGGCCTGTAAAAAAAATACCTGTCGGGCTGATTCACACACAAGAATTGAAAAACAAGTCTCAAACTAAAAGTCCTCATTGATGGTTGTTTTCTCGAGGATGAGACTTGTTCTGACCTTAAGTGTTTGCCTCTATGTTTGTCTCTCTATTTTCCACATTTTGCACTCTCTCTCTGCATCACCTTATCTTCTCTTGTGCCTCGTCTCCTGTCCCGTTGGATCCCTGTGCACCACTAGTCCTCTCCCTGTAGCCTGAACAAGCTCAAGGTTTACTTGCAATTCATTTGTATTTACCTGTATCATGTCAGAATGCAACCCACTCAAAGCCCGGGAGGAGCAGTCTAAGAAAAGGTTGGGGGTCAAAGATGTGATTTCTTTTCAGTGCCTAAAAAAACATCTTGAAAGTTTTATGTCAAAAATCCACCGTTTTCTCAAATGCATGGTTCCTGTTTCCTGTGCACATGTTGCAGCCTAGTTTGTTTCTAAGGACAGATTTTCAAAATAAGAGTAATACCAACATCAAATAGATTCAAATCCGGTTATAGCTTCATATGGTTGAGGATTAGGTCAAGTGTTTGATCCATATATCAAATGAATTGCAACAATATCTTGAGGCCATTTGGGCTAATCCCTTCACTAAATATGCCCTTCAAACACAGGGCAGTATTTCCTTCTGCACTTTGGTCTTATATTGGCTCTCCAACTATTCTGTCCCACTCTATTCTCTTACTCCCCCCCTCATCACGTGTCCCTTAGCTGTAGCCGAGGTTCTCCATCTCGTGGCGGTATCTTAACTCCGACACTTTAGCTTTGTGCTGCTTGCTCTCCAGATGCTGCCTGAAGTCCGTCTCCTGCTCGGCTCCACAGTTGCACATGGAGCAGTAGAACTGTCCGCTGGGAGTCACGCACATGGCCAAATCCCTGGGGATGCGCTGCCTCGGTCTGGGGTTGTAGTATGGCCCTGGAAGGGAGAAAGAGACGAGAGACGACGGACAGGAGAGAAGTTAGTAGAAGTTACATTTCAAGCTGATTCATACCAGTTTTATCTATGACAAGGTGGAAGGATCCTCAGATGTAGGTTGGCAAAGATTATACGAGATGAATGGCTGCAACAGATCATTGTTTTTATTAACAATTATCTCTTTTTTTTTTTTTTTTTAATCCTTTAGTCAGTAAACTGTCATAAAATTGTAAACAATCCACATAACCACAACAACCAAAGTTACATGTTTAAAATGCTTGTTTCGTCTTGCCAGCAGTCCCAAACCCAAATATATTCAATTGACAATCATATAAATTAAGCAAAAGCAGGAAGTCCTGACATTTGAGAAACTAGAACCAGCAAATATTTGACTTTTTTAGCCATATTAGCAGAATGGCTCAACATTATCGGTCAGTCCTCTGATCCACCACCTTGGGCCAGCTATCGGATGGATTGCCATTAAATTTTGTCAGGACATTCATGGTCCCCAAAGAGCGATGCCCTGATTTTTGCTCTAACACCACCATTAAGTTTACATATTAAAGTTTTTTTTTTTGGCCATTTTTATGCCTTATTATTCGATAGGAGAGTGAAGTGTGACAGGAAATGAGACAGAGAGAAGGGGAATGACATGCAGCAAAAACTCCGGCTGGCCAGGAGTCCAACAGGGGCCTCGCCTGTTCAGAGAATATGCACCAACATGATATGCACCCTTACTACTCAGCTATCAATATTCTGCTGTGCCCCAGCCTCACAGAGCTGCTGGCACGACTGCAGACTCTTATTGCTTAACTGATTGATTATTAAATATCAAATTAAATAACAATGAACGCAATAAATCTCAGGCTGGGGACACACCCAAAGCTATACTTACACAACTGATTTTGAATATATACCAGCATCATTTCACCGTAACCTGACGTATCACTGATGTGTCTGATACAGTGCACAGACAAATAAGCACAAAGTCATCTGAGATTACAGCCAGGTGGATCATTGGAAAAAGAGTATTAGTTGTTTTAGTGTGTGTGTGTGTGTGTGTGTGTGTGTGTGTGTGTGTGTGTGTTAACACGGCAGAAAAACGAGAAGGAGATAGGGAGCGAGATAAAACGACAGCGAGAAGGCAACCGCAGGAGAGAGTGCAGCTATTCTGGGGTTTGTCCATCAAGAAAACTGATTAAATCAGCAGAACGTTGTGTGTGTGTGTGTGTGTGTGTGTGTGTGTGTGTGTGTGTGTGTGCGACAAGACAGTGGATGAGAGAGAGAGAGAGAGAGAGAGAGAGAGAGAGAGGAGGAGAACTGGCTCTGTTGTATGATTTATCTTGTTTTATACTGAGCTGGGGTGCCAGTGTTTTAGGCCGTGCAAAGAGAGAGCCAGAATAAAACACAGCCAGCAAAAGATGGTTTGACGCCAGCAGAAAGTCTGACGTTACCTGGTCTGTATCTGCTTACACACAAACTTATCTGCTAACCTTTAGGCCACTTGTGAAAATGTGTGTAGCGATGTTACTCGCAGTGATACAGTGGTGCAGATCTGTGTGAGTTCTCCTGCAGCATCAGAGGAGAATGATGAGCGAGTGCTCCAAAAAGAATAAAACATGAAGTCAAATGATGGTGCTTTATGGGAGTAAGTCCAATACTTACAACATCCTCTTAGATTTTCTGCACTGTCACATGTTGATACAGCAAAGAAAAGCTGCCCTCAAAGGCAGCTGACAGTAACGTAACTACTGGTGGAGTAACAAGCCAGCAAACCGATGCAGACTTTTTCATGACACCCGTGAATAAGTTTGTTTTCATCACAGATGTTCCTTATGTGATAGTCTTTTGTGACGTATTCTGACGTCAGTATATGGACGAACTGCCTCCGATTTTAATCATATTACGTATTAATTATGGATTATATTGCCTTTCTGATGGAAAAATAAAGTCTGAGCAGCCAGACGCCAAATAGTTGTGCAGTTGCTCACCATGCTGCACAGTTTTACTGTGGACTGGTGGAGGAAGTGTGTCAGCAGGGACAAAATTTTCTTTGAAGACAATCCAAAAGAAACAACCAGTGTCAGCAGTGATTATAAGTGATATGCTTTATTGGACATATATCAGACCAAGTATTGATTACAAGAACAGTTTCCTTGAACAGTTGGTTCTCTGGCCTAACTTTGTGTATATATGTAATATTTATAGTGGTTACTATTGCTCAACGAGGCTCATTCAGCTGCTAAAAATAGCTAGTTAACATAGCTTCACCGTGAAACCGCACAAATGTAGTCACTATTGAGTTAATGTGTTGTTGTGAATAGAAATCCTACTGTTGCCAATTTGTATTTGTATAGTGACAGTTTGGCCATTCGTTAACGGTTGGCCATTAACAACATCAACAGCTCAAAACTGAGCAGAGGTTTGCAGGTGGGTCCATTTCAGTGTCTCTCACAATTTTAAGATGGACAACAGGAGGAGGTAGTTCAGCCTGTTATCTGCCTGCTACCACAGTTTCCTCTGCCATACTGTTAATATCACACAATATCCTGCCTGAATAACTGTTTAACTTGCTTAATAAATGCTTGAAATAACTTCAGAACCTGTTTTGCCAGTTGGAAGACTGACATTGAATGGACCTAACCTTGAGTGTTTATTAAATATAACTCCAAAATATACATTGAATTAAATTTGGATATATTTCTTAATATTTTACCTGGCATGGAGGCAGGTAGCTGCGGGCTGCGCCGGTTTTTCACCAGTCTGTACTCGCTGCCGTCTTTCCTGTTTCTTCTTGGGGCTGCGTCATTGCTGCCTTCCCTGTTGAGTGAAAACCACTTCAGTTTGGTCCAAAAGGTGAATAAATCCCAAGTATTATTATCGTAGATTAATATCAGCATGGTAAGTTGGCTAATTAGCGAAACCAAAAGCTGCTGTGAGTTGAGTTGAAACTCGACTTTGACCTGTCCAAGACCTGTCGGTTTCCTGAGCAACTTACATCTGGTGACAAATGCTGTATTTCTCATTGAACGCACTTTTACATGATACTGTATGCTAAGCCTGCACAAAGCAGAATGACCTACATGTTATTGGAGTTCTGTTGGGCCTCAGCGAGCCGTAGTTTCTTGGCGTGGTTCTTGCCCTGGTAGTGGGCCTGTGCGACTGCCGGTGAACTGAAGGAGGCGTCACACAGCTTACAATAGTCGTTCTCTGTGGCCAAGATGACCCGGGTCGCCCCCTTATACAGCGCCTGCAGACACAAGACAAAGCAATGCAGTGTTTGTGGTGAGAGGCGTTGGGGAGTAAACACTAAGAAAGAGAAGAAAGAAATGTTTAGTGTTGGTGGGAGGAAGACAGGAAATTCCTTGCACAATTTCTTCTTCTTTTCAAGTGGAAAATATACACTGAAGAAAGTTATTGATTCGGGTAAAAAAATCACAACTTCAAGCACTAAAGTCCATATTTGAAAGACACTTGCAGGTCATGTTTCCTATCATTTTACTCTTTTAAGACTAAATTCAATCATGTGCAAACTGAGAAGACACAGTATCGTTCAGTGGTGAGAGGATGATGCAAGTTTCCACTGTTCAAATGAAGCTGCAGTTCCCTACCACCTCCTCAGAGGGAGACGACCTCTATCAGCGGATTGGCCACTTCAGCAGCAGTACACCCACCCTCTAAACAAAGCTGTAATATTTAGGTAGGCTGATGTTGAGTTGCCACGTTTGAGCCTGACCTGCCTGCCGGCGTCACTGTCGTTGGATCCTGAGCTGAGGGCTGTCTGGCCAGCCACATCCAGGACTTCTGGGATCCTAATGGCTGGTGGCTGTTGACTGCCAGCGTAGAAATTTCTCAACTTTTTACTGTGGTTCTTCCCCTACACGGACAGATGATCAGATAGAATTGTGTGTTTATGAATTTGCAGTATTTTAATATTCTTCATGTGCTGTATGTGTGAATGTGTATTTCATCTGACCTGGTAGTGAGCCTGTGCCTGCTGGGCGGAGTTGAGGGTAACGTTGCAGAGTTTACAGTACAGCGGTTTACACAGTTCCTCCAGCCCCAGAGAGTCCTCCTGCTCCTCCGTCCCCAGCGGAGAGCCCTCATCCTGGGGCTGCTCACTGGCTGGGGCTGCCTGGCCCGGAAGATGACCAGGGATGAGGCCGGACACCGGGGCTGGGATGAGGGCGGGTCCTGGGGGCCGTGGGGGAAGCTGTGAATGGTCTGGGCCAGGAGCAGGAGGGGATGACAGGGGGCTGGGAGGGAGGGGGAATCGGCCGGCTCCGGGCGCCACAACAGGTGGGGGCACCAGTGCTTGTGCAGGGTTAAGAGGTGGAGGCCCCAGTGGTTGTGTGAGGTCCATGTTTGGAGGCACTATTGCTTGTGTGTGATCTACAGGTGGGGGCCCCAAGGTGTGTGGCATTGGTGGAGGCCCCAGGGGCTGAGCTGGGGCCATTGGAGGGGGGCCTAAGCTGTGTGGTGGGGTAATGTGGGGAGGTCTTAACGTGTGAGTAGCAGTTATGGGAGGGGGCCCTAGAGTCTGCGTGGGAGACATAGTTGGGGGTCCAATTGCCTGAGCAGGGGCGATGGGTGGAGGGCCAAGAGGCTGTGTTGGCGCCATTGGCGGGGGTCCCAGCTGGTGCAGAGAGTCCATGTGTTGGAAAGGCTGCTGGGGATGGCTGAAGAGACTCAGAGGAGGCTTCAACATGTTCTCTGGACCTGTGAACATCAGACGCAATAAAGCACAGACACATTATTACGAATTCTGCAACCTCAATAAGGAAGACAATGTTGATCCAGACGGACATGACTGCAATAATACACGAATGAACTCTTTATATTGAATGATGCCATCTAATGGCCATTAGAACATGCATGCAGTAATCGAAAACACTAAGAATGAGACAATGACAAGTGGATTGGTCGCTCCACCACTTTGGTTGAGACTGAAATATCTCAACATTCATTAGTTGGATGGTCATGAAATTGTCCACAGAAAATTAAAATCAATCCTAATGACTTTGGTGGTCCCCTGGCTTTTTGTCTAGCTCCACCCACTTTGAGGCTGGTAATTGTGATTCTGAGTCAAATGTCTCAAAAAGTACTGGACGGATTTCCACGAAAATTGGTTTAGACATCATGACATGGGTCTGCATCAAAATGCACTTCAGGAGAATAGTAGTGCTGCATCTTATCATTACACTAAAGTTAAGTGAAATCTGTAAATCTGTTTCCTACTAGTAGGAAACATATGCTGCTATTTTGGACATTTTTGTAAATACCTACTGTATATATTATATTATTATCCATTATTCATCTTTCTAAGTATTTCTTACTGGCATTTTGCAGCTTTTCTTTCTTGTACTGTCCACTCTGCTGCTGTGACACTGCAATTTCCCCCAGTGTGGGACTAATAAAGGAATATCTTGTCTTATCTTAGGAAGTAGGATACTACTGATAAACAAAATGTCACTTCCTTGGCAAAGGAAAGAAAATATTGTGATCATCAAATGGACACTGAGAAGGAACTCTCCACTAAACCTACAAAAATCCAATGGCCGATGTGCAGTGACACTAAGAGAGAAGGCATTTACTTCTTGGAGCCCCAAGGCCGCCGAATGTAAAGAGATGGGCGAATGGAAACACATTCTCGGACAGAGGAGCTTCACACTCCGGTGGGCATCAGAAAGATTAGGCTGAGCCTGCAGCGCCAGCAGTCATGCATGCGGGACATCGCATACACATGCATGTGTGCGCACACAGACGGAGACAGCGACAATAAAATCCTCAAGCCCCTCTGATCAGAAGAGATCACAGCCCTGAAGTGTGACTGCTCCAATAGGCTGAAATAGCATGTGTGTGTTTGTGTGCGCACATGGAAGGCATGGGTGAATGCATAAGAAAAACAGAAAGAAAGAGTGTCACATTAGGAAATGAGCTCTGCTGATTTTCTGTATCTTCATTTGTGCAATTTAATGCGCCATTTTGTTTCTGTGTGTGTGTCTGTGTGTGTGTGTAACCACATATATTGTCAGGTCAGTAATAGGCCAACAGCTGTGTCAAAACTCACTGCGGTGGAAGCTTTCATCTGGAATCCAATCGGACGCCCAATGGGAGTGATTCATGGACCCAAAATAACACCCGGGGGTGTTTGTGTTTCCGACTGCTGCTTGCTGTCAGTCTGTCCGTCCAGTTTGTCTGGCTGCCTGTCTGTCACCTGGCCTGGCTGACCTCAGGAGAAAGGTATGCTGGACAAGGCACTGACCTTACTATAGTCCTGTCAACTGCAAGATGAGACTGTCACAGAGTCAACAGAGTGGGGTGTGCTGCCTATATAGTATAAGTATAAGTAATAACTTATAGTATAAGTAATAACTTTACTATTTCCATTTTAATGAATATAAGTTTCTCTGCTTAGAGATATTATCTGCTTTTTTAACATATCCTGCTCATGAAAGCTTTTTAAGGAAACTTTCTCTGGCATCCTTTGAAAGGAGCAGCACTTATTTATTTGTATTAAATAGAAGGACTGAGTCAGCGCTAAGTGGACTTAAAAAAAACAACTCTAACAGATACTTAAGCTTTGTCAACAGGAAATCCAAACAAAAAGATGCAAACACTTCAGGACACGCTTGGACTGACAAGTGATCTGTGGGAAATGCAATGCGGAGACACCACAGCCATGACAGCTGTAGTACCAAAGATAGAGGTAATGTAAAACAAGAAAAATAAATATGCATAATTAAAATAAATGGACACACTGTACACATTTAAATTTAAAATAGATAAATAAATTTGAAATAAAAGGACGTTTTTCTCTAAGTTTGTGCTTCTAATGTTACATGATGAAAGACCTCATTGCTCAACAGTGACTATTAGCGCCATCCAGAACCAAATCCACCAATCAAGCTCCACATGCTGCACATCATCAATCTCACTGGCAGCAGCCTCATGAGAAACCTTTGGCCCTGACTGAGACGGCTTGCACAGCAGTTTGGAGTCCTCGCTACAGGACAGCTAACCCTTTTTTCTTGACATGATCCATTAAGCAGTTCAGAGAACACCACACTGTGCTACCAAACAATAGATATAATAGACTATTTAACTACACGTGCATTCACTGTGTATCAGTTCGAATAAGCCGGAGGTTGTTGCTGTCAACTGCCTCCCTACGTAATATTTTTTTCTTTCCTGACCTGTTCTCGTTCAACATCTGGGTGACACTGCCTCATGTGTTCACTTGCACCATGGTATAATGTAGTCATTACTGTGTAGAGGAACCAAACTATGCAAAGCAATGACTGATTTTTTTTAAAAAGCGGTGCCTCTTTAAGGGTAAATTTCCATCTATTTGCAAGTGTCACACCTTTGCTGTGAATGTTGAGCTCATCACGAGCTTCATTCTTAATCTCTCCCTCCATTAGGCTCAACTGACAGACCTCCAAAACCTCTTTCCCTACAATCCTTCCTTTAAACTCCACATTTCTGAGACTCCATCATTAAAGTAAACTCTTAAAACAAGGTCACATGCTGAAACCCTTACAGTAAATCCGTTTTTGAACTAAAGAGATTAAAAAAAAAAAAAAAAAAAATCAAACAGCTTCTTTTTGCCAATGACTCCTTGTGCTTGCTGGCATTTTCAGTTCAATTAATTCCTGCTTCTCTGAAAGCACTGTAGAGATAAAAGAGTGAATGAACCACAAAAAAACACATTTATTTGCACACACTAGACTCTAGATGGGACTGTCTATAGCTGTATTTCAAGATATGCATTGTGAGCAATGATTGATTGGTTCTGGAGGGAAATTGGTTTTAATTAAAATGCGCTTTTGATCACATTTGTTCACACATTTGCTTTTTCCAACAGGGGAGGAAATCTTGCAGTAATGGCTCACAACTGACTTAATATTGGCCTACAGGTGACAATGTAAGAGAGCAAACGTGACCCTATTGTCCAGGACAAAAGCAGCCACAAAACTATTAATGTCTATAGCTATCAGCGTGCAGATTGTTCTTGGTCCACACTAAGATTTGTGCTCAACCTTTACTCAGAATTTCAAACCTTGACCTAAGTTCTTTCTTTGACATGCAGGGACAGAGGCGTCAGAAAACCAGAACTGCCTGTTTTGCATTCCCAGATTGGCTGTTACCTTTCAATAATTTTAATGTGAGCTTGCACTGAATGTAGATAGGCCAAGGTCAGTTTCCTCCTCTCCTCACAGACCCAGATCCAGGCCCACGAAGTCTACAGTCTACAGAGATGCAGCACATATACTCATTCACAGCTGTGGACCTTGCTGCAAAGTCAAAAAAAAAAAAAGTTTTGCATTTGAGGTTTTGGAGCTGTCACAGTCAACTCTACAAGTCAAATATTACAGAGGCTTATGTAACATTGTTCTGATGTACAAGGCACCGAATGATCTTTCGACTGAGTCATAATTTCAGTGAAACATTGTTTTCAATGTCTTAAAAGAATGAGTTGGGGAAAATAAATGCCTGTCTTGAAACTACCTCAGGAGTTATTCATCAGTTCATCACTGTCAGATTTTTGTTACCTTGACTCAAAAGTTCTTGGTTTCAAACTAAGCCACACAAAAACTTCTGTCCTGGAGCCTGATAATCTCATTGCCTCCACTGAGAATCTCTAAATAGGCCAAGTGTTCTTTTTCTCTAGAGTTTCTCTCGCCGTACTTTGTTGTGTCACATCAATTATAGAGCGATGAGAAGCACATGCCTCCTGCAAGTATCCATCGTATTCCATCTGCTTCACTGGGCAGTGGACGAGCGCAGAGAGAAGCGAAGACCGACTGCGTCTTACTGTCCTTTGCAATTTATGTCCTGTACCATTACAGTAAATCCTAGCCTCCACTTTTATATCTCAGTAGCTCTGAAGGTTCAAATCTCATTCACCCAACTCCTGCGCTGGAGAAGAGTTCATAATAATGGAGCTTCCCTTGACCATAGGCTTAACTTTAATAATTAACGTAAAGTGAGTAGCCGATGGATTAAGCTGCTATTTCTATATCGATTAGTAAATATCCATGCCTCCTTATAGAAAACAACTAGAACAAGACATCTAGCCTCTGAAAAGCTAAATGTCTTGCTGGGAAACAAGCATGTGTATATTTAGGGCTGCAATTATTGTTATATTTAATCTAGTGATTATTTCTTATAATAACTGATTCAGAAATACAGACTAAAGCCAATCATAAGCCACCAGAGTCTATAATATCATCTTAAAATTCTTCATTGAGAAAAAATGATTTGAAAAATGTGTTGTTGTTTTTTTGGCAAATGTTAAAAACCCCAGAGGTATTTCAACTGGTAATGGTATAGCCTATAGACAGAAAGGCACACAAATAGTCACATTTGAGAAGCTAAACTCAACAAATATTTTGTGTTTATAAATGACTTAGATCATTTATGTATAAGGAAAATTCATCATCAATCAGTTTTTTCCTGTTGATTGATCCATTAATTAAGTTCTTTTCCAGCAGCATATACATTTAATTTCCACATAATTACAATCACTTTTATCCACTATGCCATTTGATAATGATAGAGGCTGAAATCTTATTACGGGACTATTACCAGGCAGGTGCATTGATCAGTCTCATATAAATCTGAATGATCGAGCTTCATGACCATGACACATGCTGGCCTCAAGTCCCCAAAACCAACAGGAAAGCCAATTTTGGCAGCGGTTGTGCAGGTGCAATGAAGAAACACTTATTGTATAACTGCTACATGTCACCATCAGCTGTGCAGATCAAGCAGTGCAAAGACTGGAGTGAATGATTCAGTGTCTATTCCTTCACTTGCTCTAACTAGAGACCACTTGATTGACTGCCATGCTCGAGTGAGGAAAGTGAACATTGCATTGAGGCTATATGCTGTTTCAAATTACAGACAGACATCAGCTCAAACCCGGCGTCTCCCTGGAGCATGAGATATAGAGCGCTCCTACAGTGCAAGAGACCATTAGAGTCTCGTCAACCTCAGATTTTTTGCATCGCAGCATCCATGCTCTATACGATGAGCGGAATGGTGGCTGGTGCACCCGTCTACATGACATTATAATGATGACAGCAGCACCGGAGCAACCGGTTTCAGCATCCACCTTCCTCTGTACCATCTGCAAATGTCACCGGTTGGATTTTCTCCATCCCTCCACATTAGCGCATAAAGGCTGCTGGCGGTCAGAGGGGAGATCATATATGGCCAAGCCTCTCCTTACCTGGCAACCGGGCAAGATAATGGCTGCTGTCCCCGTAGCTGACAGGCGGCGAAGTGTAATTTCTGCAGTATTCTGCACTGTGGTAGTACGCGGCATCCCCGTTCTTCAGCTGCATCATCGCAGTCACATCCCTTCGCCAACTTCTTCTCTCCAGAAAACCCAGGCGGCCAAGCAGGATGAAAGTCCGTACCACTCGCTCACACACCGTGGCTTTCACCGCAGGGGTGATTTCCAGAGGCGGACAGTGACAGCCAGCACCAGAAAGACACCGATTCACAGCTGGTAAACGCGTTGCACGTGTGTTGTCCCGTCAAATGTCGATAAAGATGTTGTCACCGGGGGGAAATTCTGTTTTGAAGGAGAAAACCCCAGCCGAGGTTCCTCCAGCGTCCCTCTCCGTCTTGGTACAGTCCATTTCCGATGCCACCGCTGCTGATTTGCATGGGTGGCAATCATGACACATTGTACAAATATGTTACACCTCTGTGGTACACTCAGATCACCCGTACTGGCTATTTCTGAGTCTCAAATCTGCTGGGAAAACAACCGGTCTGACGTTGAAATGACAATGTTGATATGTTATGGAAAATAGGCTAAAATAGAAGTGCTACTAGATTTAGCCCGTGGAGACAGGGTAAAGACTAAATAGACATATGATCATAATAATAATAATAATAATAATGAATAGTAGTTGTGATAAAGTGTTTGTTTTTAAGTATTTGATAACAATTATAATTCCTCCAATAAATTCATATTTTACACTATCACAGCTGTGTTTTCCAATATTGTCATTCATTAGCCTATCTGCTTATAGGCATAAGCCTCCACTTATGGGTGCCAACAGGAGGAGTTTAAGTTGTTGACAAATAATAAATAACAATTATGACAACAGTCAGTCCATATGTAAAGTGACATGGGTTTTTCTTCCTTTCAAATCATTCCACCTGTTCATAATGGTCATTACTGTAAGAGAACCCTTAACCCCTTGAGTGCTTCCAATGTAAGTCATGGGTGACAAAATTGACAGTCTTCATTTTATGCAAAAATACATCCCAAAATGTATCTGAAGTTATTAGGACACACAGGGAAACACAAAGAGGGATTTTTTTATTAAAAAGACAAAAAAAAAACTTTGTCTGATACCCACTTGATTTGATTAACTCAGACCGTTGAATGTCCTGTCAGCTTCACATACATTTTTTTATATATTTTTGCACAGGATCAGAACTGTAGAACTGTTTTTTTGTCCCCTGTGTATGGTGGACCTGATGGAGAAAACACAACAATGTTTCACAAAACACGATGAAATTTGACACAAAATGACAAACCATTTCAGATTATGTAAAAGGTGGGACAACACTTCTTGTTTTTGACTGGACAGAACCAAAGTCCCTGGTAACAGTTCACTGTAATTTCCTACTTCTATTGTGTACCACTCTCAGTAGTGTCCCTGCACAAATTTTAAATGGAGTTTGAAAAGACGGAAGAGGAGATTGAAATCATAAGGGAATATTTTAACAAAGCATATTCATATGATGTAATTCTTGATACTTTAAGACATGCACAGAGGGTCATCTGTCGACCAACAGTGAAACAACAAGTAGAGTTTAGAGTGTCCTTCTAGTTGATCCAGTAGCACCAACTCACCTTAACACATCCACTGAATAAACTCTGAACTGACTTGGCTTCTGTTCAATCACAAACAAATAGTGGTGTCCCACCCTTTCCATAATCTGAAATGTTGTTGTGTTTTTTGAAATGCTGTGTGTTTTGACCCTCGGGCCACTGTACCTATTGTTGCCACTGACAGTCCATTAGGAAGGGATCTTTTTAAGGCCAGCAGGAAAATGATGATTTCAGCAAGCAAAAGCTATCTCAATATACATATGGGGACTTGACTATTGTTTTAAGTTGGACTTGAAAAACTGTGAATCTATCCATCAAATATAACTTCTTTATCATAATTTATTTTATTTTATTTTATTTTATTTTATTTAAAGCTCTTTATCTATGTCCTTACCTTTGTGCTGTGTAAAGTGTGAATTTCCCTCCCTGAAGATCAGTCTTTTCTTATCTTCTTATCTGATCAAATTATGGGCCACTTTGCAAAAACAAGTTAAGCCCACAAACAGTGAAACGTTTATTGCTAGCTATCTAAGCATTTGTGCTCTGTGATGATATGATGTGATCCTATTGTGGTTTAATCTAAACTATATCAGTGGTTTAAGCTCTGAGGCGACATGTCATACCACTAATATGTCAGACCGATATATCACAAACAGTTTCACTCTCTGTGACTGTGTTTGTGTGTGTTATACAGGAAGGGAGGAGGGCCCCAGACAGACAGCGTGGCTGCATTGTCGCAGCAAGACAACTTGCCCAGTCCACCAGCAGCTCAGCCGCTCACAACATCCTCAGGTCGAGCCCTTCACACCGGACATGCGGGGGCTGCTTTTATTTTCTGTAACTCTAAAACTCACAACCCACAACACGAGGATTTGTTGTCGGTGTGGAATAACGGTTACAGTCACAGATATCTGGCACAGAGGCTGACAGGCGACAGATAACACCCTGCTTTGCCCGGCGCCGGGAGCCACCAACCGGCCGCTGGGAACTGGAGGGGTGGGAAGGCTAGCTAACTGGCATTAGCCGGGGAGAGCCTCTCGGACCAGCATCCTCAGACACATCGCTGCGTTGACGCAAACTCTAAAGAGTAGGTCAGTATGTCAGATTTGTAATATTTCAGCTCGCCCTTCAGTAGACAAATTGCTTGTGTTGGGTGTTGATAATAAAATTTCCAACAAGGGGATGACAGGCTCAGCATTAGCCGTTAGCTAATGAACAAGAGAGCTAGCTAACGTTAACGATTCCCAAACTGGTGGACATTAGTCGAAAGAGATGTTTGTGGTAAGGCAGAACCGACATGGTTTGACTGGTTAACTGATTATCTTGGTAATTTCGTTCTTACATAGATATGTAAATGTATCAATATATCGAGAGCCTACAGTGTTGTGTAGCTGTCATCCCTGTGCTGTCATCACCAAACACCCAACGTTAGCTAACCTGCTGCTAGCCAGCTTGAATCACTCGGACTGCCACAGATGCAGACTGTGTGTCATGTTTGTGTTTTAATTTCATCTCCTCCCAACACATATTTCAGTGACAGTGGAGATGGACTGAACGATGAAGGGCGGAAGATTCCCATCTTCAAAATAAGAGGACTTCTCTCTTAGGTATGCTTTAAAAATTCCTCTCTCCATCCGAATCCACACGTTTTCTGTTGACTGTCCAGCAAAGACATTCATATCAAATATTAATTTGTTTTTTGTATCTGACATATTGAAATATTAAAGCTACTGTAATTTATGGAGAAAGTTAGATTGAAAAGTAACCAAGAATCACAAGTGTTTTTCTTGAAACCACATTGTTGTGTAAAGTGGTGCAACTGATCAACCTTCTGTTAACCACAAAGTGTGATGTAGAGACTGAGCGTGTGTTTGATCTTGCCAGCCTGCCATTGCTTGCAGACACAACTAATTGTGCAGTTATGTTTCAGTATTCAAAGCAAGCTTGTCTCTAGGCCAGTGTTTTCCCACTCCCCACATCCTGTGTTGTGAGGAAGCTTCCTCTTTTGTCCTAAAGTGCTTAGCTGCATCCTGATCAGGGTCACAGATCGCAGAACTACTCAATGGGTGTTTTGTTCTAACTCAAGGTTTTCTGTTTTAGTTTGTTTTTGTACATATTCAATGCTACCATTTTTTTGGAAATGAAGTTTGCTGTTCTCTTTCTCACGAATTATCAGTCCCCTGCATTTTGGTTCTCAGTTATAACTCTACACTTAAACTAGTTTTTTCAGTTTTGAGTATTGATAACAGAATTTCAGAGGGTTTACTGTCCTTACTTCTTCTGCACTCCTTGCAATTAGTTTTAGTCCTCCATCCATTCAGCAACTGGATGTTTATCCTGGTCAGGATTGTTTTGGCAGCAGGGTAAGCAGAGCTGGCCAGACATTGTCCTTTTCCTCGCCAGCTTCCTTCAGCTCATTGGGGCTCCCTCTGGGGGATCCCCAACTGCCCCTCACCTGATAGCCAGATTGAATTGCCATTTCATGTTGGAGTGTCTGCTAGGTTTATAAAAGACATGCAGATTTAAGAGCTGTCATATCTACAACAACCTGTATAGCTGTGTCAGTAACTTCTACACTTCATATTTTTGTGGCCATTTTTATGTAGACTTTATTCTAGCTTTAGCACAGGAAGATGACTTTCCCATTCCTAATGCTATCTAGGGAGCTCAAAGTGGCTGGGTTATATTTCCAGCTGTTTGTCAATGACCGTAGTGACAGTTCTATTTGAATTGCTGAAAAAAAAAACCTGAAACCTGAAAAAGGTTCGATCTAGGACCTAGTGGGCGATGTTGTTGTGTGCTTAGATTCCTGTTAGTTGGAGCTGGACGATATGAAAGTGATATTGATATTGTAAAGTGAGACAAGATATTATGTGTTTTATTATATGTATATATATATTATTATATGTTTATTTTATTGACAGATCTTAAATGTTGTTCCATTCCGGTCTGAAAGGCTGCATTATAGCTAAGAGATACAATGACCTTAACATATTTAAGTGATCAAGCTGATTAATAGGAACAGTAATGGCTTCTATCTGCTTGGCCACAATAGCCTTTAGCTCTTTGCTAATGATTTGTTCCCCCCAGTATCATTAAGTAATAAGTGATGGGTTTTTAAAGCATTTGAAAACCAAGGGATGTGTGTGATTAGTCATCTAGATCTCTAGTCGTGATGACCAGATCGACTAAGTCTCTGATGTTATGTTTTGAACCATTGCTTCATTTCAGTAGTTTGCTTCATACTCATTATGCTGTTTGACAGACCTAGTCCAAGTGAGAAAACACCAAGAAGATACATATTAGTATAGTGTTGTTTTGAAGGATTGTGTGTGTCTTTTAGATTGTTGGTCCTGGCTATTTTTGGCTCAAAATATCCTGTACTTAAGATGCTCAGCTAATATATTCTAGATAATCCAGACAGAGTAGCGTCCACAAATGCATCCACTACATTGCAGGAATGAAAGATGGTTATTGGCTTGACGAATGTTATGCAATACTTGCTTTTCTTCTCATTTTGACTGGTTTTCAGAGAATTGTTTGTGGCTATAAGCTGTCTAAATCTTAAGTTAAGGCATGATGTTGTAATTTCCTTAAAGCCCACACAATCACATAGTTTCTCATCACTGTGTTACAATCTGCAGTTGACTCACTGTGTTGTTTTGTCTTTGTGAGTGTTGGACCTGAGAAGTCTGTCTGAAATAGTTGTGTCACTGAAGTCCCCAAAGACCCCTAATTTCCCAGTGCTTGATGACAGAGGGTTGAATGAGCTAATCTTAACTAGTAAAAGTACAGCTACAGCTAGAGAGGGCTTACCTTGGCGGATTTTTCTTGAGAAAGTACAGATACGGTGTTTTACTGGTTACTGGCTAACATCATCTTGAAATAGTGGTATCCATCTATTTCTTACAATAATTAGCTGATCGTGTAATTTCAATTTTTTGTTTGCAAATTGTGCATTACTTAACATAAATATCAAATTAACCACACAATGAAAGATTAATATTTCATAAAACATGATTGCCATGAGGCAGGCATATCACATTTGACCTGTTCTGTATTTCTGTATTTGTACAAAGTAGGGATGTCAAGAGAAGTACTACTTCGGACCCTAGTCAATACCAAAATTTTGAAAATTCTTCCGGTGGTTGATCTCTATAGTACCAAAGGTACTGAAGGTACTGGTTATGTGATGCTTCTGGGACTGACGAGGACAGTATAATAACCCTACAAGCGTTCTAGACAGGACACAGGAAACGATAACAACACAGGCGATGGCTGCAGCAAATTCAGGTGCAGCAACAGGTCCACCAACACAGGTGCATGGAGATATTTTGCATTTGAGGCGGATCATCAGGGGCAAGTAATAGACGAACAGACGCCAGTATGCAAACCGTGCCTGAGCAGATGTGATTTGAGGGATGAGTTAAAATTTATTGTCTTTCAAAAGGCCACTGAGAAACTTACTGTTTCTACCTTCAGTTGATTGTTCAGTGAGTGACATGAGTGGTAAGACAAAGTAATTACTTTCATTCCAGTATAAAGTGTTTGTTTAACAACATAGAGGTGTAAAACTGTTGATTTCACTGTGGTTACAAACACAGACATTTTGCATTTTTTAGCACAGACATTGCAGGTCTTTGTGATATGGATCTAAAGTAATGTTTTCTAATGAAATTAGTTAAATTTGTACCAAAAAAAACATGGGCTGCAAGTGTTGCACCGGCAACAGCCGTGGCCGGAGACATTATGCTTTCGGGTTGTCCGTCCATCTGTCCGATTCTCAAGAACGCCTAGAGGGAAGTTTTCAAATTTGGCGCAAACATTCACTTGGACTCAAGGATGAACTGGTTAGATTTTTGTGGGCAAAGGTCAATGTGACCCCACAAAACACATTAACTCAAGAATTCATGTGTTAATTATGACAAAATTTCACGCAAATGTCATATAGGATGAATGATGAAATGATGAAATGATGAATAAATGATAAATGAACCGGCCTTTCAGCCCGTGTTTTACACTATAAGGGTCAGAACTTGCTTTTAAGTGTTGTTGTCTTTCAGGTTGTGCTCTGCAGCTTGACTGTGTGACTGAGCTGGGAGACAGAGAAGAAGATGCCTCCCAGGCCGTCCTCAGGGGAGCTATGGGGTATCCACCTGATGCCTCCCAGGTATGACACACTGGATCTAGCTATTCATTGCGTACACATGCACACAATTATAAGCTTTTAAATTTCATGTTATTGCAAGTAAAAAACTCTCCTACATTCACATACCAGTGTATTTATTGTTATTTATTATTGATTAATTGATTTATTATATGTATATTGCTTATTGAATATAAAGAAAGTATTAACAGTGTAAAATGTCCAAAGAAAGCATGGTAAATGAAAAGTAGAGAATGAAGTTTATCATCAACATTGTGTAATGATGGTGGGTGTGTCTGCAGGATTCTGGTGGACTGTCTGCTGCCAAATGGGATGATCCTGACACTGGAGTGTCTCCGTGAGGCTACGCTCATCACCATCAAACATGAGCTGTTCAAAGAGGCCCGGAAATATCCCCTCCATCACCTCCTACAGGAGGAGACATCCTACATCTTTGTCAGTGTTACACAGGTAAGAATTTTGAATCTGAATTTGAATACCTGGTATGAAGAGGTGTCCATCTAAAAGAGTAAACATGATGGAAATCCATTATTGAAAGTCTGTTGGAACAACAACAGCAACTGCAAAGGCGCCCTTAGCTGCTAATAAAAAGAAATAAGCTCTAAAACTTCTCAGATACTGTACTTGCAAAACAGCCAATGTGTTTCTCTTCTGTGAATATTGAGGGGAGACTTTGTTGTGGTTGAAGGGCTCTACAAAACTGAACAAATCTTAGCTTTTAGAAAGTACTTCCACTTTCCCAAAACATCCATTCTGCACCTGCGGGATGACTGTCAGCTCTTAACACCCGTTCACCACTTCATGAAAAACAGAAAGTGAAATATTGAACACAGCGTCTGTGTTTTTTTTCCCTGCCTGCAGGAAGCAGAGCGGGAGGAGTTCTACGATGAGACGCGGAGGCTGTGTGATCTCCGACTCTTCCAGCCCTTCCTCAAGGTCATTGAGCCAGTTGGCAACAGAGAGGAAAAGATCCTCAACAGAGAGATTGGTGAGATATTCCTGCATTGGTTCTGTTGTAGCCATGGTTCATTTTTGTTTTATTACTTTGGTTAGTTCAAAAAAATGTGGACTGACATATAGTTTGGATCATGTGACAAATTCAAAAGATGTTTTCCTATTTAATTAAAAAGAACTATTTTGATTCAGAGTAGCAAAATGTTTGTAATGTTTTTAGTGAATGGTTACTCTTTAATTTGCTGGATAATTCATTAGGATGGTTTATCTAAATAGTCTCTTTTTTATTAAATGCAAAAGACAAAAGATGCAAAAAGGAAGCAAACTAAGTAAAATGTTTGGTGGTTTGATCTACAAGTTAAGTTGGGAATGAAAAAGCCTACCTGACTAATTCTGAGCTTGACATAATAGGCAGAATCAATGTACTAATCAATGTACTACTTACATTTGTTTTGGATTATTGTTCTGTATGTTTAAGTTAAGTCCAGTAGATACAGGAGTAAAACATAATTTTACTTCATCTGTAAATTAACCAATCTCGTCAAAATCTGACTAAAAGACAACACTGAATCTGCTTTGTTCTGTCAGGTTTTGCCATTGGTATGCCTGTGTGCGAGTTTGACCTTGTGAAGGACCCTGAGGTTCAGGACTTCAGGAGAAACATCCTGAATGTTTGTAAAGACTCTGTGGAGCTGAGAGATGCCAGCGGGCCCCACAGTAGAGCGCTGTATGTTTACCCACCCAATGTAGAATCCACACAGGAACTTCCCAAGCACATCTATAGCAAACTGGACAAAGGTAGGCGGAAGCTTTAGTCTGTTTATTTTCAGTGAACTAATGTCACAGGATGTTTTTAAAGGGAGAAATAAGAATATTTTTCTTTTGGTTGTCTTATCAAGCCTATGATTATTTTTGAGAAAATTGTACACAAAGAAAGCACCTAAAGACAATAGGAGGACCAGAGGGAGAAAGAAATGAACATTTTAGCCTCCCATCAATACTTAATCACTACTAGCCAGGCTTTACAATGGATAGGAACCACAATGATAAGCATGATAATCAATAGATTGATTGAAATGCTGCTTGTGTGATGCTATTGTAGTAAAAAAAATACTTAGAAATGAAGCACAGTTCTCAATACAATAGCATCACTCCTCAGAATAATTAACGGTGGGTTTTTGTTTCTCGGTTGCTGCTCGAGTAAAATTTGAATTACTGATCAATTGTCCAACAGTTTTTCTCTGTCTGTCTCTTTTTTATAGGTCAGATTATTGTTGTGATTTGGGTGATTGTTTCTCCGAACAATGACAAACAAAAGTACACACTGAAGATCAACCACGACTGTGTACCAGAGCAGGTGGGGTGAACATGAAATGAATTGAAAAGACATTTAATCCAACATGAAAGCCATACTGTATGCACCATTTTATTTGTATGTCTATAGCTGAGGAAATGATAGGGGCACTTTAAAGCTATGTGCTATGAGCAGGAAAAAAAACAGAAGCACCTTTAAATTTTGTGCACTTCACCTAAACAAGCCAGTAATAGACCATCCTTTTGTATCTATGTCCTAAAGGTGATTGCAGAGGCCATTCGTAAGAAGACACGTAGCATGTTGCTGTCCCCGGAGCAGCTAAAGATGTGTGTTCAGGAATACCAGGGTAAATACATCCTCAAAGTTTGTGGCTGTGATGAGTACCTACTGGAAAAGTACCCCATCAGTCAGTATAAGGTAAGAGACATGAGCAAATGATCAAGTATCAAAGCATTAGATTTGTGAAAATAAAACCCTTAAATCGTTTTTAAAAAAATCTAAATTATAGCTTCCAGTGGGATTAGATATTTTCTCTATGATTCCAGTAATTTATCAGAAACAAACAAAGACTGATCTGTGTATTTGATCCTGTCTGAAAAACATTATATACAGGAAGCTTAGGTTGGTTGACTGTTTTTAAGTGAAGAATGGGAAAGTGCAGACCAGATGTTCTGTCCTAGCTAAATGGCTCAAAGACAAATATTATCAGGCACAGTTGGGACATTCTTTACAATATTGAGGAAACCCATCAAATTAGTGTATGCTCCATGGCCATTAATGTTAAGTGAAATGTAGGATACCAGCCCAGATATGTCAGATCCACTGACTATCATTAAAACACTAGAACCATTTCCCCCTTCACAATGTCGTGAGCTCATGCTCTGAACCAGGAGAAATTCCCTCTGAGCCACATCAAAGTAGAAGATGCAAACAGTGTCACAGTTTCCTCTATAGTCAGCTGCTGGAAAATGACCAGTTGACATCATTGGCTAGACTTACGCATGGTGTAACTTTATCAGCTCCGCATGGACTTTCGTTCTAACTGTCCTCCTCTATGTCATTCCCTCTCTCTGTCTCTCGCTCTAGTATATCCGTAGTTGCATCATGCTGGGCAGGATGCCTAACCTGATGCTAATGGCTAAGGACAGCCTGTACACCCAGTTGCCTACAGATAACTTTGTCATGCCGTCATACTCTCGACGTATCTCCACGGCAACGTCCTATATGAATGGCGAGGCAGCAGCCAAATCGCTGTGGACCATCAACGGAACTCTGCGAATACGAATCCTCTGTGCCACCTATGTTAACGTCAATATACGGGACATAGACAAGGTGGGGATGTCCAGTGCTTACAGGGACTATACCTGTGTCTGTGTTAACCAATCAAACAAGTTAATTGACTCCAATACTTTACATAACACCTTAGTAAACACTGCCAACTGGTAGGAGTAAGCTAAAATTGGTATAAGAATGACCTTTCACTAGTAAAAAATGTAAGTGTGTTATTGGGTTGTTATTGCAGATTGATTAATAAAAAGGAATCTCTGTACATTAAATGAAATTAAGATTTGTCATTTAGCTGTATAAAATGACTGCTTTTCCAGTTCTGCATAGTTCTGCACCTTCTAACTCCTTCACATCCTGTGGAAACAAACAATCATTGTCCAAGTCTTCACCAAGAGAAAGTAGTCCTGGTAGCTAATGCTGGTGTGCTGTTGTGTAATGACCATTTAGCTTGACAGCTTGTTAGAGGTTAGCAATCTTCTAGACTCAAGATGAATAAATTTTCATGATAACCTGTCTTTTTTTTTTTTCGTCATTGTTGCTACTACTGTTTCTTTCTTTAGATTTTCTCTTTGGTCAATTTTGCTTCTCCTCTCTGCTTGTAGATATATGTGAGGACAGGCATTTACCATGGAGGTGAACAGATGTGTGACAATGTCAACACACAGAGGGTACCCTGCTCTAACCCCAGGTAATTCACCATTCTTCAGGTGGAAAAAAAAACAACCTATTAACGTTTAATTTACTACAGCAGCCCTTAAATGAAGGTCCTCTTATTATTAATAATAATAATAATAATAATAATAATAACCTTATCTGTAGAGCACTTTACTTAACATAGTTACAAAGTGCTTAAACAAAGAACGTGAGAGAGTAATAAAGTTATACTGTGAAAGGTGAAACTGGGATTAAATAAAATGCAGTACATCGATCATGGTACACAACAGTGGAAATTAATACTAGTTTAATTCACTTTCACTGATATTCTCCTTTAGACAATCTGCACAGCTAATTTACTACAAGCAGTATTGGAGGGTAAGTTAACAGTTTAGTGCTGGCTAGAAACACTAAACTGCCGTATTGCATTACTGTTAAACCAAAGTCTTCATCCTCACTTAACAGAAGTGCTGCTCAGACATAAACCTGTTAGAACAGTCTTCTTATTAAAACAATTGTGGTAATCATATGAATGAAAATTTTTCCAGTGTGTGAATAAATTTTACTGCTAAAAGTACATGATGAAATCAACTCACAGTTTTCTGTCAGGAAACAACGAAAGCAGTCTGATGGGAATAAATCTCATTTCAGGTTTTTTTGGTGATAGAAGCTTAAGCTGTAGGTCTACACATGAAATTGTTTTTGGCTTGTTATTTATCTGTGTATGTCCCTCATTCTTACTCTGTAGGTGGAATGAGTGGCTCACCTATGATATGTACATCCCAGACATCCCCCGTGCTGCCAGACTCTGCCTCTCCATTTGCTCTGTCAAGGGCAGGAAGGGAGCCAAGGAGGTAAGCTTGAAAGCAGTGAAGGGAAGGACTCCACAGTGCAACTGAACTGGACATGCAATAACAGGAAGTGTCTTCCTAGGTCAGTTACGGAATAATTGTGAAAAAGTAAAATATTTTGTCCCACAGTTCTACTGAGGGATCTTATTGAAAATGAAACAGTAACAGTAATGTAACAGACATGTTTATGAGTCATTAAAATGTCATTTTGTCATTTAAAACACACAAAAGCATCTGTAGTAGGGCACGACAAACCAAATCTGAACTCATGTTGGCCAAAGGAAAACTAATACCCAATCATACAAATACAATATAGTTGTATATGCTATATAACTGAGAGGCAGGCAGTGGTACAGTTGTTACACCCTAAAGATAGCAGATAGCAGATGACCTTCATGTGTCAAAAGAATGGCATGCCACCCCATCCTGTAGGGACTTATATGTATAGGTGCCTCGAGTGAATGTGTATGTGTGTTTTGCATGTGCTGGTGTCGCCAAAGGAACCTAACCCACTCTGTGTGTCAGCCTGTCTGAGTATATGTGTCCACAGCGGGCAGGAGCTGTGGTATCGTCTTTGGCTCTGTTTAATTACTAATCAGCCATGGGCTTTGTGATGGCAGAAAACATCACCAGAAACACGATCAGCAGAGGGGACTTTTCCATTCATGTGAGAGTATGTTTCGCTTGTGTAATCCGCACTGAGGGCATGTTGTGAAAGGGGCTAATTGTTCTCCCTCAGATCCATATCAAAGTATTTGACAACAGGAAAAACAGAATACTTGGATAGTGCAAAATCAAAATAAGTTAACAAATCTATACAGATTCTGTATATAAAACTTTAAAAGGATAATTCTTTTTTGATATCGTACCGAAATCACTTGTGTTGTGTACCAAGCGGTAGCATAATATTAACATATTCAAGATACATACACATCAGACTTGCAATGAAAAGAATGACTGTCTGTACATTTTACTCCATGTTCAGAAACCGTGTAGTGTAAAACTCTTGGACTGTGTCAATGTTCTTGTGTGTTTGATCTCACCCACACTGATGGATTTTTCTTCCATCTCTCTCTGGTGGAAAAGCTGGAAGAGAGACAGGTGTGTGTGAGAGTGTGTGAGTGTATCAATGAATGCCAGACATGGATATTGTAACAGACACCTGGGGTGAGTCGTGTCCCCTGCTGTGCCATACTTGGTTCAGGTCGGGTTAGCGGATGCTCTTTCATGCCCCGCCTGAATTAAAGATAAACACTTCTCTACAGCAGCCTTTTGTTCCAGCACTTACTATAAATAGTTGCATTGTGACTGGCTGTCTGTGTGTGTAACTCAGTCTACCTCACCTTGTTCCATCGCTGCCCCTTAGTGAAGACTCACTCTGAAGATCAAGATGTTATCTTAAACATTTCTCCAGCCTTTGTGAAGGCTTACATGGTAGGAGTAGGTAAGAGGTAGGAGGAGTGCAGTTAAAATACATTCTTTGAAAACCTCTATATCATAATATGAAACTGTAGTGCATATTCACAAGCAATGGCCATTATATTCATAAATGATATAAGCATTATTCCGTACGTTATATCTTTGCTATACTGTACCTTGTTTCATATTGTAAGTCAAACATTCACTGAGAGGTGACGTTTAACTGAATTATTTTCTGTCATGTAAATGAAGACTGTGCTGTCATGAATCTACAGCACCGTAAAACAAACACTGATATTCACTGAAATGTTTACCCACTCATCCTCATTCCATTGTAATTATTAAGTTGGCATCTTATTTAAACTTTGTTAAACACCTTCAAACCCCATTAAAATGAATTAGTACTTGTTAAAAGCTGCTTAAACTATTACAAATGAATAAAACCTCTTACAATGCTTTAATATCTTACAAAACCCGATTAAAGCCATGTCTATAGGATATTAAAAAAACTATAAACCAGCACATTGAAGGCAAATAAACAGCATCCATCAAACAGCATTCTTCCATCTGCCTCAATGAAAACAAAGCTTAACCTATGCTGGAATGGGAAGCAACCAGCATCTCTCAATAATAGCCTCAACAGAATGAGCAGCGCATGGTCAGCTTTAATAAGTCCACTAACCCATGAGAAAAGTTGCGTCTCAACAAGGTAAAAGGCAAAGAATGAGTCTGGCTGGACTGAGCAGACTAAAACCTGTGGATGTCTTGTCCGTGCTTTCACTTGGCTGAAGTACCTTTTACATTGATTTAAAAACAATGGCTGTTGTGTCAGAGCATTCTATCATGTTATAATTGATATGCACATTAGTGCTAATTTGTCCTTAGCTTAAGGAAACCTTACTGAAACTTCATACTTTAATTCTGTGATTCCCAGAATTCATTGGTGTTAAATGCCTCTTTGATTCAAAATTATTCACCATCTGTGCTTGTGACATTAGTAATGTGGTGGTCTTACCCTCTCTCTCCCTACTTCCCTATCTTTAGGAGCACTGTCCATTAGCTTGGGGTAATATCAACTTGTTTGACTACACTCACACGCTAGTGGCCAACAAGATGGCTCTGAACCTCTGGCCTGTCCCTCATGGCCTTGAAGACCTCCTCAACCCCATAGGAGTCACTGGATCCAACCCCAATAAGGTATTAAAATTCAGCATCTTACCCACCTAAAATAGGGCATAAGAAAGTAACAGGTTTCCATGTTTCATTGAGAGTTTGACTGTTTTGTGAGATACCGTGATTTACATATTGTAATAATATTCTTTTAATCTTTTTTTTTTCCAGGAAACGCCATGTTTGGAGCTGGAGTTTGACCACTTTAGTAGTCCAGTCAAATACCCAGATATGAATGCAGTAGAGGATCATGCAAACTGGACCATCTCGAGGGAGCTGGGATTCAACTACAATCTCTCTGGACAGGTAATAACCTGCTTATCTGCTCCTAATCAGAGTTCATCAGTTAAAACTTTTTTAAAATTGAGTTATATAAGTCCAAACCTACACAGCTCAATTGCTTAATTGGACCCCAGAAACCTGTGTTGTCACCCAACTGTTTTAGTAAATAAAAATCATCTCAAAGTTCACCAGGGAGCTCGAAGGTGTGAGGTTTCTTTAGCATAAGAGGCCTGGGCCATGCAAACAAACCTGGAGTAACATACAGGAGTGGGAGAGTGTGCACTTTTGGATAACCAAATTAATTAAACACCATTGTATTGGTGACAGACATGTGAGTGTGAAGTCATGTCAATAAGGCAAATACATTAGTTTTAGCATTAAAACCATTAACATTAAATACATCTTTACCTTCATATTCTCGCTGATACAATTAGCTTGTTTTAATATAGTGCCCACCAAGGAGCAGTAGTAGTAGTAGTGAAAGAATGGTTGCATTATACATAACTGGCTTTTATGACTCTTATCAGTTTATTTCTGATATTTTAAATGAAGTAATTTAGGTCAATAAATGATTTGATAAACGTGGTTGATTTTCAGTTCTACAATCAACAATAAAAACTCATTATTGTTATATACTTTGTTAACTGAGTTGGTCCTAACACTTTTGGTTTGACACAGCAGTGCAGTGTATGTTCTCAGTTATTCATTATAGTGTTGGTGATTCTGTCTTATCAGATTACTAGATGATGTTTGGCACGAGAGCCATGACTTCTATGTGATAATGTGACATGTGGTTGGAGTTACTCCGCCATGTGAGAGGATGTGAACAGTGTCAGACGACGTGTTAAGTTATTCATGATGTGTGCCTCATCTGTGAGGAGTACCCAGAGCAATACGTGATATAATGATAATATCATTCTGCTTAATCCTGAGCAGAAAAGTGTTTAATTAAAATCCACATTAACATATTTATACAGTCAAGAATCAGACATGGTTTTGTTAAGGAGGATCATTGGGCAGGGAACAGATAAACTTTACTACAGATTTTGTGCGTTTAGCTTATCAAAGTGATAGCCAGTAGGGAGAACTTCAGCTTCAGGATTTGAGGGCTGCGCTCCAGCTCTGTCACAGCTTTGTCACGGTTTTAATGTCAGCTGGAAGCGATTCAGAAGCAGCCCGTCTGTTATTCTGCAGCCACATTTATAATAAAGTTTAGAGTTGTTTTTCTGACAAGTGTTGTGTTTTACAAGTATAAATACACATTTGCAGCTCATTCAGATGCAGTAACAGATGGTTTTGGGCTGTATTGATTACAACAACCATTCTGTTGCTTTTACACCTTCTCTGCCATCGCTCATTTCAATTATCAGTGAAGCTGATCTCTCAGCACTGCTCCTGTCATTCACTTGAATTTTGGATTATTTTATCTGATGATGTCCTGATAGTAAAGTTGTGAATTTATCTGAAGCCCAGCAGCTTGGCAGTGACTGCTGGTCAACGTAGTATTTATGAGCTGCGATCAGATAACTTCCTTGTTCTGAATTGTGACAACAGAGAGAGAAAAATATGTAAAGGAGAACAACTATATTGTGAATTTGGCTGCATTAAAACACAGTGATGGTGATTTCTTCCCCTCTCTCTCTCTCTCTCACTAACTACAAACATGAAAAAATAGTTTTGCTGAAGATGCAGCCAGAAACAAATGAAATGTGTCATTAAAGTCGTTCATTTTAAGTCAGTTGGTTGTAAATACAGACATACAGACAAATACATTCACAAGTTAATTTCACACTTCAGAAACACGTGAAAAAACTGCTAGACTTTTACCATGTGTATCTTGTAGCTTGTGCACATATGTGGAACTGTGGTTAAACTTTTGAACAGAACTATTGTGGAAATGGTTGAATAGATAAAATTGTAATACAACAATTGGGATATTTTAAATGCCAGGATTTAGAGATGAGTGACTTGCACATAGACAACACTAAAGGGTCATGTTGTTACAGGTCCATCAGATACTGTGTGATGCAAGACAGGTGGATCACACAGTGTTAATTTATTTATGATGATAGCGTAATGTGGTGTATCGTTATTCCTTTATCTGTAACTTGAGTTTGATAAGCATCCCTAACAGTAATGAGTCTAACTGAATTTGTTGCTCATAATGACTACGAAGTGACCACATTCAGCTAACCAACGATGGATCTAAATTGTATCAAATGTCTTTACAAGATGTGAATACTGGTAACAACAAATAGAAAAGTTTCATTCCCTGTTTAAAGAATAGTTTAAATGAGCTGCCTCTTCATCACTGTGCAATTTTAAATATATTAGAATCCTTACATCTCTATGTATAATTGGTAAACTTTAAAATGTTACAGGCTCAACTTCACTGTCATTTTGCACACTCATATACTACAAAAAAAAGGTTAAATAATGTGTTGTATTCAAGATGAAACATATAGCCAAAAAATCTAATAAAAAATCTGACAAGGAGTGACATGAAAGCACATAATGTCAGAAGGTGTACTGGTTGGTAATGTAATGACTTTTGATCAGAGAGGCTAATAATATAACATTTTTATTGTGTTTTACTCCAGTGTAGATGTTTGTAGATATCAGGTGTTGGCATAGACTTTTAATGTTCAAATTAAATAATGTAGTGTTCACAGTATTTTCTTTCTGCTGTGTTTCAGAGCAATCGTGTGGCCAGAGATCACGCCCTGACAGAGACCGACACTGAGCAGCTGAGGCAGCTGAGTAACAGAGACCCTCTGTCAGAAATCACTGAGCAGGAGAAAGACTTCCTCTGGAGACACAGGTAACCACCCTCACATAGTATATGACACTGTACTACATTTCAAGTCACATTTCGAGTCACATGTAGCTGTGTGTAATTTTACTGTATGTTAATTGCATATTCCTGTAGTTTAACACCTCGGACATTTTATTTATTTAATTTTTGATTCTAAACATATGTTGTGTAAAAAAAAAAAATGCATATCTAGCATTAACTTAACCAAATTTAGACACAGGATGCAGGTTATACGTATGTAAAAACAACTGATTAATACTTACCGTGGGATGCAACACACAGTAGTTATCCCCTTTGTCTTTCTCTACCAGGCACTACTGCATGAACATCCCTGAGATCCTCCCCAAGATCCTTCTCGCTGTCAAATGGAACTCCAGAGATGAAGTAGCACAGGTAATGCCATGCCATTTGTTACATGCTTTTCATACAAACACTCTTACATTATTAATCTGTGTCCAATAAATGAAAATGAACAGACTTAAAGAAAGAGTTACACACCTCAGATGTTACGTATGTAAGTACTTTCAGTTGGATTTTGAGAAATGGAAATAGAAAACAGGTTTTCTAACTTGTTGCAATAAAGATGTATTCCATCTACTCCATGTGTGACTGCTCCTGATAATTTCTTAGGAAATCATTTTCATATATTTTTTGTTTTTAAACTCGAGTGTACTTTATACTTTAGTAAAAAAATACCCGTAGGCACACACACTGTTCTAAAATAACTAGCTTCTGAGCTGTGGCTTGCGAAATCAAAAACTTGCTACAGGGCTGCATAGAATCTAATTTAGTTATTTTTGTTTTTTTGCATATTTGTCATTTGTTGATAAAAATGTGTCCACTGTAATTCTGTAACTTACATACCTGAGTATTAATTCACATGTCTTGGTTTGTATGTTTCCCAGATGTATTGTCTGTTAAAAGAGTGGCCATCTATCCGTCCTGAGCAGGCCATGGAGCTGTTGGACTGTAATTATCCAGACCCCATGGTCAGACACTTTGCTGTACGCTGCCTTGACAAATACCTGACTGATGACAAACTGTCCCAGTACCTGATTCAGCTTGTACAGGTGGGTCTACCATAGAGTTGGCACTATTCAGTTCAAGGAACTTATTGACAAAAACATGGGGTAAACAGGAAGACAGAGAATGAGTACTGTGAGTGAAGAGGGCTGTGGAGTACCTTACTCCAGGGTGTCCTTGGCAGCCAGTATTTATCTCTTGGAAAGCAGCTTTTGTTTGGCCTCTCCCTGTGTGTTGAAGACTTTCTCGTCTGTGATGCATGGTGGTGTTGTGTGTACAGAGACACCATGGTATGGAGATATCACAGAGTGTGAAATGATTAATCTGAACCTCATCTCTGTATCTCCTCTTGCTCTTTCCTCACAATCTTCCCATCCTCTCTCTCCTCCTGTTCTAGGTATTAAAATATGAGCAGTATCTCGACAATCCCCTGGCACGCTTCCTCCTCAAAAAGGCCCTGACCAATCAAAGGATAGGACATTTCTTCTTCTGGCATCTCAAGTGAGTCACCACCCACTGCTTTTTCTTCATGCCTATGTATCTTCCCATCTCTGTCTTTCCAGAAAGCTGAAAAGTCATATTGCTTCCACTTCTCTTGGTGTCTTCTTCACAGGTCAGAAATGCACAATAAGACAGTGAGCCAGAGGTTTGGGCTGCTGTTAGAAGCTTACTGCAGGGCTTGTGGTATGTACCTCAAACACCTGAGCAGGCAGGTAGAGGCGATGGAGAAGCTCATAAACCTCACTGACATCCTTAAACAGGAGAAGAAGGATGAGACGCAGAAGGTAAGGAAGGCGGCATCACACACATGCACATGGACATACACACACAGGAACATATGATTTGATATGAAGTCTCTGTCTTTTACATCTCAAAACCATGGTATCGTATATAACGTGTGGGGTGCAGGCATTTATCTGGATCATTCAAACAAGTGCCCTCATTTTTCTACTTTATCGCCATTGAAAGTTTGCAAAATTACAATCTAGACACCGTCAGCGGTATTGATAGCAACATCACAAGGTTTCAATCACTCATAGTTCGTGCCTGCACAATGGCTGATGCTGCAGACTCCTGCATGTTTGATGATGCAACATGTCAGTGGGCACACAGACCTCACTTATCTGTGTTGCTGTCACTTACAGTATCAAATATTGACAGCACAAGATATGCATTCCCACATAAAAGAACAGGATGTTATTCATTTATGTTTGAGTCACAACTCATGATGTTTAAAATGAATATCACTACTGTGTTGACCAGTTTCTGTGCTTTTATCAGTGCAGCCAGGTTTCGTCAGTGGCTTCTCTAGTTAATTTACCTTATCATCAAAGCACCATTCTCCAAGACTCACACCACACATTAAAATCTAATTATTTATAATTCTACAGTTATTATATAAGAACAGTCTGAAAAAAATTGATTTAATGTGGCATCTGTGTTGTGTTACTTAAATCTGTGTTGTGTTACTTATTCAAACGCAGTCATTTTTAGAAGATTTCTTGTGGTTGTGTGTGTATTTGGGTGTGTGCATACACATTTATGTGCAAATGCACATGTGTGTGTTGCTGTGGTTGTGTGTGTGTCTCTTGTGGAGGTCCAGATGCGGTTTCTTGTGGACCAGATGAAGAGACCTGACTACATGGATGCCCTTCAGAACTTCACATCTCCTCTCAACCCCGCACACCAACTGGGAAACCTGAGGTTAGACACAATAGGGAATGAGGTATTTATATATGCTGCAGTAGGATTGTGAAAAAGAGATTGACGTTGTTTTATTGCTTGTATTCATTTGTGCACAGGTTGGATGAATGCAGGATCATGTCATCAGCAAAGAGGCCGCTGTGGCTGAACTGGGAGAATCCTGACATCATGTCCGAACTCCTCTTTCAGAACAATGAGATAATCTTCAAAAATGGAGATGGTAACACACATACTCATACACTCTGAGACACACACACACGAATGCGCACATCACCTGTTAAACTTCCTTTTTAACCTCTTCTCACCCCTGAGCTTCCCTGAAATCTTTTCTGTGCTCTTAACAGACCTGCTAGAAATCATCCTGTAACCACAACCTCAAAATAATATGTGCCTAAATTGATGTTACAGCATTCATCATAAATATTTCACCCTATTTAAAATCGCAAAGCTGTCCTTTAGTGATAAACCTAAATACTGGGGGAAATGGGAAGCTTCTGTCTCAAGCATGTGGTCTTATTTACTTGACTCTCAAAACATCACCATGTTTAATGCTAATGTCAAGAACCATAAGGTGACTAGAACTGGCTGACATGACAGGTCTGGGCGTTTCATCAGAGATGTACTTTGGGTTTGTGACCATTCATACATTTAAAGACAAGCAGTAATACTACAATTTTTACAGTGAAACATACTGAAAGTGTTTTCTCACTACTACCTCCTTATGTCATTGTGAGAGGCTCTGAAAGCGTTAGCTGTGTTTGCACAGCAGCAACTGTTCACTCTTCCTGATTTGTGCTATAAAACTAGAAAGCGATGCAGCATATTTCCCGGCTCCAATCCTAAATATTGACACACACTGTAAATAACTCTGATTAGAGGCTGCAGAGCTGCGTGGTAATGGTTGTCTGCTATAATCATACTCACTCGTCCTTATGTTGTGTATGTGTCTAATCTGTCATTATCCTAGGATGTTATTAACTGTAACTGTCGTCATTCTGTGTGTGTGTGTGTGTGTGTGTGTGTTGTAGACTTGCGCCAGGATATGCTGACGTTGCAGATTATTAAAATCATGGAGAATATTTGGCAGAATCAGGGACTGGATTTACGGTATTATTATCTCAATCTATATTTCTCTTTCTTTCTGTACCTTTCTGCTTGAGTTTCTTTATTCTCTCACTCACTCTTTCTTACCTCAGTGCACGAGGCTAAGAAAATCTGTTTCGTGTGTGTCTACAGGATGCTTCCCTATGGCTGTCTGTCATTAGGAGACTGTGTGGGTCTCATTGAGGTGGTTCGCAGCTCCCACACCATCATGCAGATTCAGTGTAAAGGTGGCTTGAAGGGAGCCCTGCAGTTCAACTCAAACACTCTGCATCAGTGGCTCAAGGACAAGAACAAGGGCGAGATGTGAGTTCTTCTCTCCTGATATTATTTTAACAGCATCTCTGCATCATTAGTGCACAGTATGACACAACGAAACACAGTCCATTAGAATAAAGTGTCTGCAGGCCCTAAAAAAAAATATGTAAAAGTGGAATTCTGTTCTTGGATTATTAATAGTTGCAGCAAATTTAAATCAGTCTGCCATCAGTTTATATATCTCGTATGTCCTGTCTGTTTTATACAATCAGCTTTTAAACATTTACTTGTTCATAATTTCTTTTTAAACTCCAATACTAAGGGCGTCACTGCTTACTTGTGCATGTGCAGGTATGACTTGGCTGTGGATCTGTTTACGAGGTCCTGTGCTGGCTACTGTGTAGCTACATTTATCCTTGGGATAGGAGACAGGCACAACAGCAACATCATGGTCAAAGATGATGGACAGGTAACTTGTATATGCACACGCATACAGCATGCTATTTCACCCTGCTGCACATACACAATTTGCATTACTCATTTCACTGATTCTGATTTCCAGTAGCCTTGCACCTACTGTGCATGTTATGTGTCTATATAAATGTTGCCTTTTTACCTCTATAATCTGTTCTTGGGTATTAAGGAAGTTTTCACTTTTCTGTTGTTTCATGAATGTTAATAATTTCCTTGTTTTTCTTGTCCTTTTCTCCATTTCCGTTTCAATCAGTTGATACCGTCTCTGGTTTCGTTAAATCTAAAGATACAGCTCCAAATGAAATACTTAATTGCTTATAGGAAAAATGTCAATGGTGTGTTATTTAACAATGGCACGTGTAGTTTGAAGTATAGAAGAAAGTAGCAGAAATAAATACATTTTAATATATTAAAATTAATAATATTTTTTCCTTCATTCAAGTTATTGGGGATTTGTGATTGTGCAGTGCATATTTGATATAATGAAAAAGTTTAGGGTAATATTATAAGACTGAATAAAACTTTACTCATCAGTAAAATAACTTGCTGTTGTCAGTGATTGGTGTCGGTGCCTTGAGTTTTCCTGTGGATGATCAATTCATGGATTTGACTTTAGAAGATATTTACTTGTAAAGAGAGAGTGACTGAACTTTCACTCCCTTCTTATCTCTTTGTTCTTCTCCCCTTCAGTTGTTTCATATAGATTTTGGCCATTTCCTGGATCATAAGAAGAAGAAATTTGGCTACAAAAGAGAGCGAGTGCCCTTCGTACTGACGCAAGACTTCCTCATTGTCATCAGTAAGGGATCCCAGGAGTGCACAAAGACCAAAGAGTTTGAGAGGTACTGAAGCACCTTACATCTCCTATTCTCTTATCATTGTTTCTTACGCCTTCTTTTTTGTATCTGCTTTACTATCAGTCAGTCTTAATGGCTGGTCAACACCCAAAACTCGTCTGTTCTCGTCCTGTTGTAACATACTGACTGCCACAGCAAAGATTTGCTATAGATGTGCTTTTCTTTACACAGGTTTAAAGGATGATATTATTCTCACTATTATTGTGAAACTGGAGACTACACACACTGGTTATTATTTTGGAACAGAGGTTTGAATTTATTTAACAGCTCAGTGCATTCCTGTTGCCTCACCTCCCTCAGTTGGGCAAATTTCCACTCAACTTGCCCAAATGACACTCAAACACGATAACCTCTTTCAGAACTCTGTGGACTGGTTTTGCATTAATAGTTACAAAAGACACATGGTGATCGGCCAGCATCCTTGCTGTCTTGTAAGCAGGCCTGAGCATGTTTTATAAATTTGCAACATGCAAGCTGCAATTTGCAACATGAAAAAATGTATTCTTGCTTTAATTTTAACACATTTTACTAATAAAGACCTGATACTTGCAACCCGCACATGAGCCTGTAAGAGCTCTGTAGGACTTGGAAATGTATCTGCAGTTTGCCAGCGACAGTCATTTGTGATTTGGAAGTAAAATGAGCCATAAAAAGATATAAGTAAGCAATAGCAAATAATATATTTGCAATAAGCAAATACAAAAATACTATTTGTTATGTCTTTTTCACATTGTCTTTTCCACGTCCCTCCAGGTTCCAGGAGATGTGTTATAAAGCCTATCTGGCCATCCGGCAGCATGCAAACCTCTTCATCAACCTGTTCTCCATGATGCTGGGCTCTGGCATGCCTGAGCTGCAGTCATTTGATGACATTGCCTACATCAGGAAGACTCTGGCTCTGGAGAAAAGTGAACAGGTATGTAGTCTCAAGTTGACTTTATGAAGCCAAATTATTTTCATCTACTGATGAGTCTCTTGTATTTTGTTCTGCCATGTGCAGGAGGCGTTGGACTACTTTATGAAACAGATGAACGATGCTCACCATGGAGGATGGACCACTAAGATGGACTGGATATTCCACACAATTAGACAGCATGCACTAAACTGATCCCCTGCACAGAAACAAAAAAAAAAAAAAAACCCACCAGTCCCACCATGGAGTATTGTCTGTCAGCCAGACGCAGCATTAGTCCTTCAAGGAATATCAGATCTGTTACAGCAGACACCACAAACAGCTCACTGATGACAGAAGTTCTCAGCTTGATTTTTTTTTTTTTTTTTTTTTTTTTTACTATTTGTGTTTATTTAAACAAGGTTTGCATTTTCTTTGCCTCATCATCTGCCTTTTTTTGTGTGGTCTTGAAGATGCTCTCGCACTACCCTCTGCTTGTTTCTGGGACTACAAGAGAGTTTTCCTCATGTCCCGGTGAAGATGTGCCCTACCTGGCTTCTATGCTTCCTCGATTTTTTTTTTTTTTTTTTGCCTGACACGAATAAACTGGGTAACCAAGGAAATTTTATCCCTTACTCTGCTGCTCTTGGAGGAAAAACACAAATTGGACAAAGAAGATGTATCTGCCAAGCTGTAAATGTAGCCACAAAGGGAGTTCGCCTTGCTGCTCCTCTGCTGTAGTAGTGCTGCATTGTGGCTCCAGCCCAGACAGGAGGTGCTTGGGAAACTTTTTTCTTTTTTTTCTTTTTTTTTTCCAATTTTATCACTGCTGAGAGGATGACGGGCACAAGGAACTGTCTAAATTACCTTGCATAATAGAAGTGTTACTCAAATTCATTGTATAGCGCAGGAGTCCTGGAGTAATGGCTTCTATGATGACTACCACTGCACAGTCTTCCACCATCTTTGTGGTGAAATTGCCCTTCTGAGCTGATTTGTTGTCAGCTTTCAAATTTCAAAGCTCAAAAACTGCACTGCAGAAGAGAGTGTGTGTTGTTTTGCACAGCTCTGCAGTCTCCCATGGCCTCAATGAAACAGCACTCCACTCTTGGGAACATTTGTTGGTGGTGCAGCTTTAGACTCATGCATAAACTTCAGGGTGATGATGCCTCTCCATCAAAAAAAAAAAACAAAAAAAAAACAGCACTTAGAAATACCAGAATAATATACAGATTTATTATGACTTTTTAAATTTATTTATGTATCTAGTTTCTTTCAGTTTCTACACAGGCAAAACACTTAACTCAGCCCTCCAGAAACACACCATTGTTTGTGTAAATATATTTGGAGTTTTTTTTTGTGTTGACCTGTTTGCAGCTTCCTCTGGGTACCACGAGCGCAACCGCTTTCCCCTGGTTTCATGATTATAGAGTTTTGCTCATATTCGTAAATGAAGACTGCTGATTCTCTTTTTGCTAGTCACTTGTAAGTTAAACATCTCATTTGACCGGATCAGTAGCCCGATTAGTTTCATTGTGGCTAGTTTACAGCCCCACTATGAACTTTCAAGATGAATTTGTTTTTGGGAAGCAAAATGGCAAGAGTAAAAGTGCCAGTCTCACATTTTATGAATAATGGGACCTATTTTAAGCCTCTGGATGTCTGTCTGTCTGTCTGTCAGCGAGCAGAGGCCCAGGGGAATGTCACGTCTTCCTGTTGATAAAATGCCTTGGCGTCACAGCACAACACTCCACAACACTGCACACTGCTAAGCCCTACAAACTCTGCCTAAGCAAGTTGTAGTAAGCTAACCATGACAGCACTATTAACATGACAAGCATGGCAGTTTTTAGGAAAAGCTAGATTTGATCTTCATTGTGTATTATTTGTATTTCTAATTATGTTAGGTGTTTAGCATGTCCCTCATTAGAATGTGTTTAAAATGTTGACTCATGGACAAAATGAATTTTAACTTTTGGTGGATATTTTATTATCCAGAACAACTTTCTCTGAGCCTTTAACCCTGGCAGTATTTGAGCCATGCCTTCTGTTGCCAGGGACTGTTAAAGCCATGCTCTGCACCTTTTCGTTAGAAAGGTTAGAAGTTTGAATTTTTCTTTAATAGATTTTTCCCAACAGAAACATCTGAGCATGTAGATTTTTCATTATTTATAAGTCACAATGAAATGGTAGTTAGAACGTCTGCAGTTAAACAACTGTGGACGAAATTTAGTTATGAGATGGATTTGAACAAATCCTCCAAATTTGATTGGATCGCTCAAGAGTGGGCACAATTTAGCACGTACAGACGCAGGACTGTTGGTCCCCACCCACACCTCCCTCAATAAATGAAGCCTTAGCTACATTCTGGAAATGTAAACAAACTTTTGCCAACTGATATCCAAATGCACATCGAGGCAGGGTGGGGCGGGATTAGCTGATCGTCACAATCACTCATTGGATTCATTTGTGTATACGCCCCTGAATTTAAGATGAGTCCATAATATTTTGTTTATGTTTTAAAAAAAGAGGAAAAAGGAAAGACCTTGATGTAAAAATAATCAGAAATGATTTTTAAAACATATTTTTGGCATATAACAGAACAATCCACACAGAGGCAGCATTACAGCTTGGAAAAAGCATTTTTGTTTCACTGTCTTCAGAGCAGACTATAGCTGGATGGTTTCTGGAAATGAGTAATTTTAGAATTTTCTCAGATGATCGCAGAACCATGAATGGCATTGTTTCTTTTGTACTGAAAACCTCTTGACTGAAGAGAGAATGTAGTGTTTAACTGTTTAACCGGAGAAGGTGCCTCAGAGCAGCCTCACAAGCCCCTGGCACCTTCGCAATGTATTTGGATGTGTGTTCAACTAAATTATTATCTTAGTAACCCGACAATATGAAACTCGAATCTCGTAAGCGAGAGTCAGAGGAAAGTCTGCACTTTGCCAGTTCAACTGTTGATTGTAATGAAAAGCCAAAGTTGTGGTCTGTTCTGATGTGGTGCACGTGTGATGTCGTGTTATTGCAGCATTAATATTAAGCTACAATGTATTTAACTGCTAATATGGACCTTATGTGCACTCATCTCTTTACGTTCTTGCATCAAGTCACGTTCTCTCTCTAAAGTCAGATGCAGTGCCACTAAACAGACGGTAGGTTTATCAGCAGAGAGCCCCTCTCTCATTTAATTAGTCCTTCATTTTCTTAACGTGCCAAATCAGGCATCACTGAGGCCTGTGAAAGCTAATGCTGGAATTGCATCATGCAGTAAAGTGGTTGGGGTATACACTTAAAAAACAATCAAGTTCTCAATACCTTTTCAAAAGGACTGTAAGACGAAAGGTAGTCTAGTATGCATGTTTCTCGAGCAGCATAACCAGTATGTATGATGTACATTTTGAAGCAACATTAAGCAGTATGTATGTACAGTTACAGTCTAACCTCTTTTTCTATGGTAGGCTTCATGTGTGACAAACCTGTAGTGTTGTTATCTTTAATATCCTTTGCCATATATCCTGCAAATTGATTGTGTGTGTGTGTGTGTGTGTGTGATGATGTAGTGTAATGTGTCGTGTGATGTGTGTGTGTGTGTCCATATGCATTAATTGTCTTTCTGTACAGGTTGCAGAACTTCATTGGCAGGCCCCAATGAAAACCCATACTATGTGTGTGTGCGTGTGTGCGTGTGCGTGCGTGTAAAAGTCCATGCGTCTGTGTGTGATGACACTAAACTGTTGCAGTGATGGTGTCTCTAAATGTTTTGCAAGCCTTTTTTTTTTTCCACTGGCTGGTCTGTGCCAGAGAAAAAAAAAACAAAACTGCTGAAGCTTTTTGCAGAAAAAAGCTTCAGGAACTCTGAAACATAAAAGAAGGGACACTTTTCTCATACATCAGATGTAAATGTTTTACTTGAAATGTCATGAATCAGAACTGCTTTGCTGGTTTAGAGTTGAGATGCAAGGGTTCAGTATCTATTTAGTACTGATAGTGAGAGAGTGTGTGCGTGCGTGTGTGCGTATTGGGCTGTTCGTAAGCAGAGAAGGTTGAAACATTTGTGTAAAGGCTGTTTGTTTGATACTGGTAGTGAATGTTATTGATGCCACAGTGCTAAATTTCAGAGTAAAGAAGCAACTATTTCTTGAATTAATGAAGGACTGAAGTTGTACTCGAGTCCACGTTTCTAAGATCAGGTGCAGTGAGAACTGTGATGAAGTATTTAATAAGATTCAATCATCTTGGATTTCTATTTTCAGCCTCCGAATCATATGAATGAGGCCCGGCACCGAAGTGATAGTTGTCACATCTTCCCAGAGCATGTTTTTTTTTTTTTTTTCTTTCTTTTTTTAAAAGTTCTCCTGGTGTCCAACTTTGGTGCTGACTTGGTGCAGGAATTCTGCAATAAATGTTGCACTACTTTTTCCTCCCTTAAGCGAAAAGGCTTTGATGGCACCCGTTCTTTATCTTAACTGTCAAAAAGCTCAACAATGAAAACACAGGCCCATGTTCACAGATCTGCTTGTCACAGGGCCAGTTGAACCGGTTTCGTTACTAAGCCGGCTTTGTCCGTCAGATCAACAATCTGCAGGAGATTGAGTATCACATAATGATACGTCATCATTGTACCTGCTATTTTACCAGTGCTGAGAAATACTGATACATTTTTGTGACGTAACAGAGAGGAGGGAAACCCTACTTTCATTCATCATATCTTGAGTTTGCCCCTGACCTGTGATTCTAAGACAAACGGTGGACATAATAACATAAACACCCAGGAAATATAACGCAATTCAATGCAATATCCATGTAGTACATACTACCTTTTGAGATGCTTACAGTGTAGTCTTTTGTTTTTGGTGACTGTCAGACAAGTCTTTTATTTTAAGATGTTCATGTTACTGTTCCTGTTTGTTCACCTGATGGACAGGTGTTCACATTATTGTGTCCACCACCTTGATATATCAAAACACTGTCAAACCCTCAGTTACACTCCGTTCCTTTTTTTTTTTTTGTTTCGCTTTGTTTTTTGAAAAGCCTTTGAATGGGCTTTAAACAGAATGAATGTCGAGGGTTTTAAACTCTACTTGCAGAAAAAAAATCAACCTCGGATCAAAGAGCAAATATGGTAAATAATTTCAGATTATTGATCATTTGTGATCATTTTATTTGCATCTCATGTCCCAAATTCTCACTTAAAACAGGAACATTGACTTAACAGCGTGCGGTTTCATGTTCTGTTCTGTATGCAGTTCTGTAAACTACATTACAGTGTGTCACTCATATATTTCCATAGCATACCATGATGTCAGAACCTTAACTTATACTATGAATGAATGTACAACGGGCCAATGTATTGTTTTTCACAGCCTACCTGCATGAGATTGGGTAAAGATGAATATTCTTCCTCTTTTTTGTTTGTTTGTTTTTATTTAGTCTGCTAGGCAGCCATGCAGATGTTTATAAATTAATGCCTTAAGTTTGCTCCCTGTAGGAACAATTTCTAGGACACGTTCATTCTCACAATAACCTGCGTTTTTATTTATAAGTGTATATTGTGTTTTGTTTTGGCTCCCTGGTCGCAGAGTAAAGGTTTGTACCCTGACTGACTGGTTGGTCATCTGAGTGTTCTGTGAAGATGTACAAATAAATTTGTTAAACATTCACCTGGCCGTGTTTGCTCTTGCACTGTCCCCCTGTTTCAGTTTGCTTTATTGAATAATGTAATGTGTAATTGACTGTAAGCATTTTGTGAAATTTTGTAAGCCGTGTTCAACCATAAGGATTTCAAATTCTTGGTTTTGTTGGTTCCCACTGTGAATCAAAATCTCTTAAATATCTTGGAAGATTAAAAGGTGGATTAAAAGGGACGTCATGGGACGCTGTGTCAGGAAAAAACACAGTGTGAACTCTGTATCTTCCAAAATAGACCTGAATACTGCTTGTCCATATAGAAGCAGGTGATTACAGGCTATGTTTACAGGAAGACTAGTATTTAAAGGCTTTTAATACTCACACAAAAAACCAGCACAAAGAACAAAGTTTTATTTCACTTTCTTGCAGATTTTTTTCTGCTTTCTCACATCTGTTATAACTTCACACCAAGGGCATTTAATCATTACTCATTACTTTGATTTACTCAAAGGAACACCTGTTTTTCTCCTTGTTATTTATACGATAACACTAAAGAGCTCTGTCATCATTTCAGTCCTTATTTTTCCAGTGCTTTCTGAGGAGTTACAGGGCCCAATCTAAACTCGTTGTTTTATGAACCCAACCCTCTTCTTTGCCTCCGTAGTTTTAAATCGGCTTAACACCCCTGAAGAGGTTTCTTCCAGAAGAAGTCCCTGCAATGCAACTAGAGGACTAGTCTACAAAACAAACACGAAATCTGTTGGGAGAGTGTGAAAATTATTTTGAACATAAATGTGGAAAATTTTATGCCAGCAGGTCTGTATCACTGAAGCCGACTTCTGCTGGCGGTTGTGTGGCGCCCGTCTCTATGCTGGCCTTCGTAGGAGCTCCAAGCACAGCAGGAGGGACTGGGTTGAAAGGTTTCCAGGGCTTAGATGGGCAGTGGAAGGGGTTGTCATTCCCAGCTTCCGAGGCCACATCAGGGGAGCCGGACGGCTTGACGGCTGTCAAGTCCTCCTCAGATGATTCTTCTTTGGCTTTAGTGGGGGGCTTTGAAGGTATGGCTTCATACAGGATGTTCCTGAGTGGAGACCAGCCGGGAGGACGGCGCCTGTTGAACGTCTGAAGAAAAGAAGACAGGATGTGGATGAACGTGTAGATTGGAAGGATTACACTCTTTAAAAAAAAAAAAAAAAAAAAAAAAAAAGCGGCGATTCTTACTCTCACTGCCAGAAGGGGGAGACCAAAAAAAAGTTGGCCTATGCGCGGGCTGTGGGTTTTGTCAGTTTGCTGTTGATTTCTCCTGCCCTGAAGTGGACAACCCCCCCCCCCCCCCCCCCCAAAAAAAAACCCCAACCTTTGCAGCTGTAAAGTAAATTTCAGCTCTCACTAAATCTCTTCACTTAACAGCTGTTGTGCAGTCATAGACCCCAGCAGGTCTGTCAGTGATTTCCCAACATGCGTGCACATCACGCTGTGTGCACATGGCACTAGTGAGAGCCATACTCACTGTCTAAATCGTTTGGAGGGGGTGTGGTGTCTTTTTTTTTTTTATTTTTTATTTTTTTTTTTTTTAAGCCTTTCCAAAACCAAAGACCTAACAAAAACTGTGCTAAATGCAATAAACTCTTTGCCTGCTCTAAAATGAGCCCCTAATGTTAGCATGTCAGGTTAACTACAGAGTAATAACAAAGTGGGCCTCACCGTAGGCAGTTCACCTGGTTCACACTCTAACTGGGCCTCCGGGGCCTCAAGTCTCCATGGAGCTACATCCACTGTAGAGTTACAGTTTGTAAACTCCTGCACACAAAAATACACACACACACACACACACACACACACTCAAGTTAAATAAGCCCAGAAAAGATCACATAACATCAGTGGTCATATGTGTTATGTTTTCATATTTACCGTATCCTGATCATCAGGGACACACAGTTCGTTGAGGTCTTTGTGTTCAGCCTTGGCGCAGGTGGTTTTCTGCATATCAAATCTCACCTTGAACCTGAAACCTGCGACCACCTGCAGGGATACATAAACACAGCAGGTAGAAAAGAAAGACTTTTCCCAGTTCATCATCTCCCTTCATATCACACAGTCTCTACCTGTCTGGTGGCGTGGGCAATAGTGTGCAGGGTGAACAGGTGAGTAGAGTCGGAGATGGAGTTATACTTGGAGATGGAGACAGAAAGAGGAACTCTAAGGTCCTCTGAGGTCTCATCAATCTTCTCAGGGCAGCCCAGACAGGAAGCTTTCTCTGGAACGACGTAATCATCTGGAGAGGAAGCAAGATTGTGAAAAAGAGGAGACAGCTGCTGACCGTGGCTCGACCATGGTTACCTCATGACTGTGGGCAATATAAAACTGCATCAAAGGCAGAGTTTAATATTGAACAATATTAAAATACATGTTTGCCAAACACCTGAGTTCACTGAAGCATGGGCCTGCACTCTACTGGGTTTCCTTTCACCCCCAATTGAGGCTCTGATAAATTAAATGTCAAAGTGCAATAAAAAACTTTTTTTTTTTTCCCTGAAATCAATGAATAATGTGATAGATAATTGGGTTCTCAATATTGATCAAAAATAATCGTGGTTATTATTTTGGCCATAATCGTACAGCGCTAACTGTAACAGGTAAATACCATTTTAATACAGAAAGGAATTATGCAAGCTTAGTCTTTTAAAACTTGCAAAACATTTTGGGAACAGGAGAGAGAACACAGTGGGAAGGTTAGGCAAACAGACTAAAGTCTAGACTAGGCCACTGCCTTTTATGGTGCGATGAGTTAATATTGTGCTCTCCCTATCTGCAGATAGTATTGATATATTACACAATCGGCCTCCCCTGTATATCCCCTGCGCCCACCAGTGTACATTTTCCTCAATGACTCACTGTTTTCTAAATGAGCCATATGCTCTCCTGTGATAAACAGTCATGGTGGACTACATCGATACTGCAGTGATTCCTGCTGCTGCGAGAAAATTTCAGTTTCTGACTTGAAATGGGTCAATTCCCCCAGTGGAGTGCATCACATGACAAGAGACATAATAAGTTGTAATGAGCCACTGGTTTCATGGTAAATGTCTTAAATGAGTCCCAAGTTGAAAAAGTTTTTTTTTTTTTAAATAATCTTATTGAGCGCATTTAGAAAGAATCTCCACTTTAAATTTGGTTCAAGTTTCCGGGCAAGTAAAATCATTTGTCCCTTTAGTGTCCCAGATTATTTCACTTTGCAGAAAACATGAAACAAGGCGAGCAAGAGGCTTCATCTTGTATTCAGATTTTCTGTATTTCTGTATTTTGGTAATATTTATAGTAATCATTTCACTGTCTTGCCAAGAGTTATATACCGCATTCAGACAATGTTGACAGAATGGGAAGAACAGGAAAAACACATCTTCACGTGTGATGGTGTATTTGCAGCCATTCTGACAACATCAAGTTTGTTGGCAAACTACGTATTTCATGTTACTAAGAGGGAGATGTAACTGGTGTCAGAAATTCCTGATATCTCTGACTTGAAATTAAAAGTCAGAGGTTGGTGTGAATGTTTTTTTTTTTCCCTACTTGGCTGCACGTAATTAAGGTTTTAAAAAAAAAATGAAAATATCACATGATTGTAGCGTTAGATCAAAAGATTTGACCCATTCTCAGGTCTCTTCTATTAATATGTTTCTGCAGTACCAGAAGCTGTAGTTTCAGGACTTTCAGGACCGCAGTCCTAAGACCGCATTTCTAAGACTATAGTTTTTCACAATAGTGCCACTTAGCGATTTGGTTACGGTGCGTTGTATGACGCACGTTTAAAACAAATTGGGTTTCTGCTGCAGTGGTAGTGTCACAGAAAACCAGGGTCCTAGAGATGTGCTGTCCAGGAAACATGGTCCTGGAAATGACTGCGGTCCTGAAGTCCTGAAACTGTGATGTGCAGAAACATACTACTCATCATATGAAGCTTCAGCCAGTAGTTATCTTAGCTTAACATATAGAGTGGAAACAGAGGGAAACAGCTAGCCTGGCTCTGTAATCTGTACAAAAGCTGAATTGTGAAAAGTGGTTTTACAGAAGGTTATGCCAGACTGTCATTTCTTCCCCCCCTGTCTTCAGTCTTTATGCTAATCTAAGATAACCATCTGCTGACTCCAGCTTTATATTTACCCCACAAACATGAGAGCAGTATCAGCCTGCTCAACTATGTCTCTGCAGAGAAGGAAAAAAATGTTAAACTATATCTTTAAGTAAAAATGAATTAACTGCCCTGGCAGCTAATTCTGGCTTTGCTTGTGTCATAGTCTTAGAAACAACAATCCAATGAACTTTTATCTAATGAGATCATGTGATCATTCTGTTCATCCAGTCACTCACCGAGCTCACAATCCACCTGCTTAGTGTCTGTTTCCGCCTCTGTCAAGTAGACTGTGGCATTGCATGAAATCGGCTCCTGGAGGAACAACCGGATAGATGACGCTTTGATTATGATTAGTGTTATACACAGCATCAGAACTATCACCAACTTTAAGAAAAATAATCTACTGTAAATGCTCTAAAGGAATCTGCAGCTTTGTTTATACATAAATATTAACAGTCTTAGCATTTACTCCACAGATGTGAATGGAAAATATGAATATCAGCAACCGCATTTCATCCCATCATCACTACCTTGCGTCTAGTAGACAGATAGTCACAGTCTCTCCAGGGTTTGTTGCTCCCGGCAGGACAGTCACTCCTCCTGCTGGTGAACTGCAGTGAATACACCGAGTCTGAGCCGTTCTCTGACTGTGGAGAGAGACACACACAGTGTGCATCAGAGGTCAAAGTGTCTGAGGATGTTTTCGTCATCCCACAGCTTTGGTTCCTCTTGTTTCATCACCTTCCAGTTTCAGCTCTGACACACGCCGTGTGGATTTTTAAAGGAGGTAACAACCATCAGATCTCTTCACATCTGAATCATTAACGCTGAAAGAATTTTTCAATTCAATAAACAATTGTTTTGCTAACAGAAAAACAACTGTTATTTTTATTGATACATTACGATCAGTTTTATACAACTTAATAGCTATTGCATTTAGGATGGAAATTTACTTTTTACTTTAAACACAATCCATGTCTTCAGTACATTTATCTGACAAGTAACTAATATTGTAAAAGTGAAGGATTTACACTCACAACAATTCATTTAAAATTTAAAGTTAATTTAAAATGCAGTCAGGAATGAAATATTGTGCACTAAGACTTCATTTCTGCATGGTTTGTAGTGACTGTTTAAAACTACTTTGTCGAACACTCCCATTCAGGGGAGCAGTGATAGACTTCCTCACAAAGAGCATTGAGAGTTACAGCAAGTGCTGTTTTTATGTGTAATGTTTCTGTGTGTTCCTTCTTTTTCTTTTCTTTTACAGTTTTGATACTAAGCTGTGTATGAAGTCATGGCAAACCACAACTGTGAAATACAATACAATAATGCAACAATAATGCAACACTGTAGAAGTGACACCAATCACCGGTAAAACTATAGTATTTTAAAGAAGAAAATGTTGTTGCCCACAGGCACTCTCTACACTTTTATATATACTATAGGAATATCAAGTTTCAGTATGTTTTTCTTTAACCTTATAAGGAGTCTTGAAGATTACTTATGAGGTAAATATGCAGACAGTCACTGTACCTTGCTGGCTGTCAGTATCTGATAGAGGGCCAGCTTGTGTCCAGTGCTCAACTTCTCATTGAACTTGTGCAGAGCGCTGCTGACAGCTTTCTCTACAGATGGGTCATCGCAGAAGATAAGGACGCCTGGTTGGACGTCCACTGCCTCCTGGACAAGAAGAAGAAGAAGCATTACCATGGAGAGAGAGAGGTTAGTCGGTAAAGAAAGAAAGATGACTGACTACAATAAACTACAACAGAAGTCCCCAGACTCTGCATTTGTATGCCCTGTAGGATTTCCAAGATAAGCCGGAGGGGCTGTGAGATGATTAACAAGACAGGAAAAAAATCTGCAATGCAAAATTAGGTCTGACTTTTTTTATTTCTCTCCAAACCTGCTTTTTGGTGAAATTGTGATAGCCCTACCTCTACAGGCCTTTAAAAAAATCAAATCAACTGAAAACCACTCTTTAGTTAAACTGTTAACATACAATTAATACATTTACTTAAGTGCTGTACTTAAGTACAGTTTTATGGTACTTGTACTCTCACTGGTTATTTCCATTTTATGTTTACTCTTCTACTGCTTCTACTTCTACTGCACTACATTTCAGAGGAAAATAAAATAAAGCCAGTTTTCCAGAACGGGATTTACTTAATGATTCAAATGCTTGTAATCCAATATATATATATATATAAAAAGAAAAACTAAGTATATTTACTCAAATACCAATAATAATACAAATTATTTTGAAATACATCTATTTTACTTGATTTTATGCTGTATATCATATTTAGTTGTGTATTCCATTAATTTTCCACATTTCAGAGGGAAACACTGTATTTCAGTCTCAGATACATGTAATGGAGAGCTGCTGACTCGCACCATGTCAAACAAGTAAAACATTCTTATATGTAAGTAGGAAAGTAGTTAGACCCATTTCAGCAAGCTACAATGCTTAAATGTGACTGAAATGATATTGAATCTATTATACACTTAAAGTTGCCGTATTGCTTCATGCAATAGTTTACTTTTGATACTTAAACTACATTTTTTAAACATAATTCTGGTATTTTACTTTTTACTTGTAAGAAAGTATTTTTCTATTGTGGTAATAGTTCTTTTGCTTTAGTAAAGTATCTGAAAAAGTAAAGAATCTCTCTTCCAGCACTGCTGTAAACCCTAAACAGCCTGATAGTTCCCCCGCTTTCACCTCAGTTTAAAGGCTGATACTTTCTGCTTACCTGCCCAAAGACAGAGCTGTGGAGGCACAGCAGGCCCAGCACACATAGGCCTACTCCACTCCTCATTGTGTGATCTCGATGGATGTTTGGCTCTGCTCTGTTACAAAGCATTGAAAAGGCGAATATCACACCAGCTGAACACTTTCCGCTGCAGTTTATTCGTTTATCATTACAATATCAGTGCATTTCATTTCAAAATGACGTCCTGACTCAGACAGTGTCAGCTGGATCAATGTCAAATTCTTTAGTCGTGGCTTAGAATTAAGCATGTTTGTAACCTATGAGGTTTGATGTAAAGAGTTAGTGATGCAGTACTTACAGTTTCTGAAGGTGGAGGCCTGCTGCCGATCCTGCCGAGCGTGAGGGAGAAAAACTCGACTCCTCTCCACACAGGGATGGACGACTGACTGAAGTTCTCCTGAAACTGTAGGTGGGAATCCTGAGAAAGATGATGACACACAGATACATACACAGAGGACAAGAGGGCACAGAGGACGCACACACACACACACACACACACACACACACACAGGCACAGGCACAGGCACACACACACACACACACACACACACACACACACACACACACACACACACACACACACACACACACACACACACACACACACACATTAATGCTCAAAGCGCTCAGTCGGTAAAAGGAGAGCAAATGTTTGCTTCTTTGTTTGCCCTCCTACCTGTTGAGTCAACACAACAGTCATTATCAGAAAGAGAGAGAGAGAGCATATGAGGAGATGAACTAACTTCCTTCATTAGTGACGCCGGGAGAGCAAACACCCTCCTACCTCAATCTGGACACACACATACCCACAAATTAACCACATAAAGTAGAGTAGATTGGCACTGAATGTATAGAAGGGAAACATTCCCTAACTGTAAGTGTTTAGGAGGCCACTGTGTGTGTCTGTGTGTCTGTGTGTGTACTGGGTGTGTGTTTTGTGTGTTTTAACTGGTACTTTGTCCCTGTCGACCTTTAGCCTGTACCACTCAGACTTCCCAGCTGCTCCTCTTTGAAATGAAGTGAAATGTGCTCAGATGTTACACTCCATATACTGTAGCTGTATCACACAGACACTGTGTTTGCTTTGTCTTGTCTCCAAGTTCCGTGAGTGCGCGAAGGTCACCTCATACCTGCAGACTGATGACAGCATGCCAAAACCTTACGTGTGCCTGACAGGTCATTGGCTCAGCAATCGCTTTACCTCCATCATCTGTACACATATGTGCACATCTGCAATGATAGATACAGGAAGTCAATTCTTACAGTGGCCTGTTTGGTAGAGACAGCAGATTTAAAAAAAAAAAAAAAAGAAAAAGAAAAAAGAAAAAGAAAAAGAAAAAGAATCGTGATTGTGTGAAATTATAGATGAGAGCAGATTTATAAAAATGTAATTCTGCCCTCTTGTGGTTCCACATGCGCAAACACATATTGTGCTAATTGGTAGCACGCTGAGTAGCCTACACACACACAGTCTCATTTATACTTAGTCATATACAGTGTGTGCACATATACACTATACACAAACACATCTCATACACACAATGTGCATTGGTGGGAATGTGTATGACTAAAGGCACAGTATCAAATTAAATGATAAGGGCCCTGAGGCCTTATTATTATGATTTTATATATTATGATTATGATTAGGATTGTTATTCTTATTACCTGTTTCAAAATTTACATGGGACATATTACTAAATAAGTTTGTGTTTAAATGTGTTGTGTGTGTGTTGTGAATTGTGTTTAAAAACCACAAACAGGGGGTCAATACAGTAGGTGCCCACAGTTTGTAGAAGAAGAAGAAGACATTCAAGGATTTATGTGAACATTGAAGAGGAGACAAGGAAGAAATGAAAGGAAAATATATTTGACAGTGAAACACATTTAACAAGATCAAAGTCATAAAATTGCAGAGAAACTAAATTCATCTGACAAAGTCATTTTCAAGATTTCTCTCTAAGTGTAGATCGGCTGAGCAAGGCAAGGTCATTTTGTTCAACTGACGTGAATTTACCATCAGAGGTGTGAGCTCTCACCCGCCTCCTGTGGTACTTCACTTCCTCTGCAGGAGTCTTCACGGTGTGTAGGTGTTCAGCAGTTTTCACATTGAATCACCAAACTACAGATGCAGCGCTTCTGATCTCATCACGTTACTCTACTCTTCTCTATTCTTTTAACTATGATGCACACAGGTGCACGGTGTCTTTTCTTCCTGGCTGCTGTTGTTCCAGGTAAGACTCATGATATTCAATAGCATTTCATCCTCAGATAATAGACTATAAACTCTCTCTATAGATCATTCTTTGTCTCTCTCTGTAACTCAAACAACTGTGTTGCTGTGCTCTTCAAATTCATCTGCTGTTCCTCTTCATGATACTATAAAAACTGTGTGTAAACCAAGACCTTTATGCCACAGATGAATGAATATGAATATGAAGTATCCCATTCTGTAATTATCATGCATTGAGATGAATAATGTAAGGAGTGAACCTGTGATTGGGACATTTCTAATGGTTTATTTATATTTATATTTATATTTATTTAATAGTTTGAAATGAAATGATGGTCTTCATGAGGCTGTTTCAACCTTCATGGCACCAGTGCTGTCACTGCTGCGAAACTGTCACAAATTAAACAGGTCTGGTTTCCTGTCATCGTTGCTTGTGTGGTCTCTTGTGGTCCCACACTCGTCTTCCTCACTTTGAGGTTTAAGCATACACATGACAGGACAGTCATCGCAGCCAGTTTTCACACATCACTACATCCACTAGTTCACTTCCAAATATCTTGTAAATGCAGGTTGTTAAAAAGAAAGAAACTGTCAAAAAAGTGGAAAACATCCGACAAACCTTTATGTTTTGCAGCAGCAGAAGCTTTCAACTTGTTTTTTGAATTGTATACCATTTTTAAATTATTGTAATAATGATACTTTAGTGTAATTACTGTAAACTTTAGACCAAGGGCATGACTTATTTTTATTCTATAACTACATCCAGAAATCTGTTTCCGTCTGTGTCTTGTTGATAAGCAGGAACATGTTGGATGTGATTTTTTTTTTTCCATTGGTTTCAATTTTTTTTGTTGTTGTTGAAGATTCTGTTAAAACTATCTCATGGCATCAATCCTGCAGGGGCTAATAAATTGTAAATTTTTATAGGAATTTACATCACAAGGTATCAACTAATCTTGTGGCCCTTTTTTTTTTATTTTTAAATCCACTCTATGTTTTGCTCTAATTGCGAATATTCCTGATTCCACTTGTGTGCCATTAAGCAAGCAGCAGTTTTTTTTTTTTTTTTTACCAAATCCACTCTGTTGAGACTCACAGATAAACTCTGTCTAGAGCCAGGATCAATCACCAGATTGCCAAGGGTAATGATTTACTGATTTTTGAAACGCCACCTTGTTAAATGGCAGGTCTCTTCTTCCTCCTCCAGGCGTCCACCTCCAGAGAAATGACTCTGAGACTCAGATCTACCGGCCGGTCCTGCAGCCCTCTGAGGCCATTCCTAAAATAGGTACACACACAAACACAAGACTAGATTTATTACAGAAATATAAACAAAGCACCAGTTTCTGTAGCCAATCTATTGCAGAAAGAATCGCAAACATGTTGAAATAATGGCATGAAGAGTGGTGGAATCGTGGCGAGCTGCAGCGAAATGATGTCAGTCAAACTCACATCACAATTGGTACTTTACTAGCGTGTGTGTTAATGCATGTATGTGTGCACTTTGTGTGCATGTCTGTGTGTGTTTTGTGCACAGGGACCTACATGCTGCAGAGCCTTGCTGGGAAACCCTGCATCAAAGCCACCATGGGAGCAGAGTACATCGTCATTGAAAAGAAGGTTAAAGGCTGTGACTGGCTCAGCACTGTGTGTGTGTGTGTGTGTGTGTGTGTGTGTGTATGTGTATGTGTCTGTGTGTGTTTGTGTTTGGTGTGCATCTGTCAGGGCTGTTCATTTGTGAGTAGTACATATTTCCCTCAGTGTGTATCACTAAAGTTTCTAGTATTTCAGCCCTTTTTGCAGAAAGTGTGTGTTTGTGTCAGCATCTCTTTGTGAGGTGTTACAAGCTGGTTTCATTGTTCAAACAGTGAAAATCTAAAACTGATGTCAGCTTTTTTCAGAATCCAGAATAAAGCTGGGTGTGTAGATTTATGCTCTCATATGTCTCTAATATAAGTGATGAATGCTAATTTAGTCACATGTTTTGCACAAATGAAAGTAGAAATGAGGAGAGACGATGACTTGTGACTCTGTACAGTGATATGAAGTAATGCTTCTCCCCTGTATGCCCTCAGAAGACCTGGTATTTCAACCTGGACCCCTCCAGGGTCAGGACCAGCGGTTACTGTGGCAAAGAATCTGCTCTTCTGTCTGTCACGCTGCCGGACAACACTACCAGCCTGGAGTTCACCTTCAAAAAGGTACGACACAAAAATTCACATATTCCTCAACGTGTGAAGTTTGCATGTTCTCTCTGTGTCTGCGTGGCTTTTCTCCGGGTGCTCCAACCCCAACAACAAACTTCATATATTCCTGTAAAAAAATGAAAAAGATAATTCAGTTTATTTTTATTTTTATTAATATCTGTAAAATGACAAATTACATGTGTACAAGGGCAGAATGTAGCACAATGCATCAACCTATTACAAGACTGAATAAAGTGCAAGTCAAGCACAAACATCACACAAATAGTTCATTTCCAAAATGTCCCAAAAAAAATTTGCAGCCAAAATGTGTGTGTTAACTTCATGGAAACCAAAAATGCAATGTTCATTTAACTTAAACTAGTGTGGACTGTTTATCACTGGAATATAATTCATTTGTGTAGAGCTTTAGTGAGACTTCCAGGTTCACATCTAGACCAAAATGTTCACAACAAATTATGAAATTATGTTTGTTTACTTGGAAAAATGTGTATCTGCTTAGAATTCTGGGATTTCTGAATCAATCTCTGTATTTTTGTCCCCAGGAAAATAATGTTTCCTATGTCACCAAGCTGAGTGCTCGTGTGTCGCCTCTGCCTGTTTGCCAAAGATGTGCCAGTAAGAGAGAGGACAGATGATATATGGCTGTTTCTATTTCTGATTCTGAGGAATAATCTGCAAACTCTTAGACTGCAACTGCCTGTGTTTAATTTTATTTAAACTGGAAATTTGACAAGCAATCAGACAATTGTTCAGTTTTTAAATAAAAGGAAATAATATTTCAACAAAAAAATACAAAAAATAATTTAAAAAAGGAACAAATACATACATTTAAATAGATATTAGATTAGATATTTTGATATATATTAACTGCTGACATGGACTTCCTGTTTGTTATAAATTGAAGAGACTCAAAGTAACATTCAAGATCAAACAGAAACAACTTAAAACAGGGAATTGATTTAAGAAAATTTCACCTTATGTATATGAAGGTTTCCTAGTAAAAAAAAGTGCCTCTGTTTTTTATCCTGCTCCTCCCAGATAAGACTTACTCTGGCTTGTTGGACCATTACAAATTGTTTACAACAGCCAATGGTCAGAGCTTCAAGTGCAAATCTGACAGTCTGCTGCTGATGTCGTCCGAGCTGAGGATCAAGCTGGTCCATCTGCAGATGCAAGCCTTCACTCTGCCCAACGGACAGTATGGAGAAGGTGACTGAACTGATTATTTGGGTTCCACAACTGGATCTGAACCAACTGAACCGAGATGTTAAAAGAGAAAGCTGTGAGGTCATGAGATAGAAAAGCAGGGACAATATGTTTCTGCAGCCCAAACTTATGTTTTAGACGTTGCTCTTTCTCTTCAACAAATTGTTTTGTCTTGGGAAGCTAAGTGCAAAATTTAGACTGCTCAGGTACAAGTAAATCAATGCTGAATGAGCTTTAAGTTTCCTTATTTAGACAAACCACTGATCCACTCAAAACTAATGTGATTCTCTTTTCCCTGCAACTTCAGCTGAGTATAATGGTCCTTTGTTTGTGCTTCCTCTCCGGTAGTCAAACTAGTAAAAACACGTTTACAAATAAATCAATATGAGCACAATCTTTACCTTTTTTTCATGCATAAAAACACACACATTCATAACCTCTGTGTGTTTGGAGCTTGTTGTCTACAGTTGGACCAGATTATATTCTTATATTCTTGCTTTCAGAACCATTTCAAAAACTCACTGGCAACTATAGTTACCACTCTGTTTAGTGTCCTGTTTGGCTTCAGCACAGTTCAAAGGGTCAGACTGTCAAAAGCCCTGATGAATTTCAACATCTAAAACAGGAAGCTAAGAAAAGATGGTCGCGATCAATGCTTGCTATCTTTTTTTTTATTGCCTTTATTACTGTCATACATTTGGGCCAGAAGCAGGAAGCTGTGCCAGATGAAATAAATAAAAGCCCGATTTGTGACCCTTTGTAGTGGATTGAAAAGATAAGATGGGGCTTTTTCTGGATTTACTATGAGTTCTCCATTTTTGAGAAGTAGACATGGTTTTTGAAGGCTTAATGACACACCCCACTGGACGGATCTTTAATCATCCTCCTTCTCTCTTATGTTTCAGAGGTGGAGTGCTGGGCTGACTTTAACAAGCGAGTTGTTCCCATCGTCATCGGGGCCACAGTGGTGGGTTTCATCCTGATCACAGTGCTAACCCTCCTGTTCATCAAAGACCGCCGCAGCCAAGGCTACGACAGGCTCTGAATTTGCTGTGAAACTGGATGCAGGGTTACTCCATATTTTATACTCAGTTACTGTAACAAAAACATTTAAAAACTTCTTCTCCTTAACCTGGACTTGACTTTTATAATAACATATAAAGGCCTGATATCTTATATCCAAACTATAAATGCGAAAAGTATTGTTAAATGTATTTATTTGACCTTTCTTTCATTAATTTCACAATCTCTTTGTAACAAGTATGAACCTGAATTTCATTTCTTTTCCGTTCTGCTTTCAATGATGACTTTTATTCATTGCTGTTTTTTGTAATATTCAAATTTATTGTAATTTTAACAGTTATTTAATAAAAACAGAATTAATGGTTATTGAACCCTTAATCAATACAAATGATCCTGTCAATTCAAATCTTATATTTTAGGAGGTGTAATCATTCATTACGAACTGTAATTCAACACCTGTCAGAGTGGACGAAGAAAAAAATAATGATAAATAAATAAATAATTAGCTCCACCACCCGTGTGACCTGTGAAACGTCTCCCTCTGCTGGTCCTTTATCGTCATTGCAGCTCCCTCCCCACCTCCATATCCCCTTTTCTCATTGGCTGTGGCCACTACGAGTCCTTGGAAAGGTCATAATTAGTAATACAGACATTAAAAGGCGTGTAGCAGTGTTTATTCGTGCGTGTGTAACATTTGAAAGCCCCAATTAAGATCTCCGACTTAAGCTGATTGGTTAGCTGTAGTTAAAATAGAGCCAAACCGACGAGTAGCGTGTTTAGTAAATTAGCACTTCGCCTTTTCCACGTTCAGCTGGTCAGTCAATTAGTTAGCTAAGCTAGCAGCTAGCCCAGCAGCTGGTAGCTATGGCTGCAGTTATCCTGAGTTTCCCCACTCTGCAGGGTCTGAGAATATTTACACAGTGAGTACATCAACTAGTGACATGTCTGCTCAGTTCTTGTCTGAAACAGGCTGTCCCTTGTAAAGACATCTTATATTATTAGATATTTAACTTCCTGTAAAAGTTTTTCAACCGGACCAGTGTTATCTTACGGCTGAGCTAACCAGATAAGGCACTTTTGTAGCTAAGATTGTAAATTTTCCACTAATGGCCATGACTGCTAACCTTGACAAAATCACGTTATTTCTGGACTCAACGTCAGCGTGTTGATAAAATGTGGTTCATCCTGCGAACTACTGGAGAGACAGATAAGACCTGAGCAAGGTTAAATAAAGGTAGCAGTTAGCATGGCTAGTGTGGCTGGTACAACATGCACACAGTTGAACATACAACTGTGCGACTGTCTACACTGGCAACTATCATTCTGCTCAGTTATTTAGATTTATAGTGACTGTACTTGCTATTTCTTGAGCAGCGTTCATTTACTAAATGTTCTGCACTTCACTTTCCTGTACTTTCCTCTCTTCTCTCCTCTGTCAGAAAATTATCATGGACCAAAAGAGGCGTGAGGTTCGTTTCAGGAGGTGAGTTAAGGACATGTTCCTTGCAATGTTGTTATAAGCAATCATGACACCAATAGCTCTGCTGGTTGTGAAATAGCAAATTAAAAATATTTTCATTATAGAGTAAAGTGTACTAAAAATGCAGTGCAAGAGATATAAACTATGTCCCTGTGAGCAACTATTCCTGAGGATGATAGGGCATTGATAGTTGCAGGCCTTTTAAAGCTTTCTGCACTTTTTGTGGCTGAATTTACTATTGCTTTGAATAGTGAAGTAACAATATGTATAAATATTTTTTTAATTATAGCATGATTTCATTTAAAGAGCCTTAGCTGTCAGTTGTTGAAACTGTGTGTCCGCTGTTTCCTCTTCAGGGGTGGGAAGGATAGAGAAAGTGTTGATTGCCAATCGAGGAGAGATTGCATGTCGCGTGATGCGTACAGCCAAGAAGATGGGCATCCGCTCTGTGGCGGTGTACAGTGATGCAGACAGACACTCCATGCATGTGGCCATGGTGAGAAGCGAGATACATTTTTCTCACATAAAAGCAGTTTTTAGGTCTCGGTGTTCTTTCCCACTCTCTGCAGCAGCTTTTATGAATACAATGAGACAATATGATGTTTTCTTAATCTGCCCATTGATTGTTTTTAAGCTTGCATTGGGACACTGTCTTCTTTTGCTTTGGTTGTTTTGTAGGCAGATGAAGCCTACCACATCGGCCCTCCGCCCTCCCAGCAGAGTTACCTCTCTATGGAGAAGGTTTTGGAAGTGGCCAAGAAGTCTGGATCACATGTGAGTTATCCTGCTAAAGAGAGAGTTCTTTAAACCATCATAATAGATATAGATTATAATGTTCAGGTTTCTTTAATCGCATTAACTATTCTTAATGTTGCACAGTGGGGCTTTTTATCCTTATTACATCTAATCTTCCTGAAATCTTAATTGTGTGTTTTTATGTGTAGGCGGTCCACCCTGGCTATGGCTTTCTATCTGAAAACACAGAGTTTGCAGAGGCGTGTAAACAAGAAGGCATCATCTTCATTGGGCCACCTTCCTCTGCCATTCGAGATATGGGCATTAAGAGGTGACACACACACATTAAAAAATATCTATAATATCTGTTGAGGACTTTGTCATTACAGCAGCATAATTTCAAACAGTTGAATAGAAACATGAATAACAGAATTTGCCAATTGACTTGCATTGCTTTGTGTCCGTTTTCAGCACATCCAAACACATCATGTCAGCTGCTGGGGTGCCAATTATTGGTGGTTACCATGGAGAGGACCAATCAAATGAAAGGCTGCAAGCAGAGGCTGCTCGGATTGGATACCCTGTGATGATTAAAGCAGTCCGTGGAGGAGGAGGAAAGGTGAGAGGATGGCGAAAAGCCAAAATAACTTTGATGGGGAAACTTCAGGAAACAAAAAATAACCCTGTGTGTGTGTGTGTTTAGGGGATGCGTATTGCACGCTCAGACTCAGACTTCTTAGAGCAGTTGGAGTCGGCGAGACGAGAAGCCAGAAAATCCTTCAACGATGATGTCATGCTGGTTGAGAAGTTCGTAGAGGACCCCAGGTAACACTCACTCCCTCACTCACTGCCAACCAGCCAGTTCTACTATGTTGTTATTTTCCCCTATGTAAAAAAAATGTGTCCTTTTATTCCTCTCTCTGTCTGTCTTCTGCAGACACGTGGAGGTTCAGGTGTTCGGAGACATGCACGGTAATGCTGTCTATCTGTTTGAGAGAGACTGCAGTGTCCAAAGGAGACATCAGAAGATCATAGAGGAAGCACCAGGGGTGAGGGCATGATGGTGGTTACAGAAATGTGTCGTTGAATTAAAGTTGACTGATAAGGACTTTTAAAAGTTGATTATTGTACCTATGGCATCTAAGTTTTACATTTTAATCAGTGTCTCTTGCAAACATAAATTTTGGTTTTCCACATCTAGAAAATGGAAATCTGATTTGAGGTTTAAGCTCAGGATATCTTGAGCCACTTTTCTGGAATAATCTCCTTGCTGGCAGAGAGGAAGTACGGTATATACCTGAACTGTATTAGCCTGTAGGTTATTGGACATGTGGCAACTCTTGTTATCAATCTATGTTTTCCAAACCCACTGATGCACATTCAATAAAAGCTCTTAATTTAGCTTTTAGTTAATACGACTAGTCTCTTTAACTTGGAAGAGGAGACACATCGGCATCTATCCTTCACCACCATGGTGACAAGAGCTGGAAAAGTTCACCTGTATTGGCAGGATTTACTGCTGCACTTGTGTTAAATGAGGAAAATCTTCTATATATAAGGAGAATCTACTGGACATTAGGTCTGCGATCACTTGAAAATGTTTGTGTCACCTGTTGAGTGTTTACACTGTATTTTGACACTCCTCTATACGTATTTTTTTCAGCCTGGTATTAGTCCTGAGGTTCGCAGGAAACTTGGAGAAGCAGCAGTTAAAGCAGCCAAGGCTGTCAACTATGTAGGGGCAGGTAAGACACACAAACACATGCACACATCTGACCACATTGTCAGACCCAGAACACACAGTAGCGTATATGACATATTGCTTGTCTTCCTGTGTAGGTACGGTTGAGTTTATAATGGATGCCCATCATAACTTCTACTTTATGGAGATGAACACCAGGCTGCAGGTGGAACATCCCGTCTCGGAGATGATCACTGCAACCGACCTGGTGGAGTGGCAGCTCAGGGTGAGAGGGGAGGGATGGAGAAAAAGTAACAAGAAACTTTTTCACCAACAGGTAGAAGTTTTATTGACTGAAGCTTAATGATGCTTTGTGAAAATCTCCTCCAGGTGGCAGCAGGGGAGCGCCTGCCTCTCCTCCAGGATGACATCATCTTAGGGGGGCACTCATTCGAGGCTCGTATCTACGCCGAGGACCCAAACAACGACTTTCTTCCAGGGGCGGGGCCTCTGCTGCATCTCTCCACCCCTCCACCAGACCAACACACACGCATAGAGACTGGAGTCAGGGAAGGTAGGGAGTCTAGATCACACAAAACATGATTACACAAAAGACAAATATCAAGAAAGAAGAAGTTAAAAGAGATCTCTGGGAAATGCAGTGAAGAAATCGCAACAATGAGTGCTTGTGCAGTACTGGCTGGCCTTCATCCAATAATCTAATTTTATCCAATTGGGAAGTAGAAAATGAATATGACTACTCCAATGGAGTGTAGATAGTGAAGGATGAGCAAGGGACAAATACAGTTAATTACCATAACGAAAAACACTGAGAGCTTTACAACTGACATGGTGTGTGTGTGTTTATTTTCAGGGGATGAGGTGTCGGCACATTATGATCCAATGATTGCCAAGCTTGTGGTGTGGGGAGAGGACCGATCAGCTGCCTTAAAGAAACTGCGATACTGCTTACGACAATATAATGTAAGACACACACACACACACACACACACACACACACACACACACACACACACACACACGATGCTTTTCATGTCATGCAAATGAATTTGTTAGATAAATGTATTTATACTAAACTCTAAGTCCCTACGTGTAGTATTTCATTTAAATGATGCAATTTAAAAAGATATTTATATCTCTGTTTTTATTTTCTCTGCATCCTTCCTCTTGTCTGCATCCGTCCTCAGATCGTGGGACTGAACACTAACATAGACTTTTTGCTGAGTCTTTCCGGCCACCCAGAATTCGAGGCTGGAAATGTGACCACAAGCTTCATCCCCCAGCACTACGCTGACCTCTTCCCTACTCCGAGAGCTCCCTCTGGGGCTACGATCTGCCAGGCGGCCCTGGGTCTGGTGCTGCAGGAGAAGAAAGACACACAGGAGTTCACACAAGCCTCTACCGGTGAGGGGGATAATATCTTCCATGTCAGGAAAAATGATTTACAGCTTTTTGAACTGAAAAAAAATCATACTATACTAAATGTACATGGTGTGTGTGTGATTTTCAGACCCCTTCTCCCCATTTGGCTCTAGCAGTGGCTGGAGGAACAACATTCAGTTTAACAGAAATATGACACTACAGCTGGGAGACAAAAGTAAGTACCAGTGATACTGTCTGCCTTTACTGACCCCGAGTGTACAGGAAGAGAGGGTAGGTAGAGAACAGATGGGGAGGAAGGAAAGATAAAAAAAAAAAAAAATGTGGAGAATCAGAAACTTGATCAACAGGATCAGAAGTGGTGTAACGGCTGAGAAGCATTTTTTTTTTTTTTTTTTTTTTTTTTTTTTTTTTAATTCTCAGTGGTTAAACTTGAGTTTGATTTCTACTTTTTAATTCAGATCACAGTTCAGGAAGGGCTGCAACAAATACATTTTTATGATTAATTTTGTTTTAGTTAATAAATGTCAGAAAATAGTGAAAATGACCATTGTAGGTTTTTAGAGCCTAATTTGACAACTTCAGATGTCTTCTTTTGCCCCACATTAAGTCCAAAACACAAAGATTTTCAGTTTACAGTGACAACAAGAAAGACAAGCAGCAAATCCTTACATTTCAAACATTGGAACAGGAAAATATTTGACATTGTTACATAATAAATGATTGAAATTGTTAACAAATTATTAAAATTGTTGTTGATAAGTCTTGGTGTACGACTCAATTCACAGACTTATCATTTCAGCACTAATATAAGTGACAAGTTAGACAGGTGACCATAAATATGACTACTTGTGGCTAACAGGATGTTGAAGTTCAGGTTTTTCAATCTCATGTGCATGAGAAGCAGTGTGTTATACTGCAATGAATAACTTCCCTTAAACTTCAGTACAATGCACAATAGATGCACAATAAAAAAACAAGAGCCATGTATAAACATATCAACATGTATGCATGCACACACCCCTTTTATCTTAACATACATATGTACACACATGCACAAACATAGTCAGTGTATGCATGCATGCAGACATGCGCTCACCAGCGTACATACAGTTAAGTATGGGGCAGAAAATATACAATAAAGATCTGTAATGCACACACAGGTGGACATGGATTTCTTGGATTATTTTCATGTCTCAAACATTTTCATGATTTGAATATTTTAGAAGAGGAATGGGTAATGACAAGGATGACAGTTAATTTGTGTTAAATTAGTTGAAGAACTGATATATTGTGTTAGTTTTAATAAGCAGATTAGTACAGTTGGGGCCGGCTCATAACTGTGGATCTGTTTGAATAATTAAGTTTGAAGTTGGTCTGGTCTGCGACAGTTTGTTAATGAACTCATTCATTATTCAATGTTTCTATTAAAAATGTCACTGCGAGGCCAAAAATAAGTGCGGTGGCTGCTGCGGTGTCAGTGTGATGATGATGATGACGATGGTGTTCAACTGGAGACTTGGTGTTTCTACTTTACTGTCTGTGAATCCAAAACCTTTCTTGCAAACATTTCTTGTCCGTGTCTGTAGAAGTCGATGTGGTCATCAAGTACAACAAAGATGGAAGCTACAGCATGCAGGTGACTTTTCTTTTTCGACTGCATCATTAATAAGCTAATATGCCACAAAAGTTTTTTTTTTTTTTTTTTTTTTTTTTTTTTATGATAGTTTTTTTAATCTGAAGCACAAATTTCTTTTAAAAATGAGGAGATTAGTTTTTTATTTTGAAATAATTATTTTTTAAATCTGTGTACATTTATTTTATTTACATTTTTTTTATTTTTTACATTCAAATTAAACGTCTGTAAATTCTAATTAAAACAATACAATGAATAATACGAAAAGAGAAATGTACACAACAGTATTGATTATACACCGATTACATAACGTTCAAGCCGTATATGGAGAGATGAGGTAATAGTGTCAGGAGGTTACCCTGTGCTTCCTCTCTCAGGTTGGCGAGGAGGTGTACCATGTGACTGGAGAGGTAGAGGTTGAGGGTGGTGCTTTGTTCCTGCACTGTTCTGTCAACGGAGTGAAGTCCCGCCCCAAACTGGTGATCCTGGACAACACGGTCCACCTGTTTTCCACGGTATGTTGCTCACACTGCCACTGACACCAGAAACACAAGCTGAGTGAATATAGCATTTTACACATTGCTTAAGTCGGTGAAGCAGATATCATCATCTGTCATCTTGGTTGCACAGGGATTTATGTTTATTTACAATGTCAAGAAATAGAAATGTATGATTTGTTAATAATATAAATTTGGTAATTGTACTTTTTTCAACTTGAATGAAGAAGCAGTATTTCTTATAGGTCTGAAACTGATGTGTTTGGTCCATAAAATGCAGAAAATAGTGTAAATAAGGACATCTCAGTATCCTGGAAACATCCTCAAATTGCTTGTTTGGCTTGACAAGCAGTCCAAAACCCAAACATGTGCAATTTAGTATCACAAAACAGCAAATGTACACATTTCTATAGCTGGAACCACAGAATATTTAAGACTTTAGCTTGAAAAATGGATTGAATGTTTCTTAAACCTAAAATTTGTAAGCTTTAACTGGATGGGCTTATGCAAGTGCGTACATAAATCGACGTTAACCACTGTCTTTGTGAACCTCAGCAGTTTTAAATCTGTACAAAAAGTGTATTTGTTTTTTATCCACCTGTCAGGTGATTTATTACAGGTTTATTTTTCCAAATGAGGATGTGAATATGTGAAGGCTGGAAATGAATGCTTTCCCCATTCGATTTAAAGAGAAGTACACTTCACCTGTCACTGCACTGTCATCTTTCACGCCTAATGACCGAGGACAAGCGTTTGACATCTGACATGAGGGGACATTAAAGCTTGTTCAAATCCTCCTCCCTCAGCCGTCAGTGAACCGTCACCTCTGTCTCTGACATCTTTACATCTTTGCTGCAGGAGGGAAGCTCCCAGGTGTCTGTTCCAGTGCCCAAGTATCTGGCTGGTGTGAGCGGCTCCGGGGCCCAGGGTGGAGCTGTGGCCCCCATGACTGGAACTATAGAGAAGGTGAGTTTGGTTGTATCAGCCCACGAACTGAAAAAGCAGCAGTGAATTGAATTTTTGTCATGCCAAAGGAATCAGTTTATTTTTTATTTAGGCCAATCTAGTGGAGGCACCTAAGCCATCGTAATTAATAATGAATTGTAAATAAAATAAATATATCTTTGTATAAGTCTTTATAAGTTTTTCATATAACTCAAATTCAAGGTACATGTACATATCACTATCTTCAAAGAAAACCATCTTGCATAAAAAACAAGTTTACAAAAAATTCTCTAAAGCAGTTAAAATAAAAAATAGACGTCAACGTTTTTTTTTTTTTTTTTTTTTTTTTGCAGGAATTTAAAATGTTCTGACATAGTGAGATATTTAGTCTTTTATAGTTTTGTTGGAGGGAAAAATAAAAGGCCTTGGACAGACAGTGTGGAGAATGAAGGTCTCCAAATTCTCGACCTGTCCTGAAATATAAAAATAATGGACGAGGTATAGGAGAAAAACTTGTTGTTTTGTTCTTCAAGTCCATTATTTTCTGGATCAGGCGCTCTCAAAAGACATTATGATTCTTTCACTACATAGAAAAACCCACTTTCATCTCATGGTCTTCCTCAGTGGACAGTGCAACTACAAGAAGAATTTAAAGAAACAGTTTAACATGCTGGTTGTAGGCTCATGTGCTTTTTTTTTTATGTGAGTTGGACAATAAAAGTGATAGCACTCTAATGTCTGTATAAAGACCGGAAACGAGGGAACAGCTAGCCTTGCTCTCTGGCTAATTAATTAATTAATTAACATGTTGCATTGTATTAATTAGCTTTAGAGTTGCTAGGCTCTCTGCTGCCCTCCTGCTTCCTCACTCCGGCTTCAGTCTAAACGCAGCTGCCCGGCTTTTAAATACAAATAACAAGAAGTCACACATCACACCAATTTCATCCTCCCTCCCCTGGCTCCCAATCAAATTACATATCCATTTTATAATACCGGTGCTCACTTTTAGAGCCCTGCATGGTCAAACACCCCAATATATTGCTGACCTCCTTCCTCCCTTATAAGGTCAGTCGGGCTCTTAGGTCTACTGAACAAAAATGATTGGCTGTCCCTCCAACCTGCTACAAGACCAGAGGTGACCGTGCTTTTCAAGCTGTGGCAACCAAACTATAGAATACTCTCCCCCTTTCCTTCCAATCCATAAACCCCTGTGACATCTTCATGAAGCAGCTGAAAACATTTTTATTCAGACATGCTTTCGGTCAGTCTGTCTGAATACCTTTATTGCTTTTTATTTATTCTATCGCTCTTTATCGTCCTATCTCTCTGTCTTGAACTTTTGTTCTTTTTTATGTAAAGCACTTTGTGATTCTTTTAATGTGAAAGGTGCTATATAAATAAACTTTACTTACTTCATATTTAGTGTACAGCCACACGAGTGGTATGCATCTTCTCATCTAACTCTTGGCAAGAAAGCAACACACATGTACTTACCGAAAAAGTTTTTTTTTTTGTTGTTGTTGTTTGTTGTTTGTTTCCGAGGTCAAGAATTAGATTTAATGCTCAATATTAAACCGCAGGTAACTGTAACAACAATACTTTTACTTCATCATTGCTTCTTAACAAACAAACCTAATGATGATTTTAACATCTTTTTGTTATTTATTTTATTTGGGAAGTGGCATTATAATACACTCCTGCTGATACGGACAGTAATTGACTCTGTGAACATGCTATCTTAGGCCTCCACCTTGTCTGTTACTTTTATTTATAAGGACACCTCTGAGTATATTAGTGTTTATCTAAAACATACTGGCAGCTGGTGTAGTGAGGCTGAAGCACAAGTGATTTAGAGCAGACAGACTGCCATGTTCTGAACGAGCCGAAGACAATTCAAAGTCGACTGATCTAAAACTTTTAACAGAGAATTACAGTAATGTAAAGTAATAATGGCTCTTTGGGGTTTTTTTTTGTAAATATCATTCACAACAGTGTAAGAAAAAAAAAAAAACAAGAACAAATCAAAACAGAACATCTCGGCTCACAGACTCATTCACTCAAAAAGGCGAGACTCAGGATTTACATAAAAGTAAAAATAACAAATAGCTCAAAGACAGGTGTTGCTTAGGTCCCTCTAAAATAGCAGAGATGTCTAGACCAATATATGACATAAAAGGCTCCCATTTTCTGCAAAATACATTGTTTTAGCAATGTAACATGCATGTCAAATAATCCAAAAATGCATATTCAAGTATGATTTTATGCCAATATGTTTTGGATGGAACTTCAGAAGAACGCATTTTCTTGCACAGAAGCATTTTGCAGATTTTCATTTTATACTTATCAGTAATAGATGCATTTGATATCCAAAGTAAAATGCATAGTGGGTCACACTCTGTAGTAATAGATAGGATTTTATAATTTCACTCCCTATAATCTGCCAAAATTGCTGAATTTTCCTGCGAACCACAGGCAATGGGTGTTTTTGACATGAACACAGACTGAATATCCTCTGTGCAAACAAATAAACAGTCCGGTGTGTTGTGTTTAGGTGCTGGTGAAGGCCGGCGATAAAGTGACTGCAGGAGACCCGCTGATGGTCATGATCGCCATGAAGATGGAGGTGAGCGACTCCTGCTGGCTCTGCCTTACACACACGTTCTCACCTTTTTTAACCAGTTCAAATCACAGGTTACGCACACACTCTGCTGAGTCTCTATTAAAGTTGATCTGTTGTTCATTTTCTCCTCTGCAGCACACGATCCGTGCGCCCAAGTCAGGTGTGATCAAGAAGGTTTTCTTCAGCGAGGGCTCGCAGGCCAATCGGCACGCTCCTCTGGTAGAGCTGCAGGAGGAGGGGGAGGATAACGGGGACGGCGGCAGCCAGTAAATGCATCCGAACACACATATTAGCAACCGCAAATACACAGGGACAGGTAGGAGAGAGGCGGATCTAGTTACTGTGACAACCGGAGCATCCAGCATTAGATAAATGTTTCTTAAAGTGCAAGTCAGGACCTGAATCATCTGTTTGGGAGCGAGCCTGGTTCAGTCTGGAATAGATGATACGAATACTAAAAACAAAAACAGCTAGTGACATTAAATGTTCCCTGGTTGAACTTGAGTCAGTGGGTAAACACCACAAAGATCTGTACTGTACAGTTGCCTTTCACACAACAGAGTGTTGCCTTCATGTTGACTGTATTGTCTGTTTCTGCTTTTCTTTCTTGTGTTTATATTTTTTTCTGTTATAAGTGGCTTAGGCTTCTCTTCCTCTTCTTCTTTTTTTTTTCTCCAAGTCTCTCCACTAATGTGTTGGTTTCTGTCAGTGGTGTCGTGTTTCTTGAGTATTTTGGGGGAGTCCTGTCCTTTTGTTCACTTCAGCTAAATGCACTTGGATGACGTAGATTGCTGAGTCTCCTTTCTATGCACACTGTGTGCACTTCTTTACATGGACACAGAGACAAAATGTTCAAAAATGTTGAAGCAGATTAGAGGCAGAAGATATCAAGTAAGTGAGAAATTTGCCAAAAAAACAAACTGGCAGCAAATAAACTCAAGTGTATTAAGAAGTTACTGATAACTGTGGGAAAATATGTCTCATTTATGTGACTTTAAAATATTCATCCTCATCCCCACATATTGTATTAAGACTGGTTTGTTTATTGCCCTGCCTTTGTTGTCACTGCTCAGTGAAAACCATGATTTTCACTACATTTCCTACATTTACAGAAAAGTTGAAGGGTTCCACTCTGTCTTACAAGGTGAGAAAACTCTCCTACCACTTGTATATATTGTAAAGCTCTGCCTATATTTAAACATACATTGTTACTAAGGTTCAGACTGAGACATGTCAAAGCTATGTGGTTTTCAGTGAGCAGTGATAATGAAAGAAAAGAACACTTAATATATTTTTATTGTGGGGGAAATATTTTGTATCAGGGGTTTGCCATTTGAAATCCAGGCTGACTCATAAACTCACAGCCCCTTTTTTTTTTTAAAAGATGTTGAGAGTAAAACGTAGCACTTAGGAGAAAGGCCTTTATAAATCTAGAGGCAGAAAAACACTCCGAAATGAACTCATCCCAAGTTGTTCTGATACACATATGAAGTCACATTTGCAGTATTCTGTGACCAGATTTGGCTCTGGCTTCAAAAAAACCCTTAAAGGATGAAATGTCGGTCAGAGGAAGCTTTAAACAGACAGATGGTTTGCTTGTGTGTAAATCCTCCATCAGTCCAAGTGATTTACCAAACGGACAACATGCGAACTTGGCCTGTTTCTGCTGATCACTCTGTTCTTACTAACTGTGTGCTATGAGGCCTTGTAGGCTAAAACACGTGTTTATTTCCTGGATAATTTTGTAGATATGACAGCTGATTTTTAAAAAAAAAAAAAAAAAAAAAAAAAGATGATGATAATGGACTGGTCAGATAGTGTAATAAAATTTTGTCAAAGTACACACAGCCTCATGTCATTTTTATTCATATTCATTTTGGCTGGTGATACATCTTGTCAGGTCTGTGTGGGTGTGTTCAGACTGAGATTGATTGATGTCTCCTTCCAGCCTCAACATGGAGGAGGTCTAATCTAATCAGAGTAACTGCAAACAGCTGTGTGGCTGTGCAGAGCCTTCACCGTGTGTCACATGTTGTGAAAATGCCTGATACACAAATCAAAGGAGTAAATGGCAGTGAAACAGGGAAAACTGTTACTAAGTGATGCTGTGTGTGCGTGCGTGAATTGAAGATTGAAGATTTAAACGGTCTCCACGGCTCAGCAGGTAAGCCTTTATTAGAGCAGTGAGGTGTTGCACCAAACTGGTTGTCATGCGAATCTGTAGCAAAAGATCAGACAAATGTCTTTGATCTTGTGCCTTTAGTCATTATTTAGATGTGTTTAATGTTCTCAGTTCATCTGTTTATTTTCAAATCAATTTTTCAGTGGATAAAATTTTCCATCACAGCTTCCTACTGTCAGATGTAACTAATCCAAGACAGAAAGAAATATGAGTAAATACAAACAAAACAAACTAATTATTAAACTGTTGAAATAATGTAGTGCATATTAAAAAGTCAGTCAGAACATTATTTTGAAATGTAATTTAACCATGCTGTTTTTCAAAACAAGTCAATTGCATGTCAGTTTTATTAATGAATTAATTCAATTTTTTTTTTATCACAGTCCAGACAAACTGACTTCCTGCTTCTCCATACCAAAGCAACAATATTGGATTATTCCAGTTTCATGCTTACATATTTGTTTTCATGTGATTCTCCATGACGCAACAGACTTCTTTGAATTTCTTGTTTTCAGTCCACAACCCAAAGGTATTTAATTTAATTATACAAAACAGAGAAAAGCTGCAAAAATCCTCCCGACTGAGAAGCCAGGACCAGCTGCACCTTTTACTTGATAAATGACCTCAAGGATTCATCAATAATTAAAAGTCTTAATTTATTTGTTTATCAATTGACTAATTGTTTCAGCACTAATGAAATGATTTTAAGAGTCAAAATAGTTTAATAATTTAAAACCTGCCAGCCTGTGAGTCAGCACATAAACTTTTTAACTGAACTTTAATTGAACATGTAAGACAAAGTTAATTGGATTACTTGATGCTCTCTCACTGATATTCAGTCTTAATTGTTTTCTCTCCCTCATTAACTACATGGAGATTTCTCTGGAGCAGTTTTTCTGTTGCTTTGTTTGGTTTGGGTGAGTTAACATCTACACCTCTCATATCAGAGCTTTTCAATGAATGAAGTCACACTCCAAAGACTCTTTCTTAAAAATGTGTTTATTTTGTAAATAGAATCGCATCTTCATAAACGCGAGCTATAAGACAGATTTACAGACAGGAGGAAGAGGACGGACAGACAGACAGACAGACAGACACAGCAACAGGTATCAGTCAACAGAAGAGTGATGATGGTGGTTTATTAATCGTCTGGTGAGGCGTGATTTACTGATGGGGAGTTTGGGGGGGGTGGATGTTCTAGACAAACCGCCCAGCACTGATGATCTGCAGCCTTGAGTCTTTTACTGGGTGATGCTGAGTCACAGGGCGTTCTGCTGCGGAAAACCGATCGGTTGACATTTTAATTTAGATTCCTGTTTTTAGCTGATTCGATCAAGGGAACCTTAATTTGATTCAAGTCTGCAAACAGTGGCTGAGTTTTCCAAGAGCTTCTGTGCACTGACGTCATCTGCCACCGTTTAAATGTGTCTCGTGTCAAAAGCACCTCTTCTTCACTGTCTGCTGACTGAACTGAGGATTTAGTTTGACCCTCGCACAAGCACAATTTCTGTCAACTTAATAGTTCAACATCAAGTAAATATCTCAGACGTATAAAGACTTAACAAAAGTCTTGATTTCAATTTTTATGTTTCTCAAGCAGAGGCCAACGATTACGTCACTGCTGATGCTGGTCTTATTCAATATATGGCCAATATTTCCAGAAGCAGGAAGACTCAAAACCACGCCTGCAGACAGAACTAAACAGCTTTCCATGTCTTAAATACTACATCCAATTAAACTGGGGTGGTGCTCCTGATGGATGATCATCATCTTGGTGTGATAAAATATTAAATTATAATTTTTTCAATTATGTGGCTGAGTAATCTCCTGCTTCTAGAAATACCCCAGAGGCCTCGTACCCAAACCTCACTGCTGCTGCTGCTTGTACTGGAGCTCAGGTGACGTCAGTGCTTCAGAGAATCAGGTCTGGGATGTTTTCAATGTCACATCTGATCTTAAGAAAATATACAGCATCTCTTTTCTGCATAAACACCAGTAGAAAATATCACATTAGTGCCATCTGGGCCACAATTACATTTGATATGCTAAAAGAAAAAATCTGTGCCAGGATATACAGTCTGGATAAAAACACAGGTGACTATAGAAACCCAAAGTGTTCAAAACACTAAATATTTAAATATTTATCCAAGAAATGAAGTTTATTTTTAAATCACAGCTCATTGTGATTAACTGTTACTTCATCCAGCTTCTTTCCCCAATAACAGGTTTTTAAAACTGTCAGTTTTTTCAAAGTTTATTCATCTTTTCCCAGAAATTACTTTTTAGTATTTTTTTAATTTACTTTTTTTTTTTTCTTTAAATCTAATAACTCTGTCAATCAAGATAAACAGGGTGTGACTAGTTATGTAATTATGTTGCTTACAATAGTTAAAAACAGTTAGTGAATGTTTTCATGTACATTTTTGGCATCATTGATATAGTCTTGTAGATTTTATTTTGAACTCACGTTTTGTTTAAATCATGTCACACTTACTGTATATCTCTAATGATATTTGCCCATGAAACATAATGAATTACTTTTGTCATAATGTCTTATTTAATTTTGAACACTTTGGGCTTCCGCAGGTGAGCACAAGGGGGCATCAGAGGTGACTGACACTGCAGGTGTTTCTGCACAGCTCAGCCTTATCTGCCTTTGGCCAGGAAGGACTCATCTCCTCTCCTCTGCCATCTGCTCTGACATCATGTAGACAGTCACAGTGCTGCAGTGTCACGGCACTGACGCCCTGAAATGCACCTACACAGTGGTGTTGGGTCCAGAGGTGAGTTGTCCCATTTTGATTTCTATTCCCTGGCTGGATATGGCAGTTTTGTTTTTGTTTTTTTTGTCTGACTGTGGCACCATGAGGGCTGGGAGATAATTCAATATGATCATTTACTGACCTTTAACTCAATAATACCATGGTGTTATGATCAAAATGATCATTTTAAAAAAATAGAGTATTTACGAGCTATGTGTAGGTAAAATACTAATATTAAATTGTTTAAATTGGTTTGATTTGATATTTTGAAAACATTGTGTATTAACCTCAGCTGCATCTCCCAGCCCTGCTCACCATTACATGTGGTATGTGCATCAAAGCAGCACCAACAATTTTACACATTAAAAGATAAGTTCATAATTTTAATTTTTCAAGTCTGTCTTAGTAACAATATTCAGGTCACTGTATCTGCAGTGAAACAGTATCTGCTTGCTGTAATCATTCCTCCTCTTCATACAGTAAGAGATCTCTTACTAACATGTTTCCAGTGGAAATGAAGGGGGATAAAATCCTCCATAGTCTGTGCAAAGACGTACTGTACCTTACTATTCTCCTACTGAAGCTCAAGCAGGAAAGCACTGAGAGAATTTAACACTAAAAATACTAACTTTGGAAGACACCCACTTGATTCGTCTAACTCAAGCAGCTGCAGCACTTTTTGCACAGAGTGTGGACTGTGGATTTTGTCCCTCATCTCTTACAATGAAGTCACACTGAGAAGGGATCGCTTGGACAGGGGAACAATTACAGCTTTAAATAATTCCTTCAAAATACATGTGTGTGTCATGTGGATGTTGTTTTGATATAGAATTGAAAACATGTGAACCTATCCTTTTAACAGAAAACCTGTGGTATGAACTAGGGGTGTGGAGCTGGAAAGACATCAGCATTTACCAGGTATAGAGGGTTAAAGCAAAGATGCTGCCGAGTTTCATTATGAGAATTTAAAGATCCAGCGTTTTTGACCCGTATTAGGGACCTTAAGATATTTTGAACTCTGCTGCATCAAATCTGACCATTCTCTTTTTAATGTATTAAAGGGGCATTCTGGATAGAGTATTGCACTTCCATGAAGTTAGATTTGTTAAAGACGGATTGAAACAAGAACTGTCAAAATTAATGCAGCAAAGGTTGAGATAATGAGACTTAGGTTCCCGCTGGTACTGGCTACATTTCTCACAATGCAACTGTAGCATCTTTCATTAGACCCTCCCTACCTGTTAAATGCCCTCATCTTCTCATCTTTCGAACTCCATGCTTCTAGTTTATAATAACAAACCTTTTTCTTGTCAAATCAAGATTACATCAGACTTTACAAAGCTCTGTTCAGAGGACAACAGTTTCACAGTCTGGGTCGTACAAAGTTGAAAAATAAAATGACCTTTTGTGTAAAATCCGTGGAGTGCCCCTTTTTTAAACAGCATTAACATATACTTCCTAATCCAGGTACAGATAACAGATACCATAGGTGCATCCTAGAAGATATTTTAATATCAAATGTGAGGTTAAATGGTTTTTAAAAAATTTCCTGCGTAAATGTGGCCTAAGGTGCTTATTGGAAATAGGATTTAGAGCAACAGTGTGATGATCAGTATGTGTTGGATGGAGTGATTGACCTTTTAAGTGTTAAATTGTGTTTAAATGTCCTGTAACATACTAACATTCTGCAGCTGCACCACACACATACAGATGTTCAGCCTCCTGATTACAGGTCTAGGATCAAGTGAAACACCTTTGGAAGTCGCTGCATTCTGGTCATTTACAGGACCAACACACATATTGATATGTAGGAAAGGTTTAACACAAACACAAGGAAAACAAATTACTGCAATAATAAATAGACACTTTCATTGTCAGTTACGCCTGTGTGAACAGATGATATAACATGCCCAGGTATGCATCAAACAATGTGTACCATATAGAAAATAAACACCACGGATATTCAATGAATTGACGAGAATATGACTCACGTATTCAAACCGTAACCACAGCGCAACAGAGACATCCTATGACTCTGTGTGTCCCTGTGTGAGCTGAGACATGTACTGGTCACTGTTGTGTGGTTCTTGATGTCAAGTTTAAAACGGTTGTCTTGTCATTAGACTTCTATCAGCTCTCACTCCACTTCTGGATTCAAACAAATAAGAACTGACCCAATTTTCCTAATTTGACCTGTTTTCACTTTTTTTTTTCTTTTGAAGAGAGCACACAAAGAGAAACATTTGACCTTTAACCTGGTGGCAGCATGTGGTCACTGACATCATACAAGAGCTTACAACAAAGCTAAGTACCGTACCTCCTTCAAACAACATGGCTGCCATACAGAGGAACACACCAACACACACACTTCATCAACAGGTGGATAGAAACACAAATGGCAATAACAACGTAACAGCAAAAACATGATTCAGATGATTTCGATGGTGACAGACGAGCAATGATTCAAGAAACGGCCAAGAAACAAAAAAAAAAAAAAAAAACAAGAAAAAAAAGTGATTTTTGATATGTGACTTGTGCAAACGCTCTGCTTTTCTTTTTACCTCTGTTGAAGCTGAATCATATTTATCTGATAAATCTATCTCTGTGAAGATAGAGACATTCTGCTGTCAGGGTCAACATGCATTAGCCATGATTTGGAAAAGCATCTCAGCATTAAAGTCATGTTTGTCTTCCTGAAATCAAAGTTGTACCATTATCTGATCAAATACCTCAAATTCTTACCGATTCTTAATTAGGTCGATTTTTGCAGCTTTGGATTCTTTCGTTACCTCAAAATCTTCCCTGACATCATGGTCTTTGATGCTGAGATGCCTTTGCTAACCAGGCTGAATGAGAGAAGGCATTCAAGGGGAACATGTACAAAGTAACAACAGGCTCAAACAGCTTCCGTCTGCAGTACCTTCAATAATCTACCAATAATATAACCTCTTGAAAAATGTATGGCTTTTTAAGCAGACCCATCTGGCCTCCTTTAGAGCGACGCACCAGGAAGACAGGGGCCTGAAGAGTCACAACGAGAAAGCAGCACGAACAATAATAAGTCTTCTTAACAACAATATAAGCTTCTGTACAATCAGGCACAAAAATAAACACTTTTTCTGTTAAACTCCGGTCTGCATCCTTTGGTCTTTGGTACCACAGTAGAGATGAAGCTCCGTGTTCAGTATTGAGGGATTAGCATACGTATGAAGGAGACAAGATGGCAGAACTGCTGGATCAACAAGGGCTCTGGATGCTACAGGATTAAGGGTGGTGACACTTTTTCCTCTTTTCAATCTGAATGACAAAATGAATGTGAATTCCTAATGTAGTCTGACTCTGCTGAGCTTTTGTCCGGGTGCTACATGGATGATCCTGGTTCGTGGTGTCGTAGTCAGCCCGACCAAACCAGCTGGGTTAAGTTGAAGTCCTCAGGCTGCAATGCTTTCAAGCAGGGGTGAAGCCTGACATTAGCTAACGTTTGTAGCAACAAGTCCGGACGATCAGGAATCTCCATTCTGTGTCTCTGAATATGTAAGACTTAAAAGGTGGTTTTAATGCCAGTTGCAAGAAAAAAAAAATTTGGCAACTGTATTGAAAATGAAAAATAAATAGTTGCATGTTCATGAAACTGGTCTGATCTCCAAGGCAGCACCTGTGAGCTGATTAATTAAATGTAAGACTCGAAATGTTTTCTTAACTGTTTTTAAAGGTAGTGGATTTAAATATGTCGCCCCGTTGGAAGCAGGAATCTGATAATTGTTGCTGCTGACTTAGGTCCACAGATGTCCGCTTCATGCCATGCTGACTCGCTCCACACTTCATGTTTCATTTCCTTGCATCTTGCACCTTTCTGTCAAGAGTTGATTCACACTGGGGCGCAAACTGGTGGAGGATAAAGCAGCCTGCTGCAATGAGCCGAGTCCTTTGGTTTCAAAGCTCCCGTTTTGAGTCCGCTTTGCATCCAGCTGCATCGAGTTTAAACTCAAGTAGGTTTATAAAATGGTGGCAGGAGTGTGGGGGTGTGATTATGACTCATAGCGGAGTGGTAGCCCCCTCCCCCCCTCCCCAGCTCCCCAGCTCCCCAGCTCTGTGTGTTACAGTCAGTGGCCCCCGGGAGTCAGCAGTGGGTGGCCTCGATGGGTGACAGCGTCAGGATGCTGCGATCGTTGGAGTAGAAGTTGTCCACGTCACTCCAAGACCTGAAAACAGGCAGCAGTGACCGAGGGTTAGGAGACTGACGCAGTGAGCATGTGAGTGTGTGTGTGTGTGTGTGTGAAGGCTCGGCTGTCACTAGCTAACGCACTGTTGTCCAAAGGTTTGAGATAACAATCTACACAACCAGGCTGGAAGAAGCAGAGAAGAGTGAGGGACAGAAGAGTGAGAGTTAGTAATGGGTGTGATGGTGTTAGTGATGAATATCAAGTCTCTCCTCATTGCATCACACCAATCCAGGTCTATCAGGGCAGAGAATAAAATCTTAAGACTGGAAACTTATTTTTTCAATTTCGGTCTTTCCTGTCATTGCTTTGAAAAAGACAGAGCTCGGTGGGAAAAAACAGTGATGTCACATATTTACATGCACCAGTTTGGTCCTATTTGAATTAAAATGTAATGGTAGTTGTGGGCTTGAATACACTCTTATAGTCCTGAGTTTTTGAGTGCTATAATACTATAGAAAAGAAAATTATCTTTTTTTTTGCTTCCTGGAGGTGAATTAGAGGCAAATTTAACATCTAAAACACCTACAGATGACAGTGGATATCTGACATCTGTGTTTAATAAATCAGGTACTGGATATTGATCAACCAATCTGGTTCTGTATTAAATTAAAAGAACAAAGAAAGTATGTCAGTGCACTATAAAAAATAAGGCCACTAATTATTGCGTGTAAAATGTATGATCTTGAATTTTGCAGTTTTAGGACCTGTTGATACCCCTGATCCAGATCAAACAAAAACCAGGCTGGGTTTCTGGTTTGTTCTTAGAGATGGGAGGAGATGAGGGGAGACTTGAGCTATTCAACCCATGAATAGAAGTCAACACAATCACCATAAAGAGAAATAAATGAAAGATAAACAAGCATCAACAACATTCTTGCCTCATATCCACTCTCAAGATAACCAGGATTAGACTTTCTGCAGGTAAAATATCAATCCTGAAGTTCAGCTATTTAAATATCTTCACAAGAAAAATAGGTATCATACTCTATCAGCTCATTCCACAACACTAAATATATCTATATAGTATAAAATCTATGATATACTTTATATTTCTATTTAAACACAACAGAGGCCTTGTAAAAAAAAAAACACACTGTTAGCTTAGCAAGCTGGATCTCCTTTGGAAATGTCTGACAAAGACACATCTAGTTCACAATCTCAACCTTTCGTAAAACGCTCAAAACATTTTCAAGCTAGGTGGCTAGAGCATAATAAATACAACATGGCTTCATCATGAAAGTCACAGCTTGCCACTGTTAAAGGTCACAATAACCAACTCTCCACGGCACTGACTCACATCAAAGTTTGAACCAGAGTCAATGATCAGAGCTTCTCCCTCAAAGCACCAGCAGGGAGGAGCAGAGAGACTGTAGTTCAACATCCGCTGAGTTCAAACAGCACTTCCATTCTGGCTGCTACCCCTGATCTTCACAAGACTGCACGAGTAAAGCCTGATGTACATGCAGCTTCAACACAATCAGCTGTTTCTGGCTGAAAATATGACGAGAACACGAACGTCAGACTTGGAGATTTTCTCATTTCTGCAACTTTCCATCCACATGTGTAGATATTTTTTTTTGATTTTTCTAAATGTCAGTTGCTCTACTCTTAATAATTCTCATGACCTTTACTTTCACACTGCTCTCTGAGATGAAGACAACCGTTTTAAGACCTGGTAAACAGGAAAACCCAGGGACTTTAAACAGGCTGATGACTCAAATGGTGGTTTGACTGGAGGCACTCTCACGTACTACATCACTAGCTCGGCTGTCTACCAGGGCTGAGGTCAAACTGAAACATCTCAGTGCTAAAACCATCTTTGCTCCCCGGGTTACGATAGAACAAAGAGGACGTTAGCACCAAAACACTTTTGGGATAAGCCAGTGGGAACATGAACCTAAGAAGAGAACAAAACAGGCAGATTTCTGACAAGACGGAGCTCACAGGGGACATCAAGAGCACAGGAATAATTAATCTGGAAGGTCGAACAACATTATGCAGATTTCAGACACAGAGGGACAAGGACACAGAAAGACAGAGAGGACAGAAAAAGAGAAAAGTGCAGTAGGAGGAGTGTGGGGGGCACTAATACATACAGGTTTACATTGTGTACAAAATACCAAAGGCAACAGCAGCCCCCATGCAACAAGACAGAGTCTGGGCATTCCTGTAGTGGACGAGGCAGGTGGAGAAGATAAACTCCACCTGCCAGGAGCACCCCAGGTTGTAAAACAAGCATGCCCTAAAAGTTGGCCTCTTCTCAGAAGCACATATAAGGCTTCAGGATCCAGTAGAAAAAGACAAATAGATACAGGAAGTAGGATAAGAAACTCTCTGAGACTACACTTCCCAGCAGCCTCTGTGATTCAGGGTGTGGTCCCCATGCTCTAGGAGAAGAGGAGCAGGAGCAAGGGATGTCAAGCAGGACAGTGGCTGAATCTCCATCCAAGGGTATTTTTATTTTATTTTTTATTTTTTTTTAATTCTAATGTATTAAGTTAGAGAGGATGAACAGCTGTTTGTTGCAACTTTTATTAAAATGTTGAAGGTACAATAAACAGGTTTTGAAGCAGGCCTGAAGAATTAACTTTGTTTATCAAATAATCATGAAGGATGGTCCCGTCCAGCTCACAAGCGGCTTTGTGTGTTTAGATTTTCTATGGGTGTGTGCCTGCTAATTGGTGAATCTACAGACAAGTGAACTTTAACATAAAGTTAAGATTTTTGCTGTCTTTTTTTTTGGAAATGCCAATGCAAACGCCTCCTTAATCTGCATCTTCTTGATCCCAACATTAAAAAGGTCTGTGTAAAATTTCCTTGACATTTGGATGGAGACTCAGCTGCCAGGATGTGACAAGTACACACAGGTATCTATCTTGTTTTTTATGAAAAACATCTTTGACTCCTGACATCCATGTCTGTTCCTGCTTTGTCGCCCCAAGACATCATTCAGCTGTGGCCAGCATTCAATGCCAAGTCATCAGGCCAAGTCAAGCAGCCAGCTACAGTTGGGCTTCCAATAAATATCAGATAAATACATGAAGTATTATATAAGTTGTAAATATGCTTGCTATATGTCCCTTCCAGTCAGTAAGCATATAGGACCAGGTGGTCATATCCCCTTACCCCTATGGCAGTATCCTAGCATTAAGGCCAAATGTGGGCTGAGTCTCACTAATCACTCAATAGCTCTCTGTGGTTTTCTGCTTCATTTCATTAAATCCAGAAGATGAAGACGAGGGAGAGGGGGGATGGACAAAGGTTTGTGGTTAACAGAAGGTGGGCAAGGAGGTGAGGAGGGGTGAGGAGAGGATAGACAAGGAAAGGAGTGTAGGGTTAAAACTTAAACCTGCAGATTTTGCCCAAATCCTATTAGTAGAAAACATTCTTTTATATTTACAGTATAAAGCGCACCTAAGCAAAGCATTTTCCTTATGTTCATTGTTTATGTTTATCCTTCGAGGAGCACTGTTTGGCTGCTCTGTTTGCTCAGCTTGAAGAATTTAATTGGCTGCTTCATGCCAAGGTCAGAAAACAAATCAATCATTCCCACAGGAAGAAGTTCATCTAAGCTGAATCATGCATTTAGTGGTAATTTGACCCTGAAGTGATGGGAACAGTTTCCTTTCTTTCAATGAAATGACCCTGACAACAATTGAAATTGATTATTTTGTGCTGCATATATATAAATATCAAATTGTAGGGCTGAATTTATGCTCTCGACTTCACGAACTAGAGTTTAAATCATCAGATGATACGGCCTAGTAATAAAATTACAGCCAGTCAGAATTTTATGTCTCTAGAATAAGATTACTCATAAGACTGCTGCATCCCTCAGACCTGACTGACTGTGATTACACAGCCGTCTACTCTACCACAGAGAGTTTGCAAGTTGCTGTCCAGTGGGGCTGAAGAGAGTGGGGGAGGAGCAGTGCATCCCTTATTCTACCTGCATGCTGTTATTACCTTTGCAAACACATACACACAAAGTCATGAATGAAAAAACATGCGTGTCCACACCACCTGACTGTGCAACGTCTACTGCAAAAGACTCGCACACAAAGAACCAGAATGCTACATCTTCATTACTGATCTGATCAATACTGAGAGTCCCAAGCTGTTTTGGGGAATATTGATTGCTCAGCAGAAAGGGCTGATCAGGTCAATTAATCAATGACCCCACATTGTCACTGGGATTCAGGTAAAGAGACACAATAACACTGAAACTGCAGACTGAGCAGACCAGGAAACTGTGAACTCAGCTTACTCATCTTTAAAGCTGCACTAGGCAAAATATTTTATGACCAAAAAAATATCTAGTTGTTGATGTTTTATCATACTTTATCACGAAGTTGAGCTACAGCGGAGAGGAAATTTTTATCTGCACTTACTAAGAGCTCACTTTGTGCAGTAAATGGACATCGTGTTTCATTTATTTTTACCTCTCACTGCCATTTAAGAGCTACCGAAATGCAAAATTGCCGAGTGCAGCTTGAAAGCTAAGTTGCAACAACCTCCCACTTATGAAGCACTTCCACATCTCTTCAATCATCGGTTCATACTGGAGATGTGCACCCCCACATTTGGTGTTTGGATCATATATGATTCAACTAGTTAGTCAATGTCTGGTTTCATCTCAAGTGAAGAAGCCCTCCAATGAACAAGAGGAACTACCACAACATACAGAAGTCAACCTAAAGCTAGTAAGTCAACTTAGTAATTGACATATAGACATTGGTGTCATCTGTTAAAGTGCATTACAGATTACACAGTTTTCCTTGAAAACTGGATAATCAGGCTATTGGACACCAACCTTTAAGGTAGTACTGAACAGAAACAGAGGAGCCAGACAGGACAGACAGAACAACAGATCATAGCACAGATGATTAGGACAAAGACACATGGGCTAATAGACAGACCCACCCTAATGTAGGGGCTACGCAGACAAGACAGGATACATACTGCAGTGTAATACTGAGACCTGCTGGGTGCCTGTATATCGCAGCAGATCTCCATTCTACGGGCCTTAGTACCTTTACTGGGACCCAAATTCTTTCTGGCTAGGCTGCCAAACATCCACATCAGCATGCTATGTAGAAAGCATGGTCATCACAATCTATTCAGTCATAGGTCTCTATGGTTTTGGTTACAAGGTGTACTAATATACTGATAGTACACTACTGTGGTTATGAGGTTAAGCGCATCTTTCGGTCGGGTTAATCAAAGCGTCCAGACTCTCCCAACACAGACTTTGACGGAAATAAGAAACTCATAGTGCAGTCCATGATGGCTTGATCCACACATCTTCAGCCTCTAACTCGTCTTTCAGCTGCTTTCCCAAAGTCCTGCTAAGCCACACCCTTAAACCAGTCTCTATCACCGTCTGAAACCCGCTTCCCCCACGGCCTATTATGAATCGGAATAAGAAAGACTTACAGTAGAGTTGTAGCCACATTATGGGCTATAGCAGTCAGGACTGCAGCCCAAATTTTTGAAACCGAGATGCGGGGACGTTTCATCAGGTTTCATAATCATTGTTTGTTGTCGTTGTCGTCCTCCCCACCTGTTGCTGCAGCTGGACGTGTGGCAATGGTTGGCACTGGCCTGGCACTGCCCGGTCATTTGCTCCAGGAAGCGGGCCAGGCGGGAACAGCCGCTCTGCCCATGTTGGTAGCAGCACAGGGACTCCACACAGCTGAGGGTCTGCGCCTGGGGGGCTGATAGAGACTGGAGGAAGGTGAAGAGGGTGGAAGGGCAGAAAAAGAGCAAGAAAGGGTGATGTGAAAAGTTGGGAGAGTGGCATAGTTTGGGAACGTAGAAAGAGGACAGAGAAGAGGACAAATTGACAAAAAGCAAAGTAGAAGTGAGTGGACAAAGAGAAGAAAAAAGAAGAAATTAATACCAAGACAACATAGCTTGACTGTCACACTGACAGGATGATAAGGGCGACTGGAGGATGACATATTGCATGCTGTCACAAGAACAATGGTGTACAGGGAAAATATTTCAAACATGCTACACAAGGGGCTGAAATGTTGCAAATAAATACATAAATCATAAAACCAGTAAACAAAATAAATAACAAAAAAATCTTCCTGTAATGCCAAAGGAAAGTTGGAGTTTTTTTATTTAAGACATCTCAGTGACAGAGAGCTGCTGACAAGAATATACAATTCCCACTGCACTCATATATTGCTATAAACCTTTGGCTTGAGCACTTATTTCTCCGCCATGGGTCAGGACGAACCTGCACAGTATTATAATGTCAGTGCTCTTTCAAAGCAAGATGACCTGTCTCTCTGTTGCAATTCCTCTACACCTCTGACTGCATCTATGATGGATCACTCAGAGTCCATTCCACATCCCATAGCATAAACTAACAGTGATCCAAAGCCAGTCCATCAGATTCATAGGCAGTAATACAAGCCAAGCTCTTTTTCCTTTACTTCCTTGTCCTGAAAATGATACTGTATTAGGTTGTATGTTGTGCTTAATAATCTACTCTTTGCACAAACTGTATAACTCTATGTCATTATAATGAATAAACTTTGTAATATTCTCAAAGGTCTGGGACATCCAGCCTACTGGACTCCCCAGAGTGATCATATGAATATGTATTAAAGAAAAAGTCACTGCTGTCATCATCGATCCAGATCTTTTCATATATGTGAAAACCAATACGAAATATTGTCTGTACTTATGCAAAAGTTAAAAAGAATTATTATTAATTATTATTGCTTCAATAATAAGATCGGTATTGTTAGTCAAAGCTGAATGAAGTCGCTGCCTAGAAACCTGTGGGATCAGGTGGCTCTGTTGATCTGAGTCAGCAGAGAGCGAGAGTGTGAGAGGGAAAGGAGAAAGTGCAGAAAGAGCAGAAAGACAAAGAGGAAAGAGAGAGAGAGTGAGAGTGAGGTTACACTTGTAGTTTGCATCCTGTACCCTGCATTTCTGCAGCATAACAGGACAGCATAATTATAGATTAACCTCAGAGTTAATATAGTGACCCACCTGTTTTTTTTAAGTCCATAAATCAGCCCCAAAATGTTACATACTTTGCAATTCTCCCTATATTTCTGTGCCACTGACAGCAAAGTTTGGACTTGAGTTTTAGAAGGTCCAGACAATGTGCTTTTGTAAGAAATGATTTCTAAACATTCATATTTTATAGTTTGATGATTGATCTAGCCCCTGGTCCTGTTTTGTGACTGAATGTGTGTCCCATGTATCTCACACATGGTTTTGGCTTGTGATGTTGCCGTTTCTCTGCAGCAGAAATTGGAGAAACTGTTGGCATCAAACCAAACTTCTGCTTCTTGGCCAGCAACAGGAAAACACAGACAGGACAAAACTGAATATGGATTATGCTGGCAGTGTCATGTGTCCCTGGATAATAAATGCATGGTGTTGCTCTCCCTCTATCAGAACATATTGTCTTATTCTATTTGGAAAAAAAAAAGGGCAAACAAATTTATCCTTGTTACTGCAACACATGAATCACCTCTTAAACTGTGCCATAACAAAGAGAAAATATGAGGTTGTACAGTGTGATTATTCCACACGCATTCAGTCCAAACCACAGAGAAAAAAAGCAGCAACAACAGACAAGACACAGCTGCAGCCACAGATGGTAATGTATCCTAGACTACTGTTTATTTGTTGGTGAAGTGTCCTTGGTGTTTTTATTTCGGTATGACCACATGGGTGATAAACACTGTTGCTTTTTCATTAACTCTTGAGATGACTGATTTGCCTTGGTCTAACCAACAAACCATTTTATCAACCACTGAAGCAGCAATAAGTCACCACAGAGGCAGTGGTAGGAAGAGTTCAGATAGTCGTGTTAGAATAAAAGTTGTTCATCAGTCGTGTTTATGACAGAGATGAACAAGAGAGAAGTATCGACTTAACCACTGCAGTTTCTGAGGAAGTCTTTGGTGCCATCACTTTGTTCAGTTGTATAGAAGTGTCAACAACATGATGCCCAGAGCAAAACCAGGCCAAACCATGTGATTAACAGTTCTCTAGCAAACCAAGGTTTTCTGAGAAATGATGACATCACCCCCTGGCTGACATACTATGGTAGCTACAGAGTTCAGCTACAATTTGTGTTAATTGTCATTAAATTTTAAAACATGATGTGAGTTCACACAACTAAGAGTGCAGAGTATCCTTGGCAATATCACTTCAGTGACAGCATAACAAAATGTAATACTCTTGGGTTTACAGTATGATATATGGCACTGACAAAGCACACTCTGTACATAGAGAAACTAAAACGCTGAATCTTAACTCATAGAGAAACTTACAAAAGAAGTTACAAATCTTACTTAAAATTATACTTGAAATGCGAAAAGGATTTTATGAGATATCAAATACTTACAAGCTAACAATGCAACATCATTCAGCCATCAATATGGAGTAACATTACTAAATATGGTGGGAATAGATGGCTGAACAAAAACACAGTGAAGACAATGAGATCAGCATGCCAACAGCATTCTCTCTCTCTCTCTCTCTCTCTCTCTCTCTCTCTCTCTCTCTCTCTCTCCCTCTCTCTCTCTCTAAGCTCTGAACCCAGATCTGACCAATAACAGTTAAGGCTGAATTTAGATAGGGAATGGGTGGGGGCGATCATGGTTGCGTAGGAAGGATGGGGTCAATCATTTCTAGGGAGAGAAGGACGAGGTCATTCATGCAAGGGTAGGGGTGAATGGAGCTGATCATGATGGCGTGGGAAACGGTTGTGAAACTCACACAGGAAGTGCGACCGACAGAGAGACATAGACGAGAAGTATTTTTATGTATGAAATAAAAGGTAGGGGTAGTTGTGACATACAGCCATGGGAGAATGACCAAGGTGCAGGTTGTTTTAACCAAGCATAAGGGTTGGTTGACTGCAGCTGTTAGGGGGTGCAAAGGGTTGGTTGGTCCTCAGGCGAGGCCATAATGCCGGGACAGCGACAGTACAAGGGGGACGATGGGAGTGAAGTACATGTATGTTACTACCTAGGGGAGCAGGGGTCTTGGCCGGGGGTAGCAGGGGGAGGATAAGCAGCTAGCAGGTGCCAATTGTCCTCCCCTGGGCTCCGCTGGGCTTTAACAGGGTCATATTCTGGGCCGACTGAACCCTCACCCTCTTCCATCTGAAGGACACAAGATGCTTACAGTGAGCCCTGCTGGCCAGTCAAAGAGCTCAACCATCAGTCAGCCCGGTAGACTGTTGGTAAGTCAGACATCGATGAAGCAACATAGCCAGTAAAGCCAGCCTGTTAATTAACCACCACACTGCAAAAAATATCCACTTTAGTCTCATATTCAACCTTTAAACCTTTGTTGAAACAAGTCAACAATTTGGATTAAGGGATCAGATAATTCCTTGTTCTTACTTGTTTTAGGAATATTCTAAAAGCTATTGCATATGCTAAAACTGATTTTACTTGATTTTCCTTATTTTAAGTTAATTTTCATTTGATAGAGAAGACTTGAAATTGTCTCTACTGGCATTATCTTATATTTTCTTGGTGAAACATGATTTTAAGACTCAACACAAGACTAAACAACCAAAATTAAAGGTGGATATGTTTTTTCAGTGCTGCTTATTTACCAACCAGCAGATTAGTCAGTTAGTAAGGAAGTGGTCAGTTTGTCAATGTCAGTCCAGGCTGCACTGTAGGGAGGCAGTTAATTGAGGAAATTTCTGACCCTAACTCTACAGTGAGCTCCACTCTAATGCCGTTCACAAGTGACCTCACCTACAATCTTCATCGTAGCAACAGAGCTGAAAGCAAGCAGCTGATTCCTGCTTTTTGTAACGAGACACCAATGTGCAGCCGGGTTCTTATTCCCCTGCTGCAGATCTGAACCTCATTTTAATTGGGACTATGACATAATCATAAATCACTGCTTGAGAACAGGGTCTTTTAGAAAATTTGAGTGGTTTGATGAGGTCACTGGGGGAGGGCTGTAATTTCTCACAAAAGCAGACAATTGAACTTTGGCAAGAATGCCGATAAGCTCAGAGATAGCTGTAAAACTGAGCAACAAATGAGCAGAAAGAAGCTGCAGGCATACCAAATGTCTCAAGGGAAAAAGATCCTTCTAGCGCAGATAAGAGCAAATCTATTAGCATCCACACTAATAAACCTGCTGCTGAATCTATCAGAGCTACTGGGTAGGCAAACAACAGGAAAGCCAGAAGAGCCCCTTGGGTTCTTTTGTGATTAACTCCGTCTAATGTAATTATTAAAAAAAAAAGATTGACAGATACTGGAATTCCTGAATAAAGGAGCTGGAGCTGAATAAATTGCATTATACAGCACATTAACATGAACGCAACCTGGTAAGAGAGTCTTGTGTATTTCTACTGATTCAACAAACAAATTACTAGCGCTGGTGATTTAGGATCTCTTTTGCATACTGTGCTTTGTGCCTTCTTTTAACATAAGGCACAGGACCTTTATCATCTACAAGTCTACAGTTTGTTTCTGCTCATAGAATTTGTGGGATGGGACCTGCGTCTGTATCATTAGTAGCTTGAAATATACACTGAGTTTCCAGTTTATTAGGTACACCTTGTTAAAACCAAGTAAAATAACAGCCCTGCAATAAATCCAACCTTCACAAATGTTATAATGTTAAGTTTTTGTTGAAACTGTTTCAGAAACTTTTTGATTCAACTTTACAATCATTTTGAGGCTGGTTTTGATACAATAAGGAGTTTCTATAATTTTCAGTGAAAAACACCAACACATAAACAACAGCCAACATGACCATAAAGTTGCATCAGGTTGAAGGTAAGATATACTAGCTATATTAGACTGCATTGGTTTTTGCTAGGTGTGTAAACTGGCAACTAAGTGTAATATACTATAATAATAATAAACCATTACAAACAATAAACATGGCCTTATTTCTATAAATGGTGGTAACATTTCCCAGCGACTGCTTCAGAACCATACAAACGAGTTTGATATATAGCTGTGAGGATAAAGATATGCATGCAGCAACATTCACTATTAAATTAACCTACATTACAAGAATGCTAACCCTGTGTATTGCACAAGGTTTATTCACATGATCTTGGACAGTTCAATATAATAAGCAAAATTACAAATGTTAAAAACATATAATTTGCTTATATTCACTTGTCAAGACAGAGGCTGTCCAAGACCAAGGATTTGTTTCTGGCTTTTGGTCTTTTCCCTTCAGCATAGAGAGCTCACACTATTGTTTGCATTTCCCTTACGGGTTATTTATAGTGATATCTGCCATAACAGCTCAAGATCTTCAAGTCATCAGTCTAAAATAGCTGTGATAATAACACAGCTGTCTGTCATGCTTCTAACGGGACAGCATCATGCTGCTGTGCAAGGCAGCCCAGACCGGTCCAAGAGTCTGTCATGCAGCTGTAGTGGGTTATCAGTCTTGTTCTGTGGGTCTGCTGAAACCATGCAGGTGGACAGCTCTGAGCTGAGCAGTGTGTTCTCAAGTGGTGAAACCAGTCTGACAGTGTACGTCAAGAGGATGGACCATGCTATAGCTAAAAGAGGTGGTTTGATGGGCTGCACCATGCGACTGATTGATACGTTACTTTAACACTAGCTTGGTATGCCAGTCCGTGGTTGTACGACAAGACCACTGGCTGATGGTCAGGAGGCGGGTCTGACCACGTACTCCGATTTGGGACTAATGCAGATGCAGGACTCAAGACACCAAATAGGGTCCCTGCATGACAACATTGCTATCACAGCATAATGAGTGAGAGGGGAACAGTCAAAATTAAGTCAATGAGGATTCCCAGGCGTTCTGACATTCATTCACTCACTCGTTCATTCATTCGTTTGTTCATGCAATGGGCTGGAGTAATGACAGTACCATGCTGTAGCAGGCAGGAGTGGTGGAGGTATGAGGACACTATGTCAGCCTTTCAATAAATGCAACACATGCAGCAGCTGAAATGCTTTATCTCACATTCTTTGGCATTGTCTCCAACCCCAAAAGGCCCATATATACGTTTAACCCCCAATCACAGAGAATGCTGATTGGCTTGTCCGGGGCATGCAGTCACAGACATGAAACAAAAGGCCGTGATCCAACACTAGCAGCACATATCATGGCAGTAAGTGCACTGCCAGTGTTAGAAACAGGCCTAAGCAGAACTAAATCAAGTCCAGACCTGGGAGAAAGAACATCTTAGTGTTGTATGAATGATCATAAACAGGAGTGCTTATTCCATAAAGCAATATTTCTAGTTTTTAGGCGTTGTCCATGTTATGCTGTAACTAAGACTTCAGCCCTAAATTTTGACAAGCATCTTAACCTCTACATCAATTTTCTATTTTTAAGAATACTATCTGTATACAATCTGACAAAGGCAAGTAAATGTTTGACCAAACACAGTTAGTGTCACATCTGAAATTAGCAGAGGAAGCATATGGGAAAGAATACCAATTAAGCGTTGATGGATATTACATATGGTTGTGTTTGGTTTTAGTACTGTTAATGTGACAATTGTAGAATCTATCATATATCATTGCTGTATGTGTAAACATACAGTGCCAAAAAACAAAAAAAAAACAAAAAAAAAAACACATCACTGCAGAGTAAAAATTAAAACCGAAAGATTTTATAAACTTTAAAGCCTTAGTTTAACATAACGACTTGGATTCCTGTTTCGTGAATAGGTGAAAAATCATACTATATGTTTTCTTACATGTTATAAACACAATTAATTGATTAATTGACAATTGTTAGTTGCAGGTCAAAAATACATATTTTCAAACTAATGGAAGAGAAACTGAATTTAGAGATGGCATCATCAGTGCAGGGCAAAGGACAGGCCAGTATTGATGGCTGACGATTCACAAAAATATACCATTTCCTGCCAAAATCTGATAATATAGACAAATTGCTCTTGAAGAAAGCACTCCTGGGATACTTGTTTCATTTGAATTGATTTTTAGATGAATTTTAAGCCCAGGGCTGAATCAGTCTCATCTCCTCTACCTAATTTTGCCCAGCTGGCTCTTGGCTCTGGACAGAGGCTGCAGAGCGATGAAGTCATCACCTATTGCCACACGGTTGGAATACATCTACACCAGGAGCGTACACAGAGAGGACAGGAGGAAGAACACACACAGACACAAAGAGGTTAGAAATAAAGCTCTCACACACACATGCAATCAAACACACCATTCATACTGAACCCACTCTCAGAATCACACACACACACAGACACACACAGACACACACAGACACACACAGACACACAGAAAGACAAAACTGGACAAAGGTTAGAGCAGAAATAACAAACACCACATAGGAATAGAAAAGACGGCAATTTTTTTTCTGAGAAACAAGAGGAGAGAAGCTAAAACATAAACAGTCTCCAGCTGGACAAATCAGTACAATAACAGTGTGGGTGTGCGGAAAGGTGAGCATGCACACTGTGTGTTTCGTCTATGTGCGCATGTGGCTGTGAATACTGGATCAGAGGGGAGTCATGCGGTGTGTGTGTGTGAACAACTTAACACCATGCTGTTTGTGAAAAGAAGTGAGTTACTCATGACCACAGATGCTGAGAAAATAATGAACTATTTAAACAATGTGGCACACGGGACATTTTCTCTCCCTGTCCAGAATCTGAGTTAGGTTGACATTTTAGTTTATTTTCTCCCTCCAGGCTCTTGTCATTGCACAGGAAATATAATTTCCATTTTTGTAATACAAGTAAGAATAAGTATTAAATCTAACACAGCACACAGAAGACAGTTTAACTACTGCAATGTGTTTTTGCCTTCCCTGTGTCATTTCATCACTTTTAATGAGTTTTACTTTTGAGCCTCGGTTTGCAGCAGGCCTGTAACCCAAACCCATAGAAATGGCTACTTACACTAGCTAGTGTCCAGCTGGTCCTATTAATTTGAATGTAAAAAGTGAACATAAGCTTAAGGTTTCTAAAGATGCTGCAGACAAGCTTTCTGATTCCACTGCAACATTTGCCCCATGATTAATTTCTTTATGACCTTTTGTAGAAAATTTGTTCTCCATACCTGTTATTATACTGTTTGACTTCTTTCTCTAATCCTGTCTTTCTTTGCCTTTCAGCTTTCTTTAAATCATGATTTCACCTTGACAAAAAGGTTGCGATCTTGGCTAGAATCCCTGATACAACTTTGGAGAAAAAAGAGTAGCTACAGTAGAGTGAATAACCAGAAAAATGCAGGATAGTACAGAAAACTAAAACAGTGATCTGAGAACTGCTGTGACCACGAGTGACTACAATGCGCCTTGGAGTCAGGCCAGCATGGTGCAGGGCGTATGAAAAGCATGGAAACCTCTTGCAAGTAGACAGGTTAATGCTGGACAAATCTCTTGCAGCCAATTTGAATTTCAACCTGTACTTTTTTTTAACCAAAGAAAGAATAATCCACTTTAGAAGAATGGCTGGACTTCATTACAAGTTGCTGACTTTTACTTTCTCCCACTCATCCCTATGTTACCTGACTCTTCTGTGTGCTGGTGGGCAGCAGATGTCTGTAGAAGACCTTCTTCACCACATCAGGAAAGAGGCAAGTTATGACAATGATGATGATGGCAAACCATGCTGAGCCGCTGGACAGCAGCTGCACGAATACAAAGTACATGTCCTGGGTGTGGAGGAATGGCCTAGAGGGAAATAGATGTAGGCAGGAGTTACATATTGCAGCAAAAGGGGAAAAATACATTTCTTTTATTCTTATTATAAGTGTTGGTGGGGGGGGGGCACCGAAAAGTTGGTTTGTGTGAAAGTGACTGGCCATGCTATTATCAGAACTGACTGTCTTTGGGCTGAGGACACAGTTAAAAGTTTTCAAAACAACAATAGAGGTGGGCAGTCAGTCATCACAGTAAATTCAAGTCACAGTGGCAGTTGGAGCTTGAATTATTTTATTATTCCCAGAAAGCACAGAGTCAAAGGAACTGTGGTGATGTATGATCACAAATATCAGTTATGGTCTAATTCTGTCAGGGTGGCTCCTACCAGTCTGTGAGGTGACTGGACTGTGTAAAGTGGTTAAGATTGAACTGATCAGTCCAACACACTCTCAGATAATCAGTTTTCTAAGAAAGCCTCTGTGATATATAAAACAAGTGAAAGGACTGATAAATCTGGTGTTTATCAGCCTTTTTCATCCAGAGCCTCATCTTGGGACAAAAAGCAAAGTATGTGCACATTGTGCAGACCTATCTTACTGGAGATCAATCAAATCAATCACTTTCAAAAGCAATTTTGCATATTGTACAAAATATTGATGATTATACTAAAGTATAACAGTGTGTGTAACAGTCGTGAGAACGCTTTACACAGTGCTGAATATGTCTCTCTTTTGATGCGTACTGGTTTTGGGAGACTGTTATGTAGCCGCCGAGCCGGTCGGTGTGGACTTTGTCGGGCGGACTCTTTAGTAAATATGAGCTTCACTAAATTTGCATGAACAACTTGCGGTTGAGGATTTTGAGGAGGAAGCAACTACTCTTGAGTTGCCATAACTGTGATGTAGATAATCAATGATCAACACCTTAGAAAATGTTTTATTGCTCTTTTTTTTCCCAGCATCTCCAGAGAAGTGACTTAAACATGCTGCTTGACCTAAGTGAGGAGCAATGTCTTTATCAAAGACTGTTGAAAAAACATGGCATTCACTCAGAGGGAGAGTCCCATGGTGCCTGTAGGTGCAGAGACAATTTGCCTGTTGTCTCACTATATAGGCATTTAAAGTCATATGATACTGCAGGCAACACTTTTACTGTTGTTTTATTCAGTACAACCAGAGTTTATGCAGTTTAGTTTCCCCGTCATTCTGCTGGATGGCCAGTGCAGATTATGTTCTACCAAATGTAGGGATCTCACTTTATAGGTGTTATAGAAGCTCCATGTAATTTCCTTTGAGTTTTAAAGCAGTGATTTGTACAGCAGCAAAATATGTGAACTTTGTTAGAAGCTGTTCTTACCAGATGATGCCTCCATAGAAGAGAGAGAAGATGAAGTAGAAGGCAATCGAACCCCATGTCACAAAATGGTTCATCCATGTCCAGAAATGAGTCTCTAAAGCCAAGGCTGCCATTACACACACACACACACCAACACACACACACACACACACACACACACACACACCACAACACAACACACACACACACACACCACACACAACACACACACAACCACACAACCACAACACACACACACACACACACACACACACACACACACACAACCACACAGACGCACATGGGGGGTAGGGAAAAAAAAATATGTGTAAAACACAGACAGGGGCAAGTGAGCCATCAATAAACTACAGCCATCTTCCTCAGTGCTGTAAAACAGACCTTGAAACAAACTGTGATAAATAATGTTCTATTAATGACCACTGACATCATCCTAATACCTCACAATGTACTGTATTTCATATTGGGACTATAGGAAAAGTGTGTCCCTAAGGACTTCAACATGTTACCCAGCTTACAGCTACTGCACACAGTAACCATCGTCATCTTAGAGCTTAAGTATTTTTGACCACTTGGGCCAGAATGACTTCAAACATAGAAGAATAAGAATCTCTCTGATGTTCTGTGCTACACTACAGTATAGAAACCAAACATTCCCAGCACTTATAGTAAGTATTAAATGATGTTGGTAAAAATGGTAATCTTGTCAGTAAATGCCAATAAAAAAAGGTTGAAACAGTAGATAACACAATTCGTAAAAGAACAGATTACCTTGTGGTGAAAGCGTAAGATTAGCTGTAACTTACCTTTAATGTGACAGTGATGACCATGACAGTAAAGACCAGCGTTCCAAATGTCCAGTTTCCAAACATCTATAGAACAAACATACAGCACCAGTGTATTATTAATATTAAGATACAAGTAATTCAAACAGAAAAATCTGTGACATTTTGCTGGAATTTCAAAACAATGAATAATGGAAACAGAAAACATGATACTTGATATTTAGAACTGTTCAAAATCAAACCACAAATCTGGATAAAAGTTGGGAGTCAGGGCAGGCGATGCATTAGTTTAGTGGTGTGGAGTGAAGAGACCAGTGAAGTTCCACAAGACAACAGCTTGAGTTAACAAGTTGTACGATGCCTATAATGAGGCCTTGCCCTCCGACTGTGTGACTACAGTTGGCAGCTCCCCCGCTTGTTATGAGAATCACTCTACTTAGAGTTTGAGAGCTGTGGGGGGCATTGTTTTGTTGCCAGCCAATTCTAGACCCCGCTGGAGTATGAGCACTGAAAACTAATGGTGAGTGGCCTATGATGCATCCACAGAGACACTCAGGGGAGCAGACAACAATTCTGGGCCCTTAAAAGATATTTTTGTTCAAGTTCTAGTTTAATCATATCACAATGAAAAAACAAAAAGTTTTTACCAGTCCTTTACAAACACTGCTTTGTGTGCTGTTTTCTCTATCTATTTAAGTGTGCTATCTTCAGATGCGGTCTCCTTGAACCATCACCACCTTTTAACCCACAAAAACATGACGAGGAATCGTCCTGATAGTCCTCTCATTAACCCCCAAAGGAGACATGCATTCATCTGTGGAGCAGACTCTTACCAGCTGCCTGTTAGCTCGCAAGATCTGAAGACATGCACAGCGTGAAGGCAGAAGGAAAAAAGAGTAATCAACAAAAGATAGAAGAAAAACACGAGCAAGAGAGAGCAATAGGAAAGAGTGCTTTCTGAAATACCAAACTTGCGACAGGCTGAAAGACAGCAAGATATGCAGCGGGGTTAGAAAAGAGAAGGAAAATGAATTTGTTAAGAGCCAGAGACACAGAAGACATGATATGAAGAAAAAGTTAGGTTACTAGAACTTACTTATTAACAAGTGAATGACAAACATGCTCAGAATGTAAAAGAGACAAGGCTATATAAAAGGCTTTTAAACAAAGAGACAGAATGAGGGGGAGAGAAGAGCCAGATCAAGGGAAGAAGTGACTGCAGAAATACCAGCAGGCAACCAGTCCAATCAATAACAATAATTGATCATAACATGCACACACATATATACACACACACACAAACAGTTGTCCTGCATTTGTTTACTGCCAAACATTATGCCCTGAAGCAACACTTTCCTAAGATGGTTTCAGAAAATCCTCTCAGCAGGGATTCTGCTATAGAGTAAAAACATATAATACAATCCCACACACACACACACACACAGACAAACACAAACCTGTCCATTGCCCATAAGTGTGGTGTCTTCTCCCATCAGTATGTACGATCCAAAGAAGAAGACAAAGGCGTGACAGAAGCCCAACAGAGTCCAGTACAGGAATGTCCGAAAAGACAGCAGAGCATTCTTGCTGATGTCCCTGTGGGATACAAACATTTTTCTTCCCTTAGAGGATAAACTGTATCAAGACTCAGTGTCATGCCATCTTTGCTAAAAATCAGCAGGAAAATTGTGCAGGTAGAGGGTGCATGTATCATTATACAAAATAAAATTACTTCTCAATTTTTATTTTCCAGCAGTTAGACACTGATTTCTTTTAAATATATGAAAACCGACCAAAGCCAGTTCCCACAAATAAGCAAACAACAGCCTCACCTGTACAGGCCAGGTTTATTCTGCAGTACGTGTGGATGGACCAGCTGTTCAAACAGACTGTACACCAGGATGGGCAGCGAGGTGAAGCAGATGTTGTATAGTGTCAGATAAACACTGTCGTACAGAGTCTGGGATGGACAGAGACAGTATTTCACTCAACACAAATTTATTAGCTAAAACTGATATCCACAGCTCATCCTACCTAACTAGAACATAACAGGCAGGGAAGTTGAAAAGAGTCAGATATACAAGAAAGAAGCTGAATGGTGGAAACATATTGCTGTGTGCATTAGACATTATTGACATATTACAGGTTATTATGTGGCATAGCTTCCGTCTGTATGTCTACACTGTATACAGTGTAGGATCTTCAAATTATTTCTCAGGACTGATATCTTCCTTGTCTAGGACGATAGTAATAACCTTAATAACAGACTAAAGCTTTAGTAACACATTCACTGCCAATCAGAGTTTCATAAAATATTTAACAAACATTAATTCCCAAGTTTCAAAGGCATATCATAAAAATTTGAAGAAGTTAAACGCAAATTGAGAGATTCTCTGTTTAAATATCATAGCAATTCAAAATGACTGAACCTCATGAAGCTTTTCTCGTTGAACCTTTTCATCCTCATACATGATATCAAATTAAAAATGGAAATTAATCTGGATATCAAACAGACTTATCCCAAGAATGCTCTCAATGAAGTAATGCTGTAAAATGGCCAACATGTTGGACTGTGCAACATCAAAACTGGGACAAAACAACAATGACAAGAAAAAGAGAGAGAAATGGAGAGATAAAGAGACTTACTTGTTGTGAAAACAAACAGAAGAACTGGTATAAAAACTGGGGCGTGATAAAACACACATTCTAGAAAAGACAGTGAGGGAGAGAATGGTTAAAAACACTGCAGTGTAAGGAGACTTGACTGAAGCTGAGGTAAAAGCCCACTTCTGTAAATTACAATGGGCTCCTTTAGTGATCAGTACCTGCATCTCCTGCTATAAAGCAGTTGGTATGAAAAGGAGATTTGAATAACCAAAAGCTGAAAATGAGCATTGAGAATCTTATCTCACTAGGAGTGCATTCAAATCAAGAATTCAAAGCTTTGTCACCATGGCCATTTCTTACCTTGTAGAAAAAGTACTGTACAAGGGTAGCTATTCGAATGTAGTAGAAGTGACCGTGGACCAGCAGTAGTTTAGCCAGGAACTTAAACCTGGCAATTGCATAGTCACTGTTTCTCACGGCCTGACGACCCTCCTTCCCCATGATACCTGGAGACACATGCAAACACACGTTAGAGATGAAACTGCAGAATGCAGAAACAGTGGAGTTTGCAACCATGTCCTGTGCATGTGTGTGTGTGTATGTATGTGTTGAATGTTTACCTATGCCCACATGGGCTTCCTGTATCATACTGACATCATTGGCTCCATCCCCAATAGCTAAGGTAATGGGTTTCTCTGGAGATGTTTTTAAAAGACGTACCACCTAGACAGAACACAGTAATATTGATATCTGGGTTGAGTTTAAGTAAGTTAGAGTAAACACAGGGAAGGAATAAGGGCTTTGATAATATCAGCACAATGACAGTCTGTGTGTTAGCTCATCTCAGAAATTGATATCATTTTTTGAAACATTAAAAGTGATTTATTGGGGTGAGTGGTCTGTGTGTATGGCAAAGCACTGGTACCTTAGCCTTCTGCAGTGGGGCCATGCGGCAGCACAGCACAGCTGAACAGTTTTTACACACTTCCATAAAGAGCTTCTCGTGTTCCCTCAACGCTAAAGACAGACTGGCCCCATCCACGACTAACCCATGCTGTATGACATGGTCCTCCTTTATCCTGGGAACAAATGGAGAGAAAGAGTCAGAAAAGAACAGGATAGAAGAGAAGGACAGAGTGGAAACAGCTACACTGCTACCAACTACTACCTAATGCCCAGTTAGATTCTACTGTTAGTCCATTCACCAGCACATTACCTTGTTACATAGATGTTTTGTTTACTTCGCATGTGTAATATATATAGATTGTTAAATATATATATATAGATGTTAAAGTCCAGACTGCTGAAAACACTAACAAAAAGAGATCAATTAAATAAATGGTATCCAAATAAAACCAAACTCTACATCTCTACATCTAATATTTAAAAAGCCCCAATCTTATCAGAATACAAGGCTATATATACACTTTGTCTATTCTATATATGTCAAAAGGAGAATGAGACACTCACCTCCTGGCCAGTCTGCGGAGCTGCTCCGCACACTCATTGTCAGAGCGCTGCTGCAGGAGCTCCAGGATGTTCATGGTTCTGTGGAAGTGGCCGCAGGACAGGCTGACACTGACTGCTGTTTCATGTTTGTCCCCTGTCAGCACCCATACCTTGATTCCTGCCAGCCGTAAAGCCTCAATGGTCTCCTGGACTTTGTCTTGGAGTCTGAGAGGAGACAAGGAGGAGAGGGAATAAACACCATGTGCATGTTCCATGTACTGTAAAGCTTCCAGTGATTCCTAAATATAGTTTCCTTAGGTCAAGCCCCAGGTGACATGAAAATTTTGTTTTAGACTTGTTGTGGGTGAGGTGATGTCGCTGGGCTGGCACTTACACCTGGTGTTTTATTGCTGTGGAGTTAATGTGATCATGCCCTGGAGGCTTGTTAGCTAACTACAGTGTCCATAGGTCAATAAGACTAGATGAATGTAGGGAGCATCTCTACATTTCCTAAAGCTCCTTTTATTGAATTGGTAAAGTCTTAGTATGGATAAATATGTTTCAAGGAGATCAAGACACATAAAAAATATTATAGTTAGATCAATAGGTTGCCGCAGTTTGAACAGATTTCTTCAACAGAAACAGTTGAAATTAAAGGCCAATGGCATCTGTGGCTGCTTTCATGTCATCTATATTTGATGAGGGGAAGAGGGTGAAAACTGCCTCTGAAATTCGGCAGCACCTTTTTGTTTTTTTTGTTTGTTTTTTTTTAAAGAATATTTATCCTATTTCTGGCCTTGGTTAATTGACAATGAATATTACCATGGCTCTCAGATTTACTTTACTCATACTGGATTGAAAAAAGAAGTAATCGTGTCTTCAATAATAGAGGAGATCCTCTGATTGTGCCTAAGGAGGAAATCATTCCAGATACAGAAACAAAGCGAGGACAAAGAGAGAGAGAGAATGCAGAGAAATAAACAGTGGGAGTGGGAGAAGCGAGAGGCTTATGTGAGGAGCAGATGGTGAGCGGATGCAAACACATATCAACATTCATTTCCAGAGAGGCTCAGTGAGGTGACGTCTCCATCTCCCGGCTGACTATACATTGTTTGGTGAAGATTCTCCCTCCCACTGTGTTTATCCGTCTGTTTGGTGTTTTCTACTGTTTTATAATGACCCTCTTTGCTTTTGGACAGAATCCGGTTAGCTGATTCCACTCTTTATGCTAAGCTAAGCTGATCACATGCTGGCTCTAGCTTCATAGTTAGGATACAGATATACAGTAAGTAACTATCAAAAAGAAGGTGTTTTAGCATATTACATACAAAATGTGGAACTATTACTTTAACGCCTGTAACCATTTCTAAGAAATGGCTTTTTAGAGTCTCAAGCTCATGAATCTGAATCAGCCTTCATCAATTTAAATAAATCGTACATCTGTATTACAGGCCAGCATGAAACGTAAGCATAGCCGATACTCCATGGTTTTGTCCAATTTGTCCCACACTACTGATACCTGTTTGGAAAGCACTGACAAGTTCATTCATTGTATTTGAATGTGATGTTATGAAGTATTTAGCAAGGGCATTACTAATATATTCCAATTTATTCTTTAAACGTCCATACTTGTCCTCCACCCCCGTTGCTCCCAGGAGCTGCAGGTCTCTCTCAATGTAGCTGAAGGCTTCCTGCAGTCTCTCCTCCCTCTGCTGCAGCGCGGTGCGGGCACTATTCAGACACCTGTCCACATCGATGTACTCCTCTGGGCTGAAGTGGCGACATGCTACCACCAGGGTCCGCAAACCTTTCTACAGTGGGAAGAGGAGAGTGGGTGATGGGTAGACAAAAACCGGAAAAAGGAGAGAGCATATAAGAAAAAGATAATGACATTAAATAATAAAAGGTAAAAATAAACATAAAAGTTAAAGAAACAAGTTTGTGTGGAGAGGAACAGTAAGTATGAGAAAGTCAAGATGATATGGGGAGGAGAAGAAGAAAAGGAAAGGGAGATGAATGGATGCAGAAAGAGAAAAAAACAGAAAAACAAATTATCAAAGCTTGGCTTTAAATCAGGGAACCAGCCTGAGGGGCAGACGACCACAAATCAACCCAGTACAGAGCACAGACTCCTGGGTACTGATGTCCGATGACATGATGTGGGGGCCAGATATGCGTGTCTGTGTTTGTTTGTGTGTGTGTGTGTGTGTGTGTGTGTGTGTGTGTGTGTGTGTGTGTGTGTGTGTGCGTGTGTGTGTGTGTGTGTATGTGGCTGTTGTGGTGAAGAATTTATAGTCAAAGGGGAAGAGAGAGAAAGAGGGCCAAAAGTCATCACTACAATGCATGGAAACGTCAGGCCTCCAAACACACAGAGAGACACCATCATGAATATGTGGTTAAAGAAGCTTTTGAGAGTCAGATATTTCAATTTTTCATTATAAAGTTCAGGTGTTGGATGGGGTATATGGAGTTTATTCAATCTATCTGAACAGACCTTTTTTTTTTTTGACTCAACATGGCGTACAGGATGTTTCATGTAAAAGAATAAGACTTGTATAGTAGATCATCCTGTAGGGAACATGTCAGCATAACTCCTGTGACTCCAGTTCATCTGCACATTCACAGACAGTCATATCTTCTGCCACAAAGTTAAAAAACAAGCAGTTGCTGGATGATGGAGTTTGGTTATGGATGCCATAATGTTGTTCAATCTAATGAACTGATGTGATACCAGAACTTGATTATTATTTGCTGACCACTACTCACTGAATGGACATGTACAACAGCAAAGACAGTATAAGTTGCATTTCAAAGATTTTTGTAAAAGAAATGTTTCCTCACCAGTGCAAACTCATCAACGTGCAATCTTGTCTTTTCTATCTCACCACTGGTGGTGAAAGGCAAGATGGCTGACTCTGCGCCTTTGGTGAACAGCACTTTGCCTCCTTGAAAGTCAAGATAGCAAGAAGAACACACTGAGAAAGTAGCAGTTATACATAAATAGCAAATAAGGCTTGTGAACACACTTTATATACACTGTATATTTGTATATCTGTATATTTCTTTACAGAATTCACTAATGCAAAACATTAAGATATTTATATCCATTCTTTCTAAGCATATTATTAAACTTCATTTGCTATATACCTTGCATTGTAGCCATCAGTTGTTAGTGTGTGTGTGTCTGTGTGTGATTCTGAGAGTGGGTTCAGTATGAATGGTGTGTTTGAATGCGTGTGTGTGTGAGAGCTTTATTTCTAACCTGTCTGTGTCTGTGTGTGTTCTTCCTCCTGTCCTGTGTGTGTGTGTGTGTGTGTGTGTGTGTGTGTGTGTGTGTGTAACGAGTGACAAATTGCAAAGTGCTTTGGATAGGAGTGTCATGGAAATGCACTCCATTAACCATTTACCAAAAACACAGAGCAGTAGAACATTGTGTTACCTGAGGGAGTCTGTAGTATGACGCTCATCCTCCTACGGTCAGCATCAAACTCTAACACATGGAGCAGTTTATACCTGAGTGAGCAAAGAGAGGATTAGCTTCACTTTCGACTGTTGCTATAGTACAGGCCCAATATTAAATGCGTGCATTAAATGAGAACATTGGCCACTTGCTCCACAGTCTTGTAAATTATAACTTTAGGACATTTGAACTGAGGTTAGCCATAGACGTTAAGCCTCACTTAATGAGGCGATCAAATAATACAGTTTTGAGTATTTGTGACGTAAGAAGTGCACAGGGTGAGACGTACTTCTCTGACTTGCCAAATGTTTGGATTTCCATGGTATCTCCGCTGCTGCCAGTGAAGGCCACTCCAATTCTGAGGAAATAAAGACAGAAGTTAATAGCTAGAATTCTGTGGAGAATAAGGATTTTAACCTTTAAATATGAGGTGAAAATCCAATTTGGAGTTTAGAAGTTTTGAAGGAAGTTTAAAGAGACAAAAAAAGTAACTTTTAGCTATAGCACTCCACTCAGGCCATTCAATCAATCATTCATACAGTTATTAATCTTTCTCAGGGTCAGGAGGGCTGGTGCCTTCAGTTTATGGCATGTGTTTATACTGTGGGAAAAAATGCGGGAAATCCTAATGAAACCCAGGTGAACAAATATAAAACCAAAACACCACAAAAGGTGATAAAATAAAGGACCTTCTTGCTGTCAAGTAACTGAGCCATTGAGCTGCTTTACCAAACCAGATCAAGGTTACATTTATAATGGTAATGAAACATTGCGTGTCGTGTTATATCTACCAGTGATTATTGAGGTCAGGGTTCCAACTGTGTTGCCTTTTGGTTTAAATCAACAGATACTCTGTCTGTGGTTCAATGGAGCACGGAGGCACTGGGTCATGGGTGCAGCCCCTCACTGCTCAACATAATTCAACTTGATGGTTTGAAAACTACAGTGGCCATTATCACTGACTTCATGCACCATGAATCCTGAAAGATTCTGTAAAACAACACAGTCTGACAAATTAGACGGGTGCTACGCAGCCGCATTTCTTAATCGTCAACTCTCCCTTGTTTTCATGTAGAACTGGAGGATGTTTTTTAGCTTCCCTTTTTCAAACTGGTATAGTAGAATCTGGTCACCTTCTTAATGTGCCTTTTGAGCCAGTTTCCACACAGACCAGTTAACCACCCTCCAGACATTAAATTCTTGCCTGTGCTATATTTCTCTGGCAGTAAAATGAACAAGAGTAAGAAAAAGTGCCACTTTCTATTTGGCCAGCAGTCCAACTTCCAGAAGTATTTTTATGTCCTCTAGCAGCTGACAGTAGTACAGCTGGTAGAATTTAACCTCATGTCAACAGCCACAATTTATATTCGTACAAAGATCAAGAAAAGGTGTGTATATTATGACCGGTGGTTTTTGGCTTCACTAAAGCCCAAGCTCTTCTCCGATATCACCAATGTAATGGTTTTCTTCCGGTATTGGCACCCCAACACAGACAATAAATTAAAGGCTGAAATTTACACATTTCCTGTATTGTAACAATCACACACCCATGCAATCTGGTGAAACTACAAGCTTTTATGGAAATGTCACACCACAGTAAACATATGGATAGAGGTCATTTTTCTTTCTTTTATCTCTAAGTCTCTAATGAAAAGCTCTGATGTAACCTCACCTCTTTGCTGCCTCTACTAAAGCTTTCTCATCTGGTGAAGAGGCATAGTATTCCATGTGATTGGAAGAGAAACCGTTTGCATGGGAGAATGGGTCTCCTCCCCCAACCAGGCAGTCTGGCTGGTCGTAGCTGATCTGAACTGTGTGACACAATGACACCGCCTTGAGAAATAATAACTCCTCGCCAATCTGGAGGGAGAGAAAACAGGGAAGGATGAGAGAGGAAGAGACCTTATAAATTTTTAAAATTAATTCTATATGGTGACTGTATGTGACTGTATACATAAGTGATAATTTAGAGTTACCTCACTTGCAAATACAGCTTCTAAAGGTAACATTTTAACAGTTCTACTTCTTAGATGCAGAAGTGCATTAGTCAAATTATATATTGTTGAGTGTATGAATGGCCTGCAGCAAAAAGCCATGGCAGTGATTTTTTCCTGGCAGCAGTGAGAACAGTGTAGATCTACACTGTGTGTATGTCTGCCAAAAGAAAATGAATGCAATGCGTATATATGTGAATTACCAGGTGGGGCGTAGAACCATCTGGTGAATCGTCTGTCATTCCCTCCGGTACCAGTTTGCCGTTAACTTCCCGGTACTTGGTTCCATTAATTGAACACTCACGGAACTGCATCTCGTTTTCCGTTAGCGTACCCGTCTTATCAGTAAAAACATACTCCACCTAGAAAATAGAAACACACAAATGTGCACATATAAGATAAAGATTACTAAAGGTGAGGAAGAGAAGTTTCCTCTCAGTTTCAATGATCTGTTTTTAGACTTTTGCCATATGTAAATAAGCTTACATTTATTTAAATACTATGATAAAATATACTAGTATATTATACACAAATATATCTGAATGAAAAACTCATTACTCATTTTCTAATGCAATAATAATTTCTACTTTCTTATACTTAATTTATAAAAAATAAATAAATCATACAAACAGATATTTATGTAAGCATTTAGTATAAATGTTGTGTGAGCTTGTATGTATGTGTATTCTTTTGCCATGTGTGTGTGTGCATCTATTCCTTTTCCATACCTGCCCCAGCTCCTCATTGAGGTCAGAGGTGTTGACCTGAGCTTTCTGGTCACTTTCCTCATGGTAAAGGTCCAAATCCCAGCCAATGAAAAAGGAGCCCAGGAACTTCTGCATCTCCACAGTAACGTAGAGTGAGATGGGGATAATAAAGTTGTAGAGGACCAAAAATGCCAAGAAGTCTGAGATGAACTTCAAGATCTAAAGGAAGCAGGACAGAGTACATTATTATTAGGATGAAACACAAGAAAAGTGTTGTAAAGAGTAATGATAAGCCTGCAAAACAAATGTGTTTAATGCAGATCTAAGTCACGCACAGGAGGATGGTGCTTCAGCACTGATCCTACTAAATCAAAGCAGGCAGTGTAATCCATTCCCATAAAGGAGTTAATTACTTTACGTGACAGGAAAGGAGAGAGAGAGGATGACAGACTGAGAGACAGAGTAACAGCAGCTATGCAAAAGCAATGTTTGTGACATGTTAGACCTGGAATTGAGCTCTGGCCAACTTGCTAAATAAAATGAATAATAAAATGAATTAGAAAAAGTTAAATAAACACATTAAAAATAAAATCAGGCTATTTCTGATGTCTAGGATCAGACAGGATATGCAAGGAAAATACTGTACCTGTCACAGTATAGTGTTAATTCTATTTGTCCTGATAGTTATCCTTTTTAGACGTGGATATTGTAATATTTAGGCCTTAAATTTAGACAATTTTCAGGCTTTTAAAAGACTGAACGATTCCTCAGAAAGAGAGGAAGGAGCTATGATGTAGAGATGTGAGAGATGTTGTCACTGGTAAAGGGTATAGACTGTAACAGGAGCACCTGTTAGACTACATCTAACACAGCCATTATTTTGTTGCTGGTATTCCTCTCTGTCTCCAGGGAGCAGGATGGCCAGTTTAATACTGACTGATTAGTGTTGACAGGTAGGCTGATAGGCTGGCAGAGTGGCCCAGTGACAGGCACTTCCTCTGTTATGCCTTGTCACAAAATCTAGATACATTAACCTCCCCTCCCAGCACCATTCTAGGATTCTGTGTGTTTAAGTATGTACATGTGGATTCAAGTCTTTGCTCATCTTAATATCTTTACTAACTCTATTAATTTATATCTGCAGTAGAGAGAAAAGGCCCAGATTTTTTTGGCGAGGAGATGAAAGTGGTAGAAGGTGCAGGTGGCAGAGGTAACAAGAGTGAGACAGAACTGGAACGTCAACTAAAATCTCACTGCATCTAATCTCTGGGGCTGATAGCCTGCACTACTTACAAAAAACAAATCAATAAGAATGTATTCCTCCAACGCTTAATACAAAGCAGACTAACCGGACTGCTGTTTCTCTCTTGTTCTGTCTTTTGGTTGTAGAAAGGCTCGTCCCATTTGTCCTCAGCCTGCCAGGCATACTTCAGGATGGTGCTGAGGATGGCCTCGAACAGGAGGATGCCCAGGTAGATGATTAGGAAGGTATTCATGGACCTGACATGGGAAAATATTTTTTAAAATAAATGTTTAATAAGCATATCTGGGAACAGCAATATCTTGCTCATGCTGAGGCTAAAGAAAGTACTTACTTCTCCACTGCAGAGCGTTTCTGGGACTTGCACTTATAGTTGAGGGCCATCTTGGACTCCATCCCTGTGTAAACTGCCACACCTGCAACATCACAATTTGTTAAGGTATAACACCAGGCTTGTGAAGCATTAGTCCAACAGACCATTGATCAAGTTGTGAATGAAGTCTTGAGAGCATAAAACAGCAAAATTATCCATGTGTTCATGGTAGAACACTGGCTCTAGTTCTCCATGCCAAACAATTACAACATCATACACAGTACACTCTAGTGAAGCTTCGGGATATTGCTCTAAAAGCTGCAGATAAAAATGAGATTTGAAGATTTAGTCTATGAGAACGGTCTTCAGTTAACATAATCAGACCTCAGCCATATGATGAGGAGTGGCCTAATGTTCATGGAGCTTGGCTTTCTTTGTGTCACATCATTCTTCCAATATCCACTAGAAGCAATTCAGAAGCAACTTGCTCTTGAACAGCTGTATTTTGTCCTTCCTTCTCTCTCAATTCAACTGGAAACTTCCCATTGCAAGAATTAATTTACCCCTCTAGCCTCTAAGGTGAAGGTTTGGGTTTTCACAACCATGTCTTTTGTTTCTCATTGTATTGACTCACCGAAAATCTCTTTGGTATTTTTCAACCTGGCCCCTCGCAGCAGCAAATTCTCCGGACCCAGCGGTCTGACAAACAAACAGAAACAACATAAATACAGAGAAAGATGGATGTGGTTATTGGATTGTGGTACCAACATGACACATTGGACCTTGATGAAAATAAAATAATAAAAATAATCAAAACCGTCTTTGAAGTTCATACATCTTTTGTGTATGTAATTAATCATTTTCATTTGGCTACACATTGTCTTCTCTTTTGGTCACATAGCTGCACACTGCTGATTAAATACCTTAAATAACTTTAAGTCTTTTTTCGAATGAGTGTTGTATATGAATATGAAAAACAAATTTCACACACACATACTATCATGTTTCACCCTCCACTACCATCCCAGTATATTTGGTTATTGGTGGTCCCTGATGCCTCCCCTTACACTACACCGGGGGCTCTCTATCCAACCCATCTTATTCGGGAAGTCTGTTTAGCAATATTTTGGCCCTTTTGTATAAACCTATTTCAGTGTCTTTAGTTCATCTTGCACAAATTATTAGCCAAACCAGCTGGATGAATCTGATCTCACCTGACTATCTCCTCCCCATGCTGAGTCACCGTGATCCGACCAACAAACCTGGAAAACAACAAAAGCACTTCAGCTGAGTGGACAGATAGAGACAGTAACAACATTCATTCTCTCTCTCTCACACACACACACACACACACACACACACACACACACACACACACACACACACACACACACACACACACACACACACAACACCACGAAAACAGGCTACTTGAAGAAATCATGTAAATGCATGAAAAAATTGGAAAGGCTTTTACGTGCATTTCAATAACCAGTTTACTCTAATGCATTAGATTGATGTCTCTGCAGCCTGTACAGGTTTCCTTTGGAGCACTTTCACTGATAGGGCACAGAGCACAGAGAATAAGATCTGTTGTGCAGCTTTGAGCTTTTCTTTAACTGTGAGAAAGTGTCTCAACGTTAACAAAAACGAAAATGACAGATTTAGACCAATTAACTTCATTTTCTGATGGATTTTGGATTAAATCATTTTGAAAACAAGGATGCATTATGATGAGTACAGATCTTTCCTTTCATCCTGCTGCAATGCTGCCACAGTGATACTCTCCCTTTATGGAGTATTTGTCATGCACATGCTGACACGTTATAACCTCATAAGAAACCTGTTGAAGTGTATACAATCAGGCTCATCCAGCAGAATTTGAACAAAGTTTATCTTAATGCCTTAACCTGATTGAGGAAACTAGGTTTTTTGTTAACACGATTATGAAGAAATCAGATTACTGCAGAAAGCTGACAATAGCTGGATTAGTTAAGTGCATCTTAAACGCAGGGAGCGTTAAGACACACACAGCAACCCAGAGAGGGGGAAGGGAGAGAACTGCCGTCGAAACAAGCTGCCTGATCTAAAAATACACTAATCGATCCTAAAGTAGCCAGCTGAGACCGACAAGAGGAAGACGGGTTGTCGAAGAGGTGATGAAGCCATCTCACACCATGATCCATTTAATAACACATCTCTGGCAGGATATTTCTATCATGTATTAATCAGGGTGGTTTTTAAAATGGGGTCCAGAGAATTGAAGGTGTTCTTAAGGGGATTCCAGAAAATGAAATGAGTGAAATGATCTGTACTTACAGTGAAACAGATATAATAAATAAAAACCAAGAATACAAACGTAACATACAAAAATCTATTCTATCCTGTATAAGATTTCCAAATCCAGAATCTTTATGTCTAATGTTCTAATATGGGTTTAGCTGGGAGTATCCTTTGTCTGTTGTAAGTGACTTCCCCCTGGACTTTTCATGTTCTCGCCCTGAAGGTGTGTTAACACACTGGTGCTGATTACCTGTACAGGTCAGCTTCTGGTTGTTGACACTCCACCACAGCCTGCAGAGCCTCCAGCTGGGACACTGACTGACACACTGATGTCTCTGCCACAGAGAAGTGGGTCTACAGACACACACACACACACAACACACAAATACAGTTAAATGCTGATGAAAGAGAGTCATTGTTTCACAGTGAACAAAGATACTTTTTTTCAGTTTATATGGGAGAAGTTTTCCTACAAAAGACAGTGAGAACTCATGTAAAAAGTCATGATCACACAGATGTACTGTTAGAACACACAGCTTTCTATTTATAAAACAACCGGTTCAGTCAGTTGGCGCTGCTCTGCAAGAGAGCAACCACCTCAACTGTCAACATGGCCAACAGGAAGGAGGGAGAATGTCAGGTTAGGGTGAATGTGAGAGTAAGACAGATCAATGGGTTTGAGGAATCATGATTTTATTTGCATAATATTTGAACCAAAGTAGATTGTTGCTATTCTCATCTATTCAAAAAAATCAGAAAGTGGTTAATCACTGAAAATTTCCAAAAGTCAGATAATGTATAAGACCAACAATATCCCTGTGTTTAAACACAGCAGGGGGCTGTGCTGGTGGGAGGGTGTTGCTTAAGGTAGGGTGACAGAATGAGGTACAATCCCCAAAATTCAGCTGGAGTGACAGATTAATGTATTTAAAGGCTTATCAGATGTCGAAACACATCATAATGGTTTATAATACTCAAAGCCAGGACTTTACAACTCTAGAAATTCATGACAATGCCAAGTTAAATAGTAGAAATATGGCGTTCACACTACAAAGTAATCTACCAGGAATATGCACTTGCATGTATGTGATTAGTCCGTGTTGTCAGGCGTACACAACAAAACTCCAACACCAAGAAGATGGTGCAATAGTGTAGTATCACTGTACTATACAGCATGCAAACAGCTGCAGTTGACCCCAATTTATAACTATATCAAAAGGTGCATAGTTTGTACAAACACATTTCTAGGCCAACACAAAAACCCATCATGCTGTATAAATAAACTGTAACAGAAACAGCAAAATGTTGTTAGAAAGACAATTTAGCAACATAGCCTCTGGCAAGACTGGGAGGTAAGGCAGGGAAGGGAGAGGGAAGAGAGGAGGGAATTTTCTAAATATAAAATTAAGAGATAGGAGGCGTTTTATAGTGAAATTATATAATCATATCCAAGTCATTTTAATTTTTTTTAATGATGCAGACACCTGGCAGGCACACACACAAGCTGCAATCAGTCATGTGACAGATACACAGAGGACTGCCAATTAAACTCTAAACTCCAACTAATCAAAGACGAACTCCCATTATATGCAAACAATTCCCATTAAATAGCTTATGGGTGAGTCTCTCTCCATGCATAGGGCTTTAATATGAGTTCCATCAGCCTTATGCTACAGGAGTATCAGCATGTCATCAATCCTCTTTTCCTATGCATCACCTCTATCATCACTGGTGAGTCCATTCATAAAACCCCACTAGCTGCAGTTCTTCAGAGCACAAAGCTACACAACCTAAAAAGGTAACCCGTGGAGTTTTTGACCACTAGTAGTGCTAGTAGTCCACTCAGAATGTTTTTTATGTGTGGGTCCCCACTTTGTTTGAATTGTGTACAAGGATGCACATCTAAGTGTTTGATGAAAAACACTGGATGAATGCATTTTTGACAGAAGTTTAGCTTGTTTGTTTACATTCCACGGGGCATTTTTAAGGGGGAGCAGTTGACTTGTGGCGTTTGCAGGTTTGAATCCCAGGAGTGGTTGTGGCTATCTTGTTTATTCAATCAACTGGTTGACTGCACCACAAACAACACTTTTTGCAGAAAGAAACAAAACCTCACAGAGTACCTTTAGTAATAGTCTGTTAAATGTTTTCACACCACAACTTAGACACGACACAGATGATATTCTCAAATACACTCCCAAAGCTCACACACACAGACACAAACAGACACAAACAGACACAAACAGACACACACAGACACACACAGACACACACATACACACACATACACACACATACACACACATACACACACATACATACACACACACACACACACACACACACCTTAAGGTTGGTCTCTCCGTCGAGGCTGGCTGTGGTGATGTGACAGGTGCCATCTGCACGATCTGATGACAGCAACACCAGGTCAGCAGGGAACGTTTCATCTTTAGCCACACGAACAATGTCCCCTACCTAGATGGAGGGAAGAAAATCACACACAAACCAAGATCAATGCACACCACACACAAATTCAGACAAACACACAGGCAGATTGTTAAATCTTGACTTATTTCTAACTGTTCTTTTTGTGTTAATTAAATTTCCTTTTGTATAGAACCACGATGAAAAAAACATTCTGGACTGTCATCCTAAAATGTTTGTCTTACAATCAGGTTAGTTTCAGTATGCACGAAATGATCTCTTTTTGCCGATTATGACTTCAAACTATGCAACGTGCCGCAGTAACCTAAAATTATAGGTTTAGTTAGACAATGTACCTGCCTACAACAAAATCTTCTTGAAATTTGAATTTTGGGTTTTCCATGTATTCAAATTCATTATTTTTGAGTAATAATACAGCACTGCTGCACCTTTGTTTGTTACTAACACTTCCAAAGAAGCTGCATAATTAGATGATTGCCTGAGTAACAAGTAAGCAATTTCAACATTGTAACTCTGAGCTGCCAATATTCAACTCTCAGGCTTCTAAACACCCTGCAACTCTGCACACCCCTCTGTCTTTGTATTAAATAAACTCTTTCACTCCAGGTGACAGCAGGTATCCTGGCTGTGACTAGGTAAACTGTACCAAGAGCTTCAAGCTTAAAAGGTTAATTTACTGTTTGACTAGGGCGCACATGCCATTCAGGTAGCATTGCTTTGGCTCTGGACACACTAGTCCAGTGTCTCTGAGAAGCCCAACTTCTTAGGAGGATTTATGTACACTACAGTGTTCTGAGTTACACGTATAACCAGGTAAGAAAGACACCTCATCAGTGAGAGGACAGGAAAGAGAAAGACTTGCTATTGCTAATGGGATGCTGCAAGTGTGCAAATAGCTCAAAAATGAGTCACCATGGTTCACCAACAGTCTTCAGGAAAATGACAGGCTGAAATACAGTATGATTCAATACAATATGATTCAATACAGTCAAATAATAATATTTACATGACACTGGCATTTGCCGAGACAAATGCATCAGTCATAGAAGATTCCTGACACATTTGTGTTGATGCCTCAGTATTTGCAATCCTGACACCTGAAAAACAGTTCTGTTTTTGATGTCAACATATCTTATTTTATCTTTCTATACAGTCTACTTCTACAGAAACACCACTAGCACCAGGAATTTAACAGCTAGGCTAAAGTTAGTTATGGCAATTGGCTATGAAGTGTGAAAAGTTATTTTTAGGTCCTGTAAGGTGCAGGTTTCAGACATCTTACCCTGATGTTCTTAGATCTTGTTTGGACCAGACTTCCACTACGAACCACAAACACTGGAGCCCCATTCACCTCATTGTCTGCCTTGTGTCTCAGCCAGTCCTCATAGCCCTATGAAAACACTCATTCAGTAACCAACAAAATACAGTTGACAGCTGCCAGCTTCACAGTGGAATAAAGCATTATTGCTAAACAGTGGTGACAGGCACGAGTCACAGGTCAACTGAGCTGACTAGTAGCTGTGTATGTTAATCTGACCACACTGTTTTGTGTCAGTGCCAAGTTCATTACTTTTTAGAGAATATGTCATTATGAACAACTTCAAACAAGTTTTGTTAATAAATTTAAATTCAACTGAATACTAAACTTAGTTGAAACAAGTTGGATATCAGAAGTTGTTGGCTACAATGAATCTAACTTTAATCATGCAGCATGTACAGTGTATGTTACTTCCCCATTTTCAGCACAACAAAGAGGAAGTTATCATGTGTTGGTGTTCTCACCTGTTTTATGGCAGTTACTGTAATCACAAAGAAAAGAGGCAGACCGCTGGTGACTGGGGAAGTTGGGGTATCTATCATTAACTGCAAAGACAAATAAAAAGGAGGTGATGCATAGATGCCAACAAAGTTGATGTGCAGTGCTAAAAAAAACAAACAATAATACCACAGAATCAGTCAGAGTGGGTGTTCCCTGTTAGAGACAAAACTAAAAAGACAACAGAGAGAAGTGGTGGCTGATGTGTCAAACAGGAAACATCTTTAACTTCCTTCAAAGGTTAACTGTCAGTACAGAACTACTCACACAGAAGCACACACACAAAAGCAACACTTGAACCAGTGATGAAGCATTTAAGGTTTTACACTCAGGTACACTTAAGGTTCACACACATTTTCCACAAAACTGTAGTTTTACAAAAAAAAAGGCACCCTTCTCTGCAAGTGTTTAATAAAAACCTCTACTTTTAAATACTATTTTACTTTTGATTCATTCATGCATTTACAAATATTTTTTCAAATGTATATGTATATTTATGCATTTTTGTTTTTATTTAACAGTTGATAGTATAGAGGGACAGGAAATGAGGGGAGCAACAAGGGATAAGAAATGCAGTCCTGACTGGACTTGAAACAGGTGTGTTGCAGTGGCAGTATATTGTTATATGGAGCCACTCAGCCACCTGAGTGACCAATATAAAACATGTTTTTGCAGATGAGCAAAAACTACAATAGTTTAGAGAAGTGCAGAGCATGGAGGCAGTCACCTCTTGGTGCATCAATCATTACCTCCTGGATATATTGGATCCTGGATATTTTCAAATTTGGTTGATTATACACCAAGAGTATAGCTATTGGCTAGAACGTAATCTGCCTCCTAGTAGTTGACTTTGAACTACAAAACAAAATTGAGTCTGCTTCAAACTATGAAGGCAGAGGTGCAAGTTAACCCTGTGGAGCAGGTGTAGAAGTAGGTGATGTAATACACATTCATGCCAATAGTTTCACACTACTCCACTTCTAGACAGGTGGCGGAGAAGTGCCGAAAAAGCAGCAATGCTCCAGCGAAGGCAGAAAAGAAGAAGACTGCTGAAAGGTAAACATGGACGTAAACAATGCAAGTTTCAAATAACCAAAAAATAGTTTGTTGCAAATGCAAATATTTCAGAAAGAAGAAAGAAAGAAAAAACAATCTACATGTCTGTTAGCCCTCGAGGATACAAACAATGGATTTAGGCGAGTCACACTGATTGTAAACTGAAACTTTGTTTACAAGAAAACTCCTCAGGATACATTTAAAGAAGACACGCCAAAGACATATTTGAAGAGGTAAACAAACAGTAAAAACAAACATCAAGCTCTAATAAGAATTTACATAAACTACAATGAAGACTTTTCTTTACATGGTTTGTTAAGGGAAACAGCGGTTAACAGTGGTTATCTAGGAATTCATCTCAGGCCACCTAGAAATTATCAAATGGGCCATCCAAGAAAACATCATGTTCATAATGTCAAGATAAAAAGAAGCCCTCCTTTCAGTAATTCAGACTAAGTTGACGTCAGCTTCACTGAAAAGTTGAGTGGGTGAAAAGAGAGCCCTTTTTAGACAGAGTCAAGTCGATTGCTTGGGCTTCACTACACAGGCCCAAATAAATCAGGAGAAGTCTGAAAATTTGAAAGCCAAATCTTACTTCAGCACAGGCTGAGTGATGCAAAGTGAAGGCCTAATGCTTAGGGCTGGCTTTAAAGTCACACATTTCACTTAATGTGTGGGTGGAACGTGTTAAAACAGAGGCAGACCTGTCTCTCTGCTGGGCCCTAGAAGTAAATGAGTCACTCACTCATGACTAAACAGACACACATACATTTGTATTTAGGTCATACTTGAACTGTCACCATCTAACTGAGGAGAACATGCACCTGCCATAAGGAATAGTGAGCGTTTGTGCAATCGGGAGTGTCATTACCTGTACAAGGAAGATAATGAGAAAATAGAAGTTGGCTATCCTTCTGAACTGCTCAAACAGATTCTTGGGGACAAAATTCCAAATTGTGTACTGAAAGAGAAAGAGAAAGAAAAAATTACATTGAGGATTTACAGATAAACAAATGCATGAGGCAGTAAAACCAGCCCATTTCTGACTGGTGGTATGCAACTAAAAATTGGCACATTAAGAAAACGAATTCCATCAATTCATCTTTAAAGGATACCAAATTTAATAGTGTAGTGTAAGACAAAACCCATGCTTGGCATACATACATATCCTGTCACTATATGGCTGACAAAAACAAAATGTCCTTTCAAAGAATTTGTCTTCAAATCTTTTCATACAATTTCATACAAAAAAAGTCAACACTGCACACTGGAACTCCAAATAATACAGGAGATATAACTGCTTCAATTAACAGGAATTTAAGATCCTGAATTTATGCAGCAGGACCTCAAAGTCTTTTGCTACTTGGTGAAGGAGTTCAGCCAGTTGTGCTGAGTACACTGTTCTTCAGAAGAGCTGCTCACTCGCTGCTGTGACTGCTTTTGTTAATCTTAAATTTCAGTTCATCACTTCCTGTGCAGCATGGGCTCGAAAGAATAACAGATGGAAGAAAAAAAACTGTGGTTGCACTTACTCTACAGTAAATTTGGAGTTTTAACAACTTGCTTTCATGTTATCAAGGTGAAAGTCATCACATTAGTACACAGGTCCATCAAGGTCTGTGTGCTGAGATGTTTCTTTCTCTCAACAAGCATGACTTAAAATCAATTTAATCCTATCTGAGGTAACTTAAAGCTACTGTCAATCATGTAATCAACTGCCTAATCAATGAAAGTCATCAATGCTGGAGGCAGGCAGCAGCCTCTTTGGATTATTATCCTTTTGTTCTGTCTTCTTCAAACTGACCCACTAATCCACTCACCAACACAAAACTTTTTTGTCTGAGTTGATCCTGTTATCAACAAATCATGTTTCATCCTATCTCTCTGCCTCTGCACCGGTCAAGCTGGTGCCAGAAATCAGTTAAAGTTTCCTTTCTTCAGGCATGGGTGTTGTCATTGGTCAGGCTCATGCAAAATGTCATGATTCATATCTTTCAACAAACAAAACAACAAGTGCTTCAAACCAGCTAATTCGTTAATAAATAAATAAACAGTGCTTCTATCACTCATCTGTTTTGCATCTGTGGCTAAAGATGCTAAAGTTACAACATTGTGCTTTTGTGGTGATGACACAGAATCTGAGAATGGGATTCTGGCAGTTATGTGAAAAAATAAAGCAAAAGATCTGAAGATTCATGATACACGTTTTATCATCAACCTTTTCTAGAACATATCCTTGTATTTAAAAGACAATAAAATGATGTATGTGTAGTAAAAGAAAATATGTATTGCCTCATTCTGACTGACCACCATGAAATCCTGTAGTGATTACACCATGGGGAAAATTGCAACACTGAATTAAGCAACGTTTGGTACCTTGGATGAGATGATTCTGTTGTCTGCAAAGCGTTGTGGTATGTAGTGGCCATGCTGGGGGAAACGGTTTGCTACGTAAACCGTCCTGGTCTCACTCTGATGAGGGGGGTCAAAGCCCTGAGGGAAGGGAGGATACATGGAAAGAGAGAGGGTGTGGGGAGAAGGGGGAAGGAAAAAGGGACAAATGGAAAAGGTGCAAAGGGAGGGAAAAGGAGACAGCAGGTTACTTACAATAGACATCTCACTTTTTCTTATTTGTAATTATTCCTTTTCAAGTTAAACACAACTCTAGATTATACCAGTTCTTTCAATAAGCAGGGCAGTGCTACTGTACTTTAAGACAAAATGTTGACGTGTGCCTTTGACCCCTTTTCATGTGCACTTGAGTTTAGCTGAAATACTTAGATGATTAACAGAAAATGTATAAGCAAAAATTTTTGAAGCAATAACACCCAAGATTGTAATTTTTTTCCAAAACACAAACAACTACCTGGGAAATACTGTGTCATTTCCACTGGAGGATCACTTACATTTAAAATATCCTTAGATCAAGACATTAGTTTTATAGAAAACTGACTGAAATGCAGATTAGGCTAGTGGTTCATAGGCAATGCAACATTGGCCCTATTCACACCTGGCATTAACATGCGTCTCCACATGAGTCTCGAGTGACCACTTGTAATCGGATCTCACTTCCCCCACTCTTTATGCAAATAAACACATGACAGACGGGTCTGTTTTCAATGTGTTTGTTTTGTGTGTGTGTGTGTGTGTGTGTGTGTCTGAGCTGGATGTTAATGCCAGGTCTGACCAGGCCATCATGACCTTATTTTAAAGTAAGTCATTTTATATTGTCGGCATTGAAGAAAAGTACGATTAATCCCTGTAAGTCTACACCACACTAAAATCCCCTTTGGGCAACATTTTATGCTTCTATTCAATGGGGTTTCCGTTACTGTGGTGAAGACATTTCTCTATGGGTCATTATTTTGCCTAGCGCAGCAGAAGTTCTGTTGGGAATTGAGGCATCCTAGAGAAACAATACCAGAAACTACAGTACTGTTACTGTGTATCATACAAGTACAGATGGTGGCATATACTTGCTCAACTAATACTACTGAATACTGTAGTTAGTTTCTGAGCACTGAGTACTATAGCTGGTTAAAGCATGTTTGCAGCATTTGGCATTTAGAGGAACCATGAAGACTGTGAATTTAATATTGATACTCTGCACATCCTTTAAACTGATATGGACACTTCTTAAGCATGGGTTAATATTAGATTTGTCAATATCTAACATTATCCGCTAATGTTGGTCATTTCTCATCCACAGACCAAAACAAACAGATGCAAATTTTAATACACATTTCCATCACCATTAATGTCACAATTTCTTGCATAATTCTAACATAATTTCCTGGTACTGTCCTTTCTATCACACTCAAGTCAACTAAATTAAGAAGGTTAAAGCAAGTGCTTGCAAATATTTGCAAATGACGTAGGTCTAACACACAGTCACACTCACTCACACACACACCCATTAGCATACACAGAGGAATGTATCCGGGCCACGTCACTCACTCCCACACTGATTCACCTCTGTCCAGGGACACATGTAATCTATTAGTGCCTTTCACTCTCTTATGCTATCCATCTGCTGCTGCTTTCTTACTGTTTTCAAAGTAAATGCACCACATCCAACACTAAGATTGAAAAACAGCACATTATTACCCAGTGTAAAATAGCTATAGCTAGAAGGTCTCATTATTTCCTCTTGCTGATATCGTAGGTCTCATTTACAAAATTTACGTGAATAAATCACTTCATTTCTTTCAATAACTTTCAGCGTGCCATAAGCACTCTATTTAAAACTTTGCACACAGTGCCCTTTCTTTCATCACCTGGCATGAAAATCAGTGATCCACTTTTAAGAATAAAAACAATATGTGCAGGATTTTCCATTTCTACTCATCCATTCTTTTCCGCTTTGTTCAAAGCTTTTAAAAAGACATTTCTCTGTTGTTCCTCTGCCTTTACGTTCATTTTAGTCAGATGGTCAGAGTTGTCTCTTGCTCAGCCCAAAGCTAATGGATGGAAGAGGGGTCAAACAGTGGCCACAGTAGAACAGTAGAAGCAAAAAATAGCTAAATGTACATTTATACCAACTTCTAGCCTCTAAACTTCTGTATCTATAATGTATAATTAATGTAGCCTCAAATAGCATAATTCATTTTCTTTTGATTAAAGACTCTCACACCTGAGAGCACTTATTCCATGTATTCACTGCAAAAAGATATTTGTCTTGCACTCATATGATAAAACATACAGAGCAAATTCAGCTCCATGTATCGGTCCTGTTTAACCACTGAATTGCACGGTTCTTTTTAAGCATGCACAGATACTCTGCACAAAAGTCAGCGACAGAATTCACACAGTCAAACATACAGTTTACAGTATATACTGGAACCACACTACTCTCACCACTGCACTGATGCAGACTCAAGTCAGAGCAAACAGCAGCATTTCTCAACTGCATTTGAATTCCTGACCAGGGAAATGCATCCAACAAAGGAACTTCTTACAAATTTCAAGTGCATGAATGAACCTTAGTTAAAACTTCTCAGTGTATCCTGCTGTATTGAATTGTGATAAACCGTGCCTTATTAAATGTTCTGGAGAGTGATAGGTATTTCTGGAAAAAGCTTCTACCAGCTCACAGAATAAAGTTTACTTTTGTTTTTATCAGTCTTTAGAACATTTTAAGAAGAAAGGTGAAGTGAGCATGTAAAGTCAAACCATAAAAAATCTTTAAAAGCAACATCCTGCCTCAGACTCAATCAAGGTTGACATACAATACTGTATCAGTAGCTTAGAGTTGCCCTTTATAACCAGAGCTTCTCAGAGCAACAGGAACATGCACAATGCTATCACTGTTTGTTAACACTAGCAGCTGAGCAGCTCCCATGAGGCAGTTACATTTAAACAGACATTAAGTAATACAGGATTTCAAATCAACCTATATGTACCAGCAATTGCAGACACTTCCCGACACTGCCAGGGACGGGTTTTGGTAAGCCAGAAATCCTCACATCTAACAAAGTAATTGTTGAGTCACTGGCATTAGTCAATGAGCTGCAGATAGATTATGGCAATATGTTACACTTTAGCACTGTTAACATATTACTTAATGCCCTTTTACATGATTACTGTAAGGGACACTAATGGTGGTTGCTAGAGGAGAACATTTCTTATTACCTTTCTCCACCAAGTTTCTCAGACAGTCTGAGGTGTCTGAGTTTCTGAATCACCACCATATCAATCAGCTGTCATTCGTTCAACCATCAGTATCTTTCCACACTGTAACTTAAGTTATCTTAATTGCTAGCTTAGTACATGCTTAACTGTCCTGTGCAACTGTAACAAAGACGTGGTCTTGAGAAATGAAGGGAAACACGTTACCCAATGTTTCTGTAAGCACCACAATGTAGCTTTAATGCAGTCATTGCTGCAGCATCAGTCACAACAAGAAGAACTAGTAATTTCTACCTTTAACAGTAAATAAAACAATATTCTCACACCAGGATTATCTGTTCGATGAGACTGAAGTGTTAAAACCATTTATTGTCCCTGTGCTATGGCCTATCCTAAATCAAGTGCCTGCATTTAATGCTCCTCTTGAGGCAGCAGATATTAAATGACAATAATGGTCCACACTATCTCAGTTATGTCAAGCAAATGACTCTCATGTAAAGAGTGCCACACTGCATTTCACTTTAATAGGTAAACAATTTACTTTTTAATTCATTCCTTGAATGTTTGAGGAATTTGAAATAACCAAAATAAAGAACTAAAAATTCAAACAAATTTAAACTTGATCCAGATCTCTTACCGTATATATAACTCTGCAGCACTACAGCTACCAGCAAGTTTGGTTAATATAGACTTAAGTTACTCCAATGCAGGCTGACTACAAGATTTGCTTGTGTAGATAATACACATACATGCAGGTTGTGACTTAAACATTCATTGTGCTGATGTCATACTTGGCTGACGATTAAATATGACTGGCGCGGATTAGAGGCACTTGACCTTTTCATTAAGTACACCAATAAGGTGAGCCCTGCTAGAAGCCATTTTTCATTTTTATTTCCCCTATTAGAAAAGATTTAAAGAGGCTGACATTGAATATTAGAAAGAAAATAACAGGCCTCATTCACATTTTTTACTGGCAGCACTGTAATGAAAATAAACATAAGTCCGACTCTCAGTATAGCAACAATTGCAATGTGTCTTTCTTGTAAACACTCAGAAATCATACTTTTTTTTTTTTTTAACATTTTGCCCCCAGTCTCTCACGCCTCCATCAATTTGTAGACCGACAGGTAATTACTTCCTGCGTAAAGCCTACAAGTCCCAAACTGCCTTGGAGGAATCATTGCCCTGAACAATTGCTGGCAGACAGCTGAAGGGATCAGAACCAAGGCAATGAACTGAGTCGTATTGCAGGCTAAGAGCATTTAATCAAATGGGATGAGCTAGTCAAGGATGGAAAGAGGGAGAGATGGAGTCACATAAAGACTAACGGTAAAGACAGAAAGACTGCAACACCAAGAGAAAGACAGAGAGCAATAGCCTGTGGTCAGATGCGGTGGGAGGTGCTTTTGATGCTATTGCTGATGACAAGAGCAATACTAACATGACCAAAGGCATGCCAAACATATATCTAATAACATGTGGCATGAAATGAATAGCCTGAAGCACAGCTGCAGATGTTAAGGAACTGGCACAGACTGGTTAATTATCTGATGTTTTACTGCTTTATCATAGTAGACTATTAGGATTGCTGCAGCAATGTCCTAGAATGATCATGAATGAGACTATAAAAGCGTAGGACATCCTGTTAGCTCAGCAGGATAACAACATTTGTGATGTCATACATACCAAATAACAATTATCAACATAATCTAATCCATTTTTCACTTCTTGCAGTGGGTTTCTTTTCATTTCACTCTGACATAAAAATTAGCCTGCAGGGACTGAAATTTGTTTGAGATAAGGAAAGTGTATCAAAGTAAGTAATGCATAACCTCTAGTTTAGTTTTGGGTTTTTTTCTCAGAAAATAACATCAGTTGGAGGCAACAACAGTTCTGAAATTTCTTCTGGCTTAATGCATTAAGCAATATCAAAGCTTTACATCTGTGAAGTATGCCTTTGGGAAATAAAACAACACACAAACAATACAACACAAGCAGTAATAATATATCATTAAAGTTATGAAAAGGACAATGTGAAGGTGGTGGTCTCTTTAATTAAAACAGCTGCTGTTCCACAGCCAGATCACACTTCTCAGACATCCTGACTGTGTGAGTTGACTTTAATACCATGTGGGCATGGAACAATATATATATCAATATAAAAACTTATGATGTGCTTTGGAAAAGGTCAGAAATAATATATACAATGCAATTTGCAATTACACTTTTACGTTTCCAGAACAAGACGTCAAAGGGTTTTCCCAGTTGTAACTGTTACTTGTACTGTAATCATAGTAAGTCTTTTATGATGTAAATGCAGTATTACAAGCATGATGTCAGTATTACTGATGGAAAAAGACGGACATTAAAAGCCTTTCAGACTGCCTGTTAGGACTCCCCCACCTTCCCCTCCCCCTTTCTCCTTCCTCATGTGGACCAATGTCACCAGAAAGAAACTGATAAGCAATATGTGAGTGAATAAACATCTGTGCATTACCTTCCACCTGATATGAAGGTCAGACAAATGCCCTCAACAAACCTTTTCATTAGGCCGCTTGTATCAAGATGCATTTTAATTACATTTTTAATTAACTAGGTGGGTCAGTTATATGGGATGGGTCAAATGAACTGAGCTATCTCAAATTAGGAGGAGGCTACAATTTCTATGGACACAAACTCCCTATGGTGCTCCTTAAAAAGTGAAGGCCAACATTAATCTCTAAATGGAAAAAAGAAAACTTTTTTGAACGCACTGAGAAACTGAGCAAGAGTTGTAGAATTCAGTAAGTTAACATTGATTAAACTCACTGGCTATGGTGACATCAACAGTTTGGGCTCATCTCATAATATGCAATCATTCATTCATTCATGCATTCCCATGGGCATGCCCCCCTCACATGCTCACACAGCCTCTCTACTAGTCACACCACTCTCATTTATACTCTATGTCAATGCAGGTTCTTATTCAAACTTGAACTGTACTTTGACATACAGAAAATTCTATCATAAAACCATCATATGACCATTGTGTCATTGCAGCATGACTGAAGCACAAATCATACATCCCTCAAGCATAGTTCATAACTCAATTCATCTACTCCATATTACTCCATGTACTGGCAATAGTAGTTATAATCAGAGTCAGGTATAACTAATTTATTTGACATGGTCCATTATTATTGGTAAACTGCTCTACTGATGCCTTTGCCTGTCGAGGTGTCACCATACAGTCATATTTGTGGGCAAACAACAGGTGATTACAGCAAAAACAGGATGCTCTCGAAACAAATGTAATCAATCAAAGACCGTTGATGTTTAATATAAGACAATAAATACAGATCTGGCTATATAATAAATATAAAACAACACTAGACCGATACAAAGGTCTCATTAAAGTTAACATAAGAGAGGTCACCGTTTATAATTATATTAGAGATTTGAGGCTAATATCTAACCAGCTGGAAAGTTGGTTTATTGACTCTTTTGACACAAATAAACAAGTAAAAACTCCGTCCAAGTTAGAGTAGTGTGAGGTAGCAAACGTTAAGAGTTAACGCTAGCTAGATGTAGTGGAGTTAGAAACGCTGTTTAACTTTTTACATTGTTAGCCTGCTAGCTAGCGTTAACTTAGTTGACTCTCCAAGTATTTTTCAATGGGACACGAGTCAGTTGTTGTTAAAATGCTAGCAAACTTCATATCAACTCAAATTTAAACTCAAAACTCCGGTCTCAACTAGTTAACAGAGTTATCCATTGTCGGCTCATCAACAGTAGCTAGCTGGGAAGGTGGCTAACATGTTAACCTACACCTGGCTGTCACAGCTGCGAGACAAACAACAATGTTTTAGACATATTGGCAACAGCTAATTGGCTAGGTTAGCTTGCTAAATTTTACCCAAATAAAAGTTAATACAGCTTTCCGTAGGCTGAGTTCTGTAGAACATGACTGCTGTTGTGGGCTAATGAAGGCTAACGTAATGAGAAAGGTAAGGAAGCAGTTTTACCAGCTGCTGTCGTATCCACCGTAGCATCCTTGCAAAATACGTTCGAAGTAGAGAGCACAGTCGCTAGCCCAGCGCTAGCAACTAGCTACTCCAACAAAATCGTCCCAAATCATAAATATTTCCCCCAAAAGGCATCTATTGTCGGTCGCATTACGCGACACATTCATGCAGTGCAAATGTACAAAAAAATCAATCCAGTATTTCCCATTCCGCGGTAATGTCAGAAAACTGAGCCCCGGTAAAAGTGACAGACGGCTGGTCACAGAGTCCCAGCGAGCTGCGCACCATCTCTGCTCTGCCACGATCAGCTTCCCCCTGCCAGCACACAGCTCTGTGCAGACACTGACTGTTCTCTGGCGGCCTCGCAACGCCCCCTGCCTGTTCATCATAGATAGATAGATAGATAGATAGATAGATAGATAGATAGATAGATAGATAGATAGATAGATAGATAGATAGATAGATAGATAGAGTCTGTGATTTATCTACAATAAAGTGTGAAAAGTAAGAGTAAGACTGGGCAGCCTTTAGAGGATAAGTTATATTTGTGGAGCACATCAGGCATGAGTACAGGTGTTGTTGCACTTTTCTTTTTTAATGAAGTTTATTTAGTGTTGAATGGCCCTGAACTTATGCCTTATATAGATGTGGTGAGATATGGTGCCTGTATATTTTTGTAGTGGTGCTATTAAATTGCAGTGTTCAGTGCATCGCAAACTGCTAATACTGAATACACCAAATAGCGATAATACAGGGCCCTGAGACATATCTGGATTGCTTACTGGGCACTTTTTATACTGGAGAATGCTATTTGAAATAGAGCCAACAGAGTGGAGACTTAAAGAGGATTTGCTTACTCCAAGTGTCTTTTGGTTTTAGATATCTTAAGCCAGAGATAATTTGTCTCTCCTCTCCTGGAGCAGCCCCTAACTGAACATGAGCTGGAACTAGTCCCTTTCACATTCATTCATGGGCCTTTCTCATTCAATTTTCTTAGATTTATTAAGTGGCCCCCTTTTTTTGAATGGAAGATTACAAACATAATAATTTAGAGCTAGACATAAAATGGTAATCCTAGAAAGAGAATCTGTTAGGTGGATACAGCATGCATTTGCCTTTTATTCCTTTCTTCAGGAATGCTCTCCAGTCCTCCATTTGTTCCAGGATTTCTCTTGTGAGGCATCTCACATAAAGTGAGGTCATCCTTGTATATGTAGCTCTCTCCCAGTAATGAATCCACTCCTGTTCCCTCCCTCCTTCAAGACTTGGCTGCTGCACATAATCAGTTGATAGACAATAAATGATACCACACAGGGAGAATGAGAAACGTTCATACTTTTGAAAATATCTGAAGGGTTTGGCTGCACTGTCCGTTTTCCAAATTGATTCAATATGGTGTATATTATTGAAGACACTGAAGTGATGTTCTCATCAATGGCCAGAGAAGCAAATGGCAAATGATAATCATCCTGTGTAATCAATGTGTTCCAGCAGCTATATTTGGACAGAATGGCTGCAGCTGCCCAGCAGTTTTTTCCCTCTTTTTCTGGCCTCTTTTTCTGGCCTCCTGAATGAAAAAGTAAAACATACAAATGTTTTTGCATGTTTTTGCATCGTTCTCAATACCCTCATGTTTGCGCCTCAAGGTGCTAGTGACTCAATCCGCTACCACACAAAGCCCCCTCCTACTGGCCTCTCAATCGTGAAGGCCTTTTTAAAGATCAGAAAAAAACAGTGAAGCTAAGCCAAACGCCACCAACATGCATTTATCTCTAGGATTAAGACAGCTTTAGGCCACTCTGTGAGTCAGCAGAGTAAGGCACTGACTGTGCCACAGTGCTTGCAACATCTTGGGATCAAGGCCCACTCATCTATCATTTACAATTGCCAGCGTCACGTGCCTTATTGTGATTTTTTTCTGCTGTGCATCCAGTAAAAGCAGAAAATGTCAAAAATGTCTAAAGAAAGACAGCTTTACTCTGCAAATCCTGTCGCTAATCCGCTATCTGTCTGTGTTTGTGTGTGAGCCCAGAGCCCAGCGGTTCCACCCATGTGACTGTCAGGGTATAATCTCTAGGTTGCGCTGACTTACATAATGCCACTGCAGCAGCAACATCTGGGAGCTCCCACCTCACAGCTGGATTGGACACAGTTTTTTAGTAGTTAATGTGAGAGGTCAGCAGGGATATGCATGGTTTTGGTGTTAAGGTACAAACCTTACATCTCTAAATGTCAACTTTTTCAGGGACTGAGAAAATCCAACCCCCGAGTCCCTGAAGGAATCTTCCAGTTACAAGGTTACAACTAAAAGTAGTGATGTTTTGTTTGAACCAGACCAAGCTTCTCCTATACATACTTACTTTATCCTTCGGTTTGGACTTTAATATAAAATACTTAGATATAGTTTCTCTTGTGCCATACTCTTGTTTGTACGCCACAGAACCTCTCCCATATTCTTTATGTCTCTAAACCATGTAACACACATTATATTAGCTGAAGTAATTTCATGTAAGGCTCCATGAAGCATAAGTCAGATCAGATTGTGTGGCCATGCACAGTATGCTTAATAAAAGCCTTCATGCCTCAGACAGAAGAGCACTGGCCAGTGATCCATGATGCCCTTGATGTCTGTCATGGAAGTGAATGGTATTATACAGGATAATGTCTGGCTGTCTTCCCAGCTTGGTATTGACTTTACCTTCAGCTATACTGCAATCTTACAGGTGCTTGTCATGTTGTCATGCTGTAGGCTATCAGGATGAAATTACTTACCATACTGAACGGTTAAGGGTAGAAGTCATCCTGCATGTGTGGCTGATGGACTACACATTATTTCTATGTTTCATGTCACATATAACCTTTTTTTTGCCTAATTTCAACTGTGGCTGCAACACTTAGGTGTTCTAACTACTTAGCTATACATAGAAATACTTTATTAATTCAAAATTTTACTAAAGTAAAAGTAAAAGTACTCATTATGGAGGATGCATGGCCCCTTTCAATCTAGTTTATCATGTAATTGGATTATCATTATTGGTTGATTAGCATTCAAGTGGCTCTTTAAAAATGAGATTTCTCTTTGAAACACTGTACTTTAATTCCACTATGGAATTAAAAATGAAATTGTTCAGGTAAAGTACAAGTACCTAGTATTTAAGCAGAGGCATTCAATTTGAATTTAATTAATCTATAACAATCAAATAAGTTCAGAAATATGTATCTTTTAACTGTAATGCAGTCTTTAAGGAAACCAGTAAGTTATGCTTCATATATCAATGTAGTACAAAATACCTAAGCCGCATTCAACTGGACTTACTTTCTATTACTGAAACAGTTTAGCATCAGCATACTGACCTCTAACCTTTGGCAATCAGAATCTTTACCATTCAGCATCCAAACATTCAAACCTGCATATACTGTATAAATCCTACTGCTGGAGGAGCGGTGACTGATGACTGACAAGATATTATTATTGACAGATTATTAGATATAGGTCAGCCATCTTACACAGCTGTATAAGAAGAGGAAACTATAGGCATCTGATTTGATTTTGAAAAATATGACTGTCAATTTTCTTTTTCAAAAAAAATCAACATCAGTCCTGCTTTCAAAATGATCGAATCCGCAAACTTAGCTCACATAGGTTTATGCATGAGGCAAGTGTTGCTTCTTGGCATACTTAAATGATGCATGATCATAGTTTGTCTCCTTTGTATAGATTTTGGCTTTCAATTAGGGGTGCACATGATCTCCTGTATCTCCTCTCCTCTCCTCTCCTCTGCTGGTCAGTGTGCATGTCTCAGTATTGGACAGAGTTAATCCATCAGGCCTGTTTAACCATACTGTGGCTGATCCTCTTGGTAAATACACCAGCGCTAAGTGGCTTTCAATCATTACCACCAAGTATCCCTAATAGTACTAATAGGCTTAGGACAAGTTTTCCCCCTCTCTGCATAGATCCCCCCCACCCCACCCCCCATCCCCCACCCCCTCTGTGTAACGGGTGCTTGCTCAGACTTCGGCTTCCCCTATGTGTGTATATTAGTGTCTGTCTTGTTGCATTAGCATGAATATCTGTCTTATAGTGGGGACCAGGACTCCCGGGAGCCTGGCTGAAATGGTCTTCCTACCTCTTAGGGAAATAGAAAATAAATGGATTGGCTTTTAAAGTGATTGGCTGAATCAATATCATCTGACAATTAGTCTTGAAAAAATTAATAAATAACACGCCACTTTTCAAGCAAGCATTAAAGGCATACAGAAGGAAGTGGTTTAGTACAGTTTTCAAAAAATTGAACTATAAACTTCCAGAAAGGCAGCGATGGTTATTAACTGTAATCAAGTAAAAGTCAATTTTTGATGTTGTATTGATGATAATTGTAAATTCATACTTTGTAATGATTTGCCAAAGTAAAAACTGTGTTTGAGATTCGATATATGGTTTGAGTCTCCCTCATGTGGACATACTGAGGTGTTACAACTATAAGTCAATTTACTGTGATGCAATTTGTAAAATGCAACAAACAAGACAAACAGAAATGCTTGTTACACATGTGTGCCAGTGTGTTTGTATGTGTGTGTGAGCTTCTAGTAGGCTACTTAAGATTCCTGAGGGCAGTTGTTTACAACTGGGTGAATCACTGCAGCTCTACTACATTGTGTGTGAGTGTGTGTGTGTGTGTGTGTGCGTGTGCGTGTGTGTGCGTGTGTGTGTGTGTGCATTAGGCCAGGTGGGTGGTATTGGGTTTCCTAAGGAGCTACTAATTCTTCACCTAACACCCTGACCTCCTTACTCTGTGACCCAGAGAGACAGAGGGAAGGCAGCTCTTCATCCACTTCACTGGACCTGGTCATGGATGACAAATTTTATGTGTGTGTGTGTGTGTGTGTGTGTGTTTGAGTCCAATGGATCACTGTTGAATGAACCTGGATCTTTATAAATAATCCACATACAGCGCTGCAGGTTTTTCCTTTCACTGAGAAGAGGCAGAAGAAAAGCACTGCAGTGTTTTTCTCTCTAAATTTAATTCTAATATAAGAAAGTGTTTTTCTTGCTGCAAGTGATAAAGGTGATTAATTAGAGACAGTTTTCTTTCCAACTCTACTACATTTTTAAAAGGAATAGCATTGGCAGGACATGGCCTTACAAAGCTAAGGGAAGTTTCATCTCAACTGCCCTAAAAAGCATCTAGAAAACAACTGGTCTGCAAACACACAGTGACATTTTTAAGGGGAAAGTCTGTTCTTCCAAATCCAGTGAGCCTTTTGGTCTGCTAC